TCATTAAAAGGCCCTAATCTGTCATCATTAAAGGGCCCTAATCTGTCATCATTAAAGGGCCCTAATATGCCATCATTAAAGGGCCCTAATCTGTCATCATTAAAGGGCCCTAATCTGTCAATAAATAAGTGACACAAATCACAGCAGAACAAGTTCAAAGCGGATGTTCTGAGAGTTAAGTCTAGACCACATCTCCAAAGATCACACGAGCCTCATTCTGTTTTAGCCTCTACTTTCTCCCAAACGGAGTCAGGAAGAGCCCAAATGTAGTAAATCCCTGACATCAAAGCCTCCCATTGCTCTGTAGTAAACGCTTAATATGTAAAGGTCACGGACATGTTGGCCGTGTTAGGCTCAATCTTTCACTTTTCAATATAAATATCTTCTACATCTGTTTGTTTATTCCAGAAAAAAGTGTTCGGAGAGAAGCTTATTGTGAACGGTACAGAAGGAAAAGGGGATCTTGGACTGTAGTAAGTGTGTACAGTATACATTTGTATCATTCATCATTTTTGCAACATTACTGCACATTAATATTGGCTGTATTTATAGATTATTGGGCTGTTAACTACTAATTATCAGAATTCGTTCGGAAAAAACACATGTAAGTTATTTTTTATAAGATAAGATGTGCTTATTTATCTCACAGAGGAGAAATGTACATGTCACATTTGGCATGGAGAGAACACTCAGATTGTGCAAAAGGAGGAAATGTGCAAACATGTTACATGCAGGATATATGTACAATAAAAGTGACAATAATTATGTGCAACAAAAGTGACAAGTGTCAATTGGAAACAGTGTCAATAGTAGTGCAGGTTTTCACACAGTGATCATTTAAAGTGACTTATTGTACAGTCTGACAGCGGTGGGGATAAAGGCCCTGCGGTAGCGCTCCTTCCTACACTGAGGGTGTCTCAGTCTTCCACTGAAGGAGCTCCTCAGCTCCTCCTCAGTCCTGTGCAGTGGGTGGGAGGTATTGTTCATGATGGAGGTGGCTTTGACTAGCACCCTCCTGTCCCTCACCTCCTCCACAGAGTCCAGGGAGCAGCCCAGAGTGGAGCTGGCCCTCCTGACCAGCTTCAGCTATAGCACATTTCACAGACCACCAACTGTAGCAACTGAAACTTATAATATATATAATTTTTACTACAACTCTGCGTCATTTTCTTTCATTCTTTAGACAAATTCATGTACACAACACAATGTGATAAACTTATGGTACATTCTCGTTCATTCGTTTTTAAGGCTAGTAACATACAACAGGCACTTCATGCGGTAAAAATAAGGCAAAAAAGCATATTAACAGCAATAATTCACACAAGGAAAGCTTAAGCAAACAAAAATAGACCTTAATCTCTCAGGCCGTGTCTGCGAAGCTACTCTGAAGCTACTTATCACTTGGCTCCACACGCACGTTTTATGGCTTCCTGTTGCTATTCGTCACCAGATGGATGGTGGCACGGAAAACGGGCGGAAAAACAATGGATTTCGGTGCATGCATTGGAATGAGACGGTCACTATAATCTAAAGCTCCAATAAAAATACTGCATTCTCGTACGAAGTGTTGTTTGATTCTTTTCTGGACAGATTTCTAGATAGAATTGTTCATAAGATCCATTGGAAAAGGTTTTATGTTGAGACACAATGATCTTGCAAAGTTAAACCGACACTTAAAGTAGCAATAGGTAAGATTTTCATGTCAAGTCATCATTAAAGGGCCCTAATCTGTCATTATTAAAGGGCCCTAATCTGTCATCATTAAAGGGCCCAAATATGTCATCATTAAAGGGCCCTAATCTGTCATTATAAAAGGGCCCTAATCTGTAATAATTAAAGGGCCCTAATCAGTAATCATTAAAGGGCCCAAATCTGTCATCATTAAAGTGCCCAAATCTGTCATCATTAAAGGGCCCTAATCTGTCATCATTAAAGGACCCTAATCTGTCATCATTAAAGGGCCCTAATCTGTCATCATTAAAGGACCCTAATCTGTCATCATTAAAGGGCCCTAATCTGTCATCATTAAAGGGCCCTAATCTGTCGTAATAATAAACTGCTCTTTTCCAATACTTCTTTAACTGATAACAGTAGTTCAGAGATATTTGAATTTCTAAATTACTTTTCCATCCCCTAAATCTTCTTTTTGTTTTCTTTTTGATGTCCCGCCTTCCACCGTGTGGCGCATGTGGCGCAGAACTAAAAAAGGTCTCGTTATTCCTGACGGACAGGAAGCAGCGAGTGCGTCTGGGGAAGAATGTCTCGGACTCTCGGATTATAAATACAGGAGCCCCACAGGGCTGTGTTCTTTCTCCCCTGCTCTTCTCCCTGTACACCAACCACTGCACCTCCAGCCACAACTCCGTGAAGCTGATCAAGTTCGCGGACGACACCACCCTCATTGGACTCATCTCCAACAACGATGAGTCCGCCTACAGGAGGGAGGTGGACCGGCTGGTGTCCTGGTGCAGTGGTAACAACCTGGAGCTGAACGCCCAGAAGACAGTGGAGATGATTGTGGACTTCAGGAAGAGCACTGTCCCCCCGCCCCCACCCTCCGTGATGGACTCCCCCATCACCTCTGTGGAGTCCTTCCGTTTCCTGGGCACCACCATCACCCAGGACCTCAAGTGGGAGCCGACCATCAGCTCCCTCATCAAGAAGGCCCAGCAGAGGATGTACTTCCTGCGGCAGCTCAGGAAAGCCAAGCTGCCTGCACAGATGTTGGTGCAGTTCTACACGGCCATCATCGAGTCCATCCTCACCTCCTCCATCACCGTGTGGTTCGCTGGAGCCACAGTCAGGGACAAACAGAGACTACAGCGCATTGTGCGCTCTGCAGAGGAAGTGATCGGCCGCAGCCTTCCATCGCTGCAGGACCTGTACGTCGCCCGAGCTCGAGGCCGGGCTGGTCGTATCACAGCCGACCCCTCTCACCCTGCACATGGACTATTCCAACCACTCCCCTCAGGCAGGAGGCTGCGGTCCATCAGGACTAGAACCTCCCGCCACAAGAACAGTTTCTTCCCCTCTGCTGTTGGACTCTTGAACACTTCTTAACCTGTCCCCCCGCCCTTTATAAAGTCACTTTACTGCCCATCATACGTCACTTTACTTCACTGTACTGCTGTCACCTTACATTGTGTGCACCATGTGCACTTGTATATTGTAAATAGTAACTGTAACTCTATTTTAAATTTAAATTTATTCTTTAGAAGTGTTTTTTATTCTTATTTTTATTATCTCTTTTTGACTGTTGCACTGAGCCAAAGCAATTTCCAAGTCTGTGACCTCCCGTTACTTACGTTGGCAATAAAAATGATTCTGATTCTGATTCTGGTTATGATTCTCAAATCATTAACGACAAAACAAGGAATAAAACCAGGATTTCTATCTTTGTGAAAAAGGTGTTGGTTATAGATTTGTTGTTGACTAAAATCTTTTTTATTCAGCTGTTATGGTCCCAGCTGGATTCGTCTGCATATCTGGCAACCTGAGTCAGGGAGAGTGGGAGAGGCTGCAGTACCACTTTTGGCCACATGTTTACATCCTCATCCTCTTCATCACTTACACCTCCTGCAGTATAAAGCCACGCTCCACCCTTCACCATGTTCCGTTCATAAATCGTCCGTGGCACTTAACTTTTTGGCTGGTTTTGATTCAAAGATTTGTTATTTATAATGTTTTTTCCCTCTTTTGCCTCAGGATCGCTTCTTGATTATATTTGTAATTAAAACCTTTTCTTTTTACCATTTGCCAGATCATCTTTTATTTACCAGCCATTACAACACAACTCCAACTTTAATGTGTTACGTACAAATATATTGTTTTAAAAGAGAGAGGAAAGGGGTGCACATGTATTGATGCAGAAGAAGGCCCACGCTTCCATCTGTAAAGCTCATGTTTTATGTATTATCGCTCGTTCAACGCTAAAGATAATCATTAATTGAGGCAACTTTTTCTCCAAGTTTGCAAGTTTCACACTCGTTAATAAATCAAGCCTATCATTACTATTTTAAATGTTTGTATTATATTCAAAATGAACTATTTGGCCAGCGTGGGTCTTGGGGATACGAACTGCCAGGGCATGATAAATAGTTGGCTGAAATGGGGCTGTTTGGCAGAAAGTCCTATTGAAGTCTGAGTGAATGAACAGCTGATTCTCATCTTCGTTCTTGAGGGAGCTGGCAGGCGGACAAATGCCCTGAAATGTAATTGCAATGAAAAAAGGCCAGGCATTGAAGTCTTTTACCAAATAGTGCTAAGGCTAGATAAACTTGGATGGCGATTAAAAGTTCATTTTCAAACGCCATCCGCTCGTACCGGCACAAGAGCATACAATTTAACATAGGTTATTCATCAAAGCCGATAAAAATAGAAATGCTAACTCCAAGACTGTCAAACCCAGAGAAAAAACATGAACGCAATTGGGTCGCTTTCGATGCACGCCCGTGTTGGTGCAGCTTATTTCATCTCGGTTGCATCATCAAGCTCATAATTTAGAGACTTTTTCGAATTTGAGAAATGGGAAAATGTTTCATAATGGGCCCCACTGCGCAGTTAGGGCCCGTGGCGTCATGTGCGAGGCCCGCTCGTGTTCTACGGTCCCAACAGATAACTCCACAAGCAGTATATTTATATTAAGTCCAATGGGCCGTGGTGTGTAGCTGCGGAAGTGCAACCAATGGCGTGGAACTCTTTACAAAGGTTTTCGGACTAAACTTGGGCGGCACGGTGGCTGGATAGTAAAAAGGTTCTGGGTTCGAATCCCAGTCGGAACAGGGCCTTTCTGAGTGTCTGCGTATGTTTCCTCCGGGTGCTCCGGTTTCCTCTACCACAAAAAAACATGTGCAATAGTTCAGGGTGAATGATTGAGTGTGTGTTTGTGAGTATGTGGGACAACGGATGCAAATTAGCTCAACGCTACAATCCGGAGTGACGTGTTCATGACCATGTACTGTTCCAACCAAATAAACTATAAAATAAATAAATATACTTACATCCATGAACTCCACGTTTGCTTTGGGGCCAGTGGCTTCGTTCAGGATCTTTATGGCCACAGGGATCTTCACAGTTTCACCTTCAGGAACCCAGATCCCCTGAAGACAACACAACAACACAATATTGTTCAATGACAACAACAATAGTGTTTTTCTTCATTCAGATCATCATTCAGTTTACCATTTACATTTACAAATGCTTCTTGTCAAGGAGTAGTCCCCACTCCTTCCCCACAGGTGTATCCTTCCTGTTTTATTTTGAAATATTTAGCTTTGTTTATTTTCCCCTGTCCCTAACTTGTCCCTTTTCTTCTCTTGGAAGGTGATTGGTTGAGGTGATGGGTGGAGGAGCTGGGCTGGAGGCGCGCCCATCCCAGTGTATGCCAGGTGCACCCAACCAAGCAGTTAGCTGGGCTCCACCATGATCCTCCAAGAGCGGGGTGTTTCACTTGGACTGGACATAATACCAACATAAGTCAAATACCCCTAGATAAAATAACCACTAATTGTATATGACTATACATTATTATTTTAACATATCTGCATACATTAAATATGTAAATTGTGTAAATAGTGTAGGCCTACATAGTTGTGTCCCTGGGTGGGTGTAGGTCTTGGTTTGGGCCACTGAATGAAAAGGGAAGATTCCATACTGTTTTGTGTGTGCATGGGGGGGAATTTCTTCTTAGACTTGACCCTCTAGGTTGACTGGGCAGGGCAGTAAGGATTTTCACTTTTTTACGATTTCTCTGAGTTCTGTTTGTACGTTCAGGTCCTAGTGATTTGCATGTCGGTCAGTAAAAAAAATACCTGAAAAAATTCTAAAATCCATGGTTACCGCCGCCGTATGACAACAACATATGCAAAAAGATTAGTCAATTTAATCCCTACACAAACTTTGGGCCATCCTTAATATTTCTCTAATTTACAGAAAGCCTCAATCTCTTATCACATTTTAATAATAGTCTTGTGAAATTAGGATGTCAGGGATGAGCGTTTTAGGAAAAAACCTCCGGCACATTGAACATGTAATAAAATCCATGCAGTAGTTTGTCGTTTTAAGAACAGTTAAGTATTTTTCACAATGATGCAGTGTTTGGCTTCTGTCACATCCTGATATCCGCTGCTGACAAGAGAGGACCGTCTTCACTCTGAGTTATAAAATATCTGTGTTATTAACAGTATTATCAGTCCACAGAAAATCTTTAATTTTGAATCTATATTATTTTCTATATTTAACATAAGCAAATAAGAAAATCAAAAAATATTGGTCTTGTAATTTCAACATAGATTTCAATATACATTTTAGTGACATTAAACCGAAACTTGCACATAACCGGAGCCTTGACATATATTGTAGACCCAGAGGAACCAGCTCTGCTCTAAAGATGACATTCATGACAGCAGCAAGAAAATATGAACTGGTTTTCCTCAGCTGTGGCCCCTCTGCGTCGCACTGGTGATGACCCCGGCTCTCATTTGGCTGATTCCCCGCGGCTCCACGGTGCACGCTATAACTTATTCTCTTCATCACCCGCCTCTGGACACCAACTCATTTTCCGCCGTTAATAACCTCACCATTCCTGCGATCTCCCTCTGAGACTTTGTGGGGGAAAAAACATTAATTGTATTCACTATAGGCTGGAGTGGCTATTGAAGTGAAAAAAGAAAAATCCAGATGTGATCTTTACCCTGTACACTGTCCCAAACGCTCCAGACCCGAGAATCTTCACCCGCTTCAGCTCGGTCTCCTTCAGGATGCGCAGTTGGGCCTGATTAGGAGCAGTGCCGCTGGGAGTTAGTGGCTCCACCAACTAAAAAACACGACACAAACATTAAATATTTAGGGGAAAAATGTCTATATGGCTATTTTCTCCCTAAACCAATCTATTACTTTCAGCAGAACCTAAAAGCGATTGTCATTATTGTACTTCTCGTGACAGCTGTTGGGATGGAGATTTAACTGTTTTTCAGTGACTACAGAACAACCAGGCTCAGAACAGGCAGCTTGATTGATTCTTGCTTGCTTGTGTTCTTTCGAGGCGACAGTGGATCAGGTGGTAGAGCATTGGCTTTTGAGCCTGAAGGTCGTAGGTTCGAGCTCACAATGGGACCTTCTCCACCCACTCCCACTGATGTCTGCTGTTACTGTGTCCTTGGCAAGACACTTAAACCTCTGGGAACACCTGATGCCACAGTGGGGCAACTGCGGCTGTAAACTGCTGTTGTGTCCTTAGGCAAGACACTTCACCCCCATTGCCTAGAATGAGTTGGTGGTGGTCGGAGGAGCCGCTGGCACATACTGGTTGCCTCGCTTCTGTCAGTCTGTGTTTTTATTTTTATTTTATTTATTTATTTATTTTTATATAAATGTGTGTATTTATTTGTTGCCATTTTGCATGTTGTACAGCACTTTGGAAGCTGCGTGTTTATGAAATGGGCTATATAAATAAAGTGGATTGGATTGAGTGTGCCCCAGGGCAGCTGTGGCTACAGTAGTAGTTTATCACCACCGTGTCTGGAGTGAAAGAATAACGACATGTGAAGAGTCTTTGAGTGTCCAAACAAGCGCTAAATAAAACCGATGCATTATTATTATCCATTATTCTTTTCATCCAGGCTTCATATTCACCCCTTACCAGATTAATCAAAAAGGGTTCAATTTATATTTTTTAAGATTCTAAAAGACTAAAACGTTTTTGTCAGATTGTTAAAATGAGTTATGTTGGAATATCGTAACAACAATAAGTCCAAAAGGAGTCCATAAGAGGAAAAAAGTGGGAAAAAAGGCCAGAAGTGGAACCACGCCTGAACTGAATCAGGTAATATAAAATTCCACGACACTAGGTCACATGTAACAGCTAATATTTGCTTAGTGCAGAGGGATGAGTAAAGCTATTGAGGATGCAAAGAGCAAGGAGAGAGGGAGTAATGAGAAACGATAGGAGAGAGAAAGCCGGAGACGCGTGTGAGGAAAAACACAGCCCACCGTGTCCCTCTGGCTCACGGTTACCATTTGATTAAAAACAATAGCCATTCTTCATTTAAATGGAACAACAAATCAGCTTCCGCAGGCGAGACTCAGGAAGGGCGGGAGACTCCACACACAACCACAGAAGCACATTATTTTACAGCTGTTGAATGAAGAGCGGCGTCCAGAAGCCGGTGAGTGAGGGAGCTGTCCGGCCGAGGTGGTGCTGAAAACAAAGTAGAGCTGTCCACATGCACTGGTGCTGATCTCCGCAAATATGCAGCGTTTTCAATGATTTATAGGGGACCAATTCATACTTGCCTAAAAGCTGAGGTCTCATATTGAGTTGGGGTTAATTGAGGGAATAAAAGAACGTGTACAACGGGATGCAGACTGTGTACATATTTTTTTTTGCCAGAAAAGCTAGAGAAAAGGAACGGAAGTTTGATCTTGGCGACATAATTATGGATATGAACTGCAGGATAGGCAAAAATGAATGGATGCGTTTAACTGAGAATAAGATTTATTTGTATACAACTTTTCATACAGGACTGTTTATTTATTTATATATTTATTTGATCGGGACAACACACATTAACGAACAATCACATACAAGTTGTACACAAGCTGTAAAAGTGCCAGATTGACTGTAACTGAATGCACTTTACAAAGACAGTCACATCTTTGAAGTCAATGGAGCGATCACACTATACGTGATATTTTTTTGTTTTTCTCTCTACATGAAGCATAATGGGAGAAAGCTGCTTTTCCCACATTCAGCCTCACATGGGTAAGGCACCAGCAAGACAGAAATATATGAAGGTGCCAGACTGCGAAGGGATTTATAAACAACTGATGGGTTTTATTATTTAAAAACCATGAACGTAATGAATCAGACTGTTAAAATGTCAATCATCAATCAATCAACGTTTATTTGTAGAGCGCCTTTCCTACACAAGGCAACGCAAAGCGCTTCACATCCCCTATCACATCATGCATAAATCAAACACATTAAGAGCACAAGATATATTAAAAACATTAAAAATAAAATCACAAAAATTAAAAACCTTTAAACATTAAAATCACAGATGGGACTAAAATCATAAATAGTCACAGTGCATTAAAAAGATTAAAGATAAAAACAAAGATGAAAAGATAAAATCATTCAGTTGTATATGCGCAGCTAAACAGAATTGTTTTGAGCCTAGATTTAAAAGATGCCAGAGTAGACGCCTGTCTCACATTCTCAGGAAGACTGTTCCAGACTCTAGCCGCATGAATCTGAAATGCAGTTTGCCCATGTCTAGTACCGACTCTGGGCACTAACAGGAGTCCAGTCCCTGTGCTCCTCAGAGTCCGGGTCGGTTCATATGGCACAAACATGTCATGGATGTACCTTGGCGCGAGACCATGGAGAGACTTGTACACAAGTAAAGCTGCTTTGAAGTCTATTCTCTGAGGAACAGGAAGCCAGTGCAGAGACCTGAGAACTGGACTAATGTGGTCGTACTTCCTAGTTCTGGTCAGGACTCGAGCTGCTGCATGTTGAATGTACTGCAGCTGTTTTACAGCCTGTTTGGAGAGACCTGTGAACAAGCCATTGCAATAGTCTAACCGACTGGAGACAAAAGCGTGTATAAGAGTCTCCAAGTCTGCCTTAGACACTATGTTTTTAATTTTAGCAATGTTTTTTAGGTGGTAATAAGCTGCTGATGTTACAGATTTTATGTGGCTTTTGAAATTTAAGTCTGAGTCCATTATCACTCCTAGATTTCTGACCTGATTTGAGGGTTGTAGAGAGAGAGCCTGGAGGTGACAAATAACGCTCTCTCTTTGTTTCTGGGGTCCGAAAACAATTATTTCAGTTTTGTCGGTGTTTAGTTGGAGAAAGTTATTTTGCATCCAATCACCGATTTGCTGGACACAGTGAAGGAGCGAGTCCACTGGTTCATGCTCTCCTGCTGTCAGGGACACATAGACCTGAGTATCGTCAGCGTAATTGTGATAAGAGACATTATTACTGTGAATCAACTGACCTAGAGGCAACATGTAAATATTAAACAGAAGAGGACCCAGGATTGACCCCTGTGGCACTCCGCAGGCCAGGGCCAAGTGGTCTGAGGTACAGTTTTCGATCTCCACAAAAAACTTTCTGTCTTGTAAATAGGACCTAAACCAGCTTAGGGCGGTGCCAGCAACACCAACCCAGTCCTCAAGTCTCTGAATGAGGATGCCATGATCAATAGTGTCAAAAGCAGCACTTAAATCTAACAGAAAAAGGACTGAGACTTTTCCTGCGTCAGTGTTTAGTTTGATGTCATTTGTTACCTTTATTAGCGCGGTCTCAGTGCTGTGGTGGGGTCTAAACCCTGACTGGAACATATCATAAGCGTTATTGATTATTAAAAATTCTGTAAGTTGTTTATAGGCAACTTTTTCTAGAATCTTTCCCATGAAAGGCAGATTTGAAATGGGCCGATAATTTTTGAGTGCCAGGGCTTCCAGACTCCTCTTTTTTAGGAGGGGCCTGATGACCGCCGTTTTCAAGGCCATTGGGAATGTTCCAGATTCAAGAGACATATTAACTATTTGTGTAAGTGAAGGTAAAAGACTGCTCAGAACTGACTTGAGAAATCTAGGAGGTAATACATCCAGGCTGCATGTGGAGGAACTCAGACTAGTGATTATCTCCTGGACAGTTTCGATTTGTACTGGTGTAAAGTGCGTCAGCCCAAAAAGCCTCACTGGCGGTTGGATTATTATTTCTATCGTGGAGGTGATGGCGTTTTTGATACCTTGGACTTTGTCATTAAAGAACTGAGCAAACTCATTACATTTAGATTTGGAAGTAAGTTCTGATGGCATCTTAACAGGGGGATTCGTCAATCTATTTACTGTTGAAAACAGAACACGTAGATTGTTGCTACAGCCTTCAATAGTTTCAGAAAAGTACATTTCCCTCGTTCTACGTAGTTCCCTGTTAAAATTGCACAACGCATCTTTGAAGATCTCATGGTCAACTTTGAGATTTGACTTTCGCCACTTCCGCTCGGCCTTCCGGCACTCTCTCTTCTGTGCCCTGACCGAGTCTGCTTTAGTCCATGGCGCTTTTTGCTTGTTTGTAACTATTTTAACCTTTACAGGAGCAATTGTATCCAGAACATTCAAAACAGTGGTGGTGACAGAATCAAGTAATTCATCTACAGTAACACACAACGTGTTCTCAAAGTTTACCCTCCCCATGAACAGTTCGCCTGTATTATCATTTATGTGTCTTCTTCTAACAACCGAAGATTCAGCTGGTGGTTTACAATCAAGACACATGTCAAAAAATACACAGAAATGATCAGACAGAGCAACATTGACCACATTTACATTTGAAATATTAACCCCCTTGGTAATTAACAGATCGAGAGTGTGTCCTCTGCTGTGGGTGGGGCCACTCACATGCTGAGTGAGACCAAAGGTTTCCAGCACAGAGCTCAGCTCTATTGCATATCTATCATTAGCATTATCTACATGTATATTGAAATCACCTACAATGACCAAACCATCAAAATCTGTGCACACAACTGAAAGCAACTCAGTGAAATGATCAGTGAAACTATGGCATGACTGTGGCGGCTTGTACACAACAATAATAAGAATGGAAGAAGATTTCTTTTGTTCTATTTTAAAAGAAACATACTCAAAATGAAAATTTCCCAAGAGACACTCTATGGGAGACAATACGATCTTTAAAAACTGCTGCTATGCCCCCCCCCCTTTTATTTTCTCGTGTTTCATGTTCAAATTTGAAATTTGGTGGTGAGGCTTCTATTAAAACTGCATCTCCTGTATTATGGTCAAGCCATGTTTCAGTCATAAACATAAAATCAAGATCATACGAACAGATAAAATTATTAATTAAAAATGATTTGTTGCATAGTGATCTGACATTAAGTAGAGCAAGGTTAAAATTAATATCAGTGTCAATGGGTTTAGTTGATTGATTACAAAGAACTGGAATTAGATTTCCAGAGTTGGACCGTCTAACTGCTGTCCTTCTTTTAAATTTGTGTTTATTCAAGTTAAAACACATTTCTGAGCTGGTGCGAGAAACACACACAGTCTCTATTGGTTTAAAAAGTGAACTCTGTTGTACTTTGTTAAGTTCCAGATGCATAACTGAGTCAGCACAGTTCAGTGGCAGGACTGTCGTTACACTGCCAGACTGACAGGGGTCAGTGTTTGCACCACAGTACTCACCCGTTGCTGGTAAGGAGGAGGAGGAGGGGGGTGGTGGGGGCCGAGAAGCCTCAGATGTAAACAGTCACGCCCCCCTCGGGGAGCACTGAACAACATGGCGTAGGAAGTCCGTCAACAAACTGGTGCCGTATCTGTTCGGGTGCAGACCATCTGGACGATAGGCCACGTGACGCTTCCAGAACAGGCCAAAGTTGTTCACAAAAATAAAGTTAAAAGTGCTGCATGTAGACTGGAGCCACATGTTGAGCGCCACAACGCGACTGTACAAGCAGTCTCCCCGGTTTACAGTCGGGACTGGACCAGAGATAAAAACACACAACCCGAAGGACTGGAGGAGGCGGAATAGATCCATAAAATGCTTCTTTGTGACCTCGGTGATCCCCACATGCACGATTACCTTTGAAATGGTATCAGGCAGGGACTGAAGCAGAGGAGGGAGACGGATGAGCAGGTCTGGTACAGTGGCTCCGGTAATGCAGTGAGTGACCGCGTTAAAAAAGCGGACGTGCCTCACGATGGAATCTCCAACAATCAAAGTAGTCGGGGCGAAGAGTGGACGCGGCCGCGGAGAGGGCGCTCGGTGTCCATGGCCAGAACCAGCGGGCTCATCCAGGGATGGGTCCGAACCAGGGCGCTGCTGAACACATGGAGGGGAGCGGGGGTGTTGATTCCCAGCTCCGGGCAACCCACGCTGTGTGCACGGAGACGCTGGAGCAGCGAGAGGAGCAGGCTCGGGTCGCTGCTGCTGACCCGGTGAAGGTAAGTGGTGGTGATGCACTGGGGTCAGAGAAGGGGAATGATCACTCTTTCGTCTGAGGACAGCTTCCTTTAAGAGTGTCTTTCTCGCAGTGGACCTGGATCCACGGACAGCAGTAGAGTTTGCTGCAGAGTCCAGGGGTTCTGCTGAGGGGGCTGGGATGTCAGCGGAGAGGGCTGCATAGCGGTTTGAAAGGCTCAGGACATGGGCCACGGCGCTGGATGGCTCCTCGCAGTCCGCAGGCTCTTTATTCCGAACCGGGCACTTAGGTGTAGAACAAGAGGGCCCAGAGCTGACAGATCTCTCCCACATGACAGTGTCACAGTATGCAGCGCTCAGTGACATAAGCCGTGAGTGCTGCCCGCCAGCGACATCAAAAAGTTTGGACACGAGTGACTGTTTATCCTGCAGCTCTGCAGTGAGGCGAAGGATTTCTTTACGGAGGTCTGCAATAGTGGCACGGTCCCTCTCACGAAGCTCCAATGTGAGGCGACTAATGTCGTTCGTGGTCATTGCAGTGTCACTTTCCATGTCTGTGGTGCGCTCGTGGTAGCCTCCGAGCTAGCGCGTTTCGATTGGGTCTTTGTGTTAAAAGACGTGATGCTCTGGAACCATTGATAAAACACTAGAGTGTACAAAAGACACTAATACACCGTAAAAACGTGTTTAAAAGGCTTTAAAAGGCTTAAAAAAGGGTAAAACAGAGCAGAAACGTCAAAACGCGTGCTCCCCCAGCTGAGCTTCTCTTTCTGTTGTTGCCTTATTTAAAACTTTCCGTGACAGTTTAATAGCTTAATTATCTCAGCCGTAGTGTGTTACTGCTATGATGTAATCTAGCGGCATCCAAAAGAAGAAACAATTGTATAAGAGTAATGTGGGTAATTGAGAAAGCGCCTGTGTGGGACATGAGAGCGGAGGAATAATGCGCCACATCAGGACCCCCGCAGTCTGTCATTACCGCAGCCGCATCAGACGCTCTTCTCCACACTTGGGCCCTGTTCAAAGCGAGCGCGAGAGGGGGAGATGTGCACTCAGGGGCTTTTAAAAGGCAGGACGAGCACTTGGTCTTCAGATAATGCTGCAGACCTGCTCCATTTACAGACAGAAGGGTCCTCTCCACTCACTGTGGCCAGCAGAAAGTTTACCACAGGTACAAGGCTCATGCTTTGACTTTCACAGTTTCTCGCCACTGCGCAAATGTATCAATGTTTTTTTTTTTTTTTTTTTTTTTTGTGATCAAAGCCAAACATGCAAGTAAATTCACTTATTCAATAGGACCTCGACAAATAAACAGATGTTCACATGTTTTGGCATTAACTTACTTCAATCTGGAGAGACGAGGAGACAAAATGCATTTGAAGTTTTTTATTGAAAGGTAGTTTGGCGCCTTAGGCCCCGGTGCGGCGTTCAGTCAGCAAGGCTCCTGCGAGAGTGCGCGCATAATCCCCCGGGACCTAGGCACTGGTGGCGGCATTCGGGCAGCAGGAAGAGGCATGATTGAGGCAGGGTGAGAAAAGGAGGAGGAGGGGAGGCGGTGGTTTGCAAGGCTTCGAGAAGGCCGTAAGTGGGAGTTTCTCTGCTTTTAAGCGGCTGGCCTGGCCGGCATAGGTTGGTTGGAAGTGGGCGTTTGCTGTGCGATAGGCTGGGGATGCGAGGCCGGCCTGGAAGGGGTGGCTTTGCTGACGTCTTCCAGAATTGAATTTCCGCGAGGCTGCATAACTATCCCCAATTGCAGCATTGTCCTAAATTGTGTGTGTATTTTTAAATGTGGGTTATACTGTAAAGACATTTGACTTTTGGGAATACAGTGGCTCAGTTGTTAGATTATCGGCCTTTGAGCCTAAAGGTTGTGGGTTCGATCCCCCCAGAAGAATATTACTAGAAGACCTACTCCAACTGCTCCCACTTGTCTGCAGTCATTGTGTCCCTGGGCAAGATACTTCACCCCACTTTGTCTGAACTGTGTCACCCACCCCCTGCCGGAAGATCAGCAAGGGACTGGTTCTATGAGCGTTGGGGGGCAGAAGCAGTAATAAAGAGGATGTTAATGAATGAATGAATGACATTTGACTTTGATTACATGTTTTGATGTGAAGCTGCTGGATCTACACGTTTCCTTCTTACACACTATAGTATACATAACTTTCAATGTCCACGTGGTATCATTGAGGTATAGATTTTGACTTCTGGGATTCAGATAACACAGTGTATTATTATAGACCCCCTAAAATAAACAAAACAAGTTCATAAAGAGTAAGTAAATGGCAAACGAAGTCGGTTTTTGAGTGGACAATATGATGTTAACGACCGAGAGGGATGTAGGGATCAGAGAGAAAGATGCAGTTTGATTTGATTGTTATTAGAACATAGAACTTCAAAGAATATTCCGAACGATGGCAGTAATCTGAAAATATATATTTAGTTGATATTTCGTCACACATAGATCATCTCACCTCAGTCTCCAGAAAGCGGCGCAGAGCTCTCTTCTTCTTGATGTTCTTGCGGCGCATGGACACAGCCGCAGTCAGCACCATGATGACCACCATGAAGAGGCCCCCGATCACCCCCGCCGCGATCAAAGGTGTCCTGCACACGACAGACGGGGAAGAGGGGGATGGGGAGAGAGGGGAGAGAGGGGAGAGAGGGGGGAGAGGTGGGAGAGAGGGGTGAAGAGGTGTGACTTCATTATTATTTGAACAGGGCCAACGGAAAGATAAGGACAGGCAGCAAAAACAGAACAAAAAAGCCGTAGTTTTACAGTCTATGGCATTGATTCAGATTCAGTTTATTTGCCATTTGCATTAAAAACACCACATTGGAATACATTAGCAAAAAGTCACCAGTGTGCACAGACAAATACAGACATAAAACAACATTAAGGGTGTATTCAGACCTGAAAAGTCCTTTGCTCCGCTTGCTTGATCCGAATCAAAAGCGGACCAAACTTTTTTCTTTTGCTCCGGTTTGTATTCAGACTGTCCTTTTTTGCAAGTGAACTTTTTTATATAAACATATTGACACGTGTGACGATCGGCTCCTATTGGACAGCGAGAGCTCACGGAAGATAGACGCGGAACCGGAGGAAAACATTGAGGGCTCGTATGTGCAGCATGTCTGCTCTGCCTCTGTTTGCTCTTTTTAGACCAAAACCACCTTCAACATCAACAGCAGCTCATATGACACAGGCCAAACACTTTGTTTTAAATATTGGAACAGCGTCGGAGAATGCGTGAGGAGAAAGCCGAAGGAGACTGTCTGCGCTCCGTGTCCTGTCCCACACATGGATCTATGATAACCCTGTTCCACAACTTACTGACAGCAGCATCGTGGATAAACCATGGATCTATAATAACCACGGGACAAACAGACGCTGAGGATCAGGTAGGAACCAAAGAACACAATTCACTACATGATGCGGAATATTGCTCTTTGAGACGTGAGTCAAACAGTGTCAGGCTTTTAATAATGCGAATGATTTGAAGATGCTGCCATTAACATCAATGTATACTGTGAACAGTTTTAACTCCATAAGTCTGTTGCACAGCGTCTCCTCACTGCTCCTCACAGGAACCACCTCAAAAAGTGGGTCTCGGTTCGGTTCTTTGGTCCGGACCAGGATTCGTTTGTGTGTATTCAGACCTGCATAAAAGATTCGGATCAGAGTTCCAAACGAATCCTGGTTCGTTTAAAGTGGAGCAAATGTGCAGGTCTGAATACACCCTAAAAGTACGTAAATAAAACAAATAAAACAGTAAACAAATGTCACTGTGAAATTGATCGACTAAAACAGTTTCAAAACAAGTGAAAATCATTAAAGTGCTCTGTTCACACTGATAACAGCCTGTGGAAACAATATCTTCTGCCAGAGGGAAGAAGCTGGAACATGGCTTTTCCAGGGTGGCCAGAAGAGTCATTGATAATTCTTAGAGCTCTATTGACTGGTTTCCTTTTACAGAGTTTTGTGGAATGGAACCAAAACTACTTTATAGTACTTGTCTTTTTATGAATATTTCTGTATTTGTATGTGTTTGTATTGGGCTGTTTTTTTTCTCGCTGTCTGTACAGCACTTTGGTAAGAATCAGAATCATTTTTATTAAGTAACAGGAAGCCGAGGCTGTTTTAAATGTGCTCTACAACTAAATATTTGATTGATTGATTGATAGTGTAAGTAAGGGATAACGTATAGTACGCAGGTCATTATCGGAAAATAAGTACCGACAGAGCAGTAAATTCTGAAAACCTCCGTGCACGTGTGTGAAGAATGTATAAGTAAAAGTATTCTCCGATTAACATTTAAGTGCTTTGATTGATTGGTATTTGCGTTTATTGAGCGTGGCTAGCTCCCGAGTGGCCGGAACTACTTGCAGAGTTATCCACGCATCTGAAAGACAAGCAGAGAGTGCGTTGCCAAAGGGCAGCGGCCATTATTGTTTTGACAGGTCCGTTATAGAAAATAATGACCGGTAGAACGTTTTGAAATTACATTCAAATCAACGGAGCGTTCTCCTGCTGCTGTGAGGAGCCGTGGAATAAATGTATTTAATAACCAAAAGTGAAGCAATATTCTCTGTGTAAGCTCGTCATAAACACAAGTATAAATCTGATTTGATTTTGTTTTGTTTATTCATTTGAACATACATTTTACATAAGTATTTACAATTTTCATATTCCTTAGTTTGACCCCATGACCCCTTATACATGTTGCCTTCTGTGCTTTCAGTATATACTTACACATATAAACATATCTATACAATTAAGCAAGAATAATTGCCCTAGTTTCACCATGTGTTGTATATTTACAATATCAGTATGTATTTAAAAATGAACCCATATTTACCATTTGTCAGCTCGAAATGGAGCGAAAGAAGTAAAAACTTGTCGACTCCCACCCCATAAACATAATTCAATACATGCAAGAATTGTGTTATTAAGCATTGAATAAATAACAAATAGCAATAATAATGTAATAATAGCAAATTAATAACATGTGCATCTTTTATTTTGTGTTACCGACAACTACGCCACACATGCTGCTCATGATTATACATTTATTCCCCAAATATCAAAATAACCATTGTGTGTAGTGTGTAGTCTGCCCTTACGCACTATAATGTTTAGACTTTTGCATCAATGACTTACATAGTGACCTTCAAGCATAATCCTTTACAGAAGAAACCAAACGTTTTGAACCAGGCAGATGTAAACACACCTCCACACCTCGTTTTATGCATTTCTCTTTCTTACTATGTTTCTCTGTGCTACAAATATCCTCCATGGCCCCTCATTAAAACTGAAGCCGAGATCAAAAACATGGAAATAACCATCAAAGTGAATTCTAAGTGCCGTGCCGACGCTGTCATTCCGAATCAAGACTCTCAATAATATTCTGCGTTGTACAGCAGCAGAGGAACGAGCAGGGCAGAAATGGGCCTTTTCAATGTTCTGAAAAGAGCCTAATTTGATCAAGGTCCACCGCAGCTCCGTCTTAATCAGTGTGAAGAGGTGGAAGCACAGGAAGTTACACACCAGGCTGTGTTCTCTCTGAGGCTAAGAGGAGACGATGTAGAGCTGTTCCTCTGACTGTACCAGGTCAATGTGCCCATCCCAAAGCGGGGAGTTAGATTAATCTGACATACACTTATACAACTTATTCTGGTACAGCCCTAAACCACAACAGCATCATCTTAGAGACTTAACAAAACCATTGAAATCACCAACACAGATCAGAGAATCAACAGTTTGGACACAGATAACACACATATGTATTGGTCCATAAGGAGACTAATGTATCCGGTTGAAATCCTAAATATATTAAATCTCCAACATGATCAACTGTATCTACAGAGAAAAAACTAAACCATTCTCAAATACAATATTATCACTAGTGCTGTCATAATTATTTACATATTTAATTACAATTAATCACATTCATGTCAGTGCTACGACCAGGCTAACCCAACCCTAGTATGTATTATTTTTAGACTTGATAGATGGATCACTTTTCTGATGCCCGAACCATCAAATTATCCTTTTGTTTTGTTAGTGACTAACATGGATTCAAAGCTAGTTTTTATTTATTTACTTGTTTATTTATTTACTTACTTTTTTTTTTTTAATCTATTCATTTATTTAGTCGGCAATAGAATAAAGTCAAAGCAACTTAATGAAAGAAAAATGAAGAAATTAAGTAAATAAAGCAAACAATCAACATTTACCGAATGATCTCGTCGGCCGAGAAGGAGGCAACTAAGTCCGTCTGAAAAGGAGTGGTGGAAGTAAATACTTATAAATATACAATCCCACCCCTTTCTTCTGTACTTCCATTTCATAACTTATTAGACTTCCTCTTGATCATTATTTTAGCTCTGGATACAAGTTATAATACACATTTCAGTGCAAATACAGTATATCACTAAATAAGATGTGATTAATGGATGTTATCTTGAGCCTGCGATAATGGGGGTTAATGCCAGCACACGATGCCCTTTAAAGGTTTAGTGTAATCACGTGTGTTTGTGATAAGCTGCGATTTGTCAGGCTCGGAGTCGGCGGCAGCTACAGGTGAGAGATGGAGGAGATTCGGGCACATGCGGCAGCGGCTCAGCCCGTTACAGACCAGGAGTTATGGAGCAGATAAACGCTGTACACAGTCTCAACCATACAGAGCTGTAGACTCACACCAGCCTCTGACAAACACAGGAGTTCTGAAATACTGATTTTTGTTACTCTGGAAAACACGGCAAATGCATCTGAAAATTGCTGTAAAAAATGTACGCGGAATCAACTTCTACCTGTTTTAGGAAAGCACCATATTGAGCTACTCTTGGGTTTCATATGACGTCAGGGCAGTGGTGAGAATAACAAACGTGGGACAGGACGTGACGTATCCTGGCGGTGCAGTCTGCCGGGTTTATACACGGAGATATAGTAGAAGAAGAAGTGGTTTATACACAGAGATATAGTAGAAGAAGAAGTGGTTTATACACAGAGATATAGTAGAAGAAGAAGTGGTTTATACACAGAGATATAGTAGAAGAAGAAGTGGTTTATACACAGAGATATAGTAGAAGAAGAAGTGGTTTATACACAGAGATATAGTAGAAGAAGAAGTGGTTTATACACAGAGATATAGTAGAAGAAGAAGTGGTTTATACACGGAGATATAGTAGAAGAAGAAGTGGTTTATACACAGAGATATAGTAGAAGAAGAAGTGGTTTATACACAGAGATATAGTAGAAGAAGAAGTGGTGTCAAAATGCCATCTTTTTGTGCGGTGTACGCTTGTAGCAACCGCACAAATAGAGAGAAAGACCAGAGTTTGTTCATGTTCCAACTGTGGTCTCATATAAAGGAGGACACTTTGAACAAATCACTGGAATGAGGCGGGCGAGGTGGATCAAGGTTTTCCCAGATAAGCGCCCCCTGCAGGCCACCCCAATGAAACGCAATTTCTTCTGTTTTTTTTCCCAAAAATTCCCAAAATCAAGACTCTTTTGAGAAATATGTTTTAGTACTTCCTTAGAATTGAGTGTCTCCGATTAAGACTGTTCCAACAACCGTTCACCGCACAGGAGGAGAGCCTTTTGACTCCAAAACAGACTTTACATGGTTTTTAATGGGAGCAAAACTAAGTGATGAAACCTAAGAATAGAGAATTTTACAGGCATTTATGAGGTTGTCTTTTTGTAGAGTAAAAACAATTGAATGGTAAATGACAACCTACTGTATAATTCCTCCATTGTGAGCTAATAAAGTATCATCTCATCTCGTAAACTCTATCATCAGAGTTTACGTTTAAAGCATGGTGTACCTTATGATTCTCCATCCTTTCCCAGCGACACAGACCCTGCATGATTTTTTTAGCCACTGTCACATCTTTAGAATAACTTTATAAGACAGAAAAGTGAACAAAAGATGAACCCAACATGTTTCAGACTGATCAGAAAAGAAAGTGAGATATCGCAGGATTAAGACATAATTAATGTCCGTGTTGGGAAATGTGGCCCCTGCATTTAACCCATCCTTCAATGTTTTAAAAGGTTCTTCAGCTGTCAGACTGTACAACAAACCTGTCTGAGTTAAACATGTGCACAATAGTTAGAAATGTTTATAATGGATGTATTTGTGTGTTTGTGTTTGTATTTATACAGGACATTGCTGCTACTGGACATCTGAATTTCTCCAACAGGGATCAATAAAGTATCTATTTATCTATGTGTCTGTCTATCTATCTATATACAGTATCTACTGTATATATCCATCCATCTGTCTATGTATTGTGGTGTCTGCTATGATTATTATTCTTAAATACTATACTGCAGATTGGGCGGCACGGTGGCTGAGTGGATAGCACTCTCGCCTCTCAGCAAGAAGGTCCTGGGTTTGAATCCCGGCCGGACCAGGGCCTTTCTGAGTGGAGTTTGCATGTTCTCCCCGTGTCTGCGTAGGTTTCCTCCGGGTACTCCGGTTTCCCCTACCACTAAAAACATGCACAATAGGTCTGGCATGTGCCTCCTGTTCGGCGACCCCGCTCCCATCTCTGTGTGGAGTGAGAGACAAGTGCCCAAAAATAACAATTGTAAACCGCTTTGTGACTCTGGTCTGTGAAAGGCGGTATATAAATAAAGATTACTTACTTACTTACTTATTGATTGATTATTCATTCATAACAGAGAGTCATGACATGTAGGAAGACGATGGGACTTTCATGTGGAACCAGCATCCATATCAAAAGACTACAATACGACTGTCCTGGACTGTTGTGGGTGTGTGTGTCTTGTGACTCTCCTAAAATACTATTCGATCCCAGTGCTTCATGTGTTTCGGGTCATTCTTGCCATCCTCATTCTCGGAGCTGACCCAGGCTGGAAGCGCTAAGCCTGAATTTGACTTAATTTGTTCTGATTAAGCCATTACACTCTTTCTTTAATACACAACTCAGAGTGCATTCCTTCTCCAACACTACACTGGTTTGTGCGGGAAACCCCATCTTCTGCTGAGAAGAAGATACAACAGTGTCTATCTATGTATCTATCTATATATCTATGTATCTACTGTATGTATCTATCCATCCATCCATCTATCTACTGTATCTATATCTATCTATATACTGTATGTATCTTTCTGATGTTTTTTTTTTTGTATTTCCAATGAGGAAAAACATAAAGGCACATGTTGTGTTGTAAAGGCAGGCATTATAAGCTTATGCTTCAGCCGACGCCTTTTCGGTCAGTGTAAAGTAAAGTAAAGTATCAGTTTGTACGGTACATTCTTTTTTTTTTTTGGAATATTTTGTGTTCCTATAGACCGAATAAAATTAAAATAAACTATCTATCTATGAATGTAACTTGGACAACTTGTCTGGAGAACTGCTGCACCCCGAGACCCTCCAGATGTTGATGCTCGGCTTGGTCATGAAAGCCGAAGCCGGAGGATATTCCCAGAATGCATTGTGTTTTCTTTATATGGTGAAACCAGAGACCCAAAGGCAACTCACCTCGACACGGTAAGTAAAATGAGTATAACAAAAACCACTGAGGACAAAATATAAAAATGAATGGACCCTCCAAACGCTTTCATCAGCTGTTGTTTTCTACATTTGGCAAAGTGAAGGTTGAGCAACAGCAGCGATTGTCTGGGCCACCTGAACCCCAACTGGCTGCTTCCTGTTTGAAATCCGTAAATCTATTTGTAGTAAACACTTAGCGGTGGTTTGTTCCATTTGCTCCCTCTCAGCCTTGAAACAAAAGCCAAAGTGCTATCAATTTATCAAGCGCCACACGCACACACACACACACACCCACACACACACACACACACACACACACACACACATTGGATTCTACCCCCAGAGCCAGTCATTAATCAGAGACTTTGCTTACTGTGATGTTATGTGTGGAGTTAGAGCCCAGACAAAGAAAACCACAGCTAATTCTTTCGTACCTGTCCATCCAGCCGATGCAATCCTGAAGTCTGGGTCCAATGCACCTGCAAAGACCAGAGGAGAAAGAACCGCTAACATTCTGGAACACTGTCTAATATGTCCTTGGCGCACTAATTATGTCCAATCTCTTCACACAATTATACATTTTAATCATAGACCAATAAACAGTCGACCAATTTTGACACTTGTAGTAATTTCACGACTGTTTTGTAATTTTTGCATTGCTTATTCTATTTTTACTTTTATACCTTTCTATAAACATTTCCTATTCTGACTTTTGGTTACTCTCAATGGAAATAAAAAGAAAATTTGATTCAGATTCACAGATGGTATACGTCTGCTAAGTTTTATATTGTTTAGGTTTCAACAAAGGCATCCTTTTAAACACAAAGCCATGTGTTTATGTTACGCCTCTGGGCAAATACCGGCGAAAGAGAGAATTAGAATTTTGTCGTCTCAACCGTTCAAGCTGTTTCAAATCTATTTGCTTTTTTATATGTATGCTTCAGTTTATATTTATGTCCCACTATCCCTGCTCTTATTGTTCAGGCTTTGGAGATATCATTTGCTGATCTATGTTCTGGCCCGGACTGGCCATCGGGAGCATCGGAAGATCTCCCGGTGGCCTGCGTGTCAAAGTGGCCTGGGCCTGCCCTATCATTCCGGTCTTTTTTTTTTTTTTTTTTTTTCTTTTAATTTAATTTCATCCTCACGGTCTTTGCAAACTCCTACCCTGCCTGGTGGCCTGGTCCAATGAGCAAGGCCCAGGCCAAAGCCAGTGTTGTGCGTGAACGAGTTCAAAAGAACGTGTTCATTGAACACTCTCATTTTTTCGTGAACGTTGAACTGAACGCAACACATTTTTTAATAAAGATCTTGAACGTGAATTAGTTCATATTATGTGTCATGAACGGCAGACAATTTGTTTTCCATTTAAAACTGAGTGAAATCTGTTTTCTCTTTTGAAACGCAACGAGAGAAAGTTCCTCCCTCCTGTATTCTCCGCACTGTTTCCGCCGAAAACTAAAAATTCCTACGGTTTCCACCGTCTGTGAACGCACCCCGACTCAGTGTACTTGCGGTGCGGCGCTATATGCTAGTGCTATTCATTGGTTGTTGGACTCACATGTGCCGTGATAAAAACACAGGGGTAAGTCAGTGACACAGCCGTTTACATTTGACATAAAGTATAGACACGCGTTCTGCAGCGCATTACAGTTTGTACTTATTGAAACCCATGTAAATCTTGTCTGCATTGGAGTCAAAACATCCTGTGCAGTGTACAGGATATAATATATAATTATATATATAATTATATATATATATATATATACCACGTATTGTGATTTCTAGCTCGTAGTGAAAAAAAATATGTATTTGAATATCTCGCAAAAAGTAAAATGAACTGAACTTTGAACTAGTTCAGAATTAAAATTGAGAACTTCGAACGTGAACTGTTCACTTTGAGCATGTATGAACTGAACTTGAACTAGTTCAGAAAAGCTGTGAACTGGCACAACACTGGCCAAAGCTTTACTGTCATTGGGCCAGAGCAAAATTAAACAAATGTGACGTCACACGTCGGCTACACAGCCAGGCCAGGCTAGCAGTGCACCCAGTGTAGCTTCCCCGGTTCAAATGAGTGGTCTCTCCAACTGATGGTTCATACACGTTTTTATTTTTCCTTTTATATGAGCTGTAACGATGTGATTTTACCTTACTACTTTTTTAACAATAATTGATTAGCTTGTTATAGTTATACACTAATAAACACTTAGTTCATTGTGTGTGTGTGTGTGTGTCTTTATTCTCACTAAACTCCATAAACGTTACGTTGCTAAGCAACGTACAACAATCCTTAAATGTCCGAGATTATATAAACAGTCAATATAAAAAAAAATAAAGAAAACAAAAGTTTTGACAGTCAATCTTAAAACTATTAAAAGAACATCAAAATACAATGACAAAAACCCAAATTTAGAACCTTGTTTGGCCTGAATGGATTAAAAGCTCCCGGCCTGAAATGTTGTCCCACTCCGGCCCTGTCCATGTTTGTTGTTGTGGGAGTTTTTACCGTAATGGGCTGTATGCACGGAGAGGTGGGACGTCATTTCCAGTAAATTCATGACGGTTTGTTTACTTCCGGTCTATGCTAGCGCTATGGCCTGTGGCGAGTTCTAGTGATGTCGTTTAGTAATTAGATTAGCTTTGAGACTCTCTGAGGTTAGCTTTGACTTTGGCCGCTAAGAGTGATACTTAAACTTAGGCTTGACTGAAACATCTTCGTCAGACGTCTGAAACTGTGGCTGAAATCGGAGCACTGTTCTTCACATGGTTAATAATGAACTTTATTATATGACTTGGATCGTTCGAGCGCTCTGATTGGCTGATTTGCGGTCTGATATTTTCCCATCTCGAACCGTTACCATGACAATTGGTCCGCAGCGCGTGTCACATTTGATATCTTTCCTCGGTAAAAAAGAAATAATGAGCCACGACTGGGAGCATTCTCAGTGAATTCTATTATCCGGACGAGTTGGAAGAGCCAGAGGAAGTAATAACAGCAAATAACGACGAAAACACAACTACGGCTGTGTCCCAAAAAGACCCAAAATCCTCAAAGTTAAATCCCTGTTTACACGAGTTTCCTAAATATACTCTTGTGAACAGGAATTTAACTTTTAACCTAACCCTAAACATCTGGTGAAGTCCATCTCAGCCACAGTCAAACTCAAACCCATCCTTATGCCCCAAAGTCAAGTGTCGTTAGAACTGAAACCCAGAAGTGGTGCGTGCAAAGAGGCCATTTGTTACTTTTGTCAAGTTAAGGACGTGCTACCTACAGGACATGCAGCTGCTTTGCCCAAGATCCACATTGAACTTACCCATATTCACAAGCGCATGTGTGTTTGTCATAAATGTAAGTAAGTTAGTGAATGCCAAAGGAGATATTGCAATAAAAATACATCAATTAGAACATGGAAATGAGAGGTGTTCCTAGAGACCCTTAATAGCTCTCACCTTATTCCCGGATCAAATAAGATATTCCAGATTTCAAAAGGAAGACAATGATTGAAAATGTGATATCCATGTTTTCAATTTAGACACAAATAAGACTAAGTATGTAAATTGGGAATCACCAGAGAGGAGAATGTAAAGCGCAGAAATAACCTTAGTTTACACTGAAACTATGGAAGTTTCTGGAATAGAATACTGCGGTAAATGACAAACCAGACATAGAGAAGGATAATCAATAATAAAAAGTTAGCGCTGGTGCTGCCGATTCTGCGTCTGCTTTTTGAAACTCCACCGATGCTCTGGTATTCATGAATATTTGCCCAGCCTGATAATGACCCGTGTGTGTTTGGCTTTGCCCTGGGCCATCTTACCCCTGGGTGCAGTTGGCGTGGCAGGGGTGGCACTCGTTGTTGGCCTCGGCGTACTTGAAGATGAAGCTGTTGGCGCCCTGCAGCCCGTCCGGACACTTCTCCACACAGTTTGGTCCGTCCTTGAAATGAAGGCACTTTATACAATTCTCTGGGCCCTATAGGAAGACACACACATTGGGTTAGATTGGTGCGCATCAATGGGAAGACAAAAAACCATTCAGTTTCTTGATTATGTTTAAGATTAAGTTATTCACAGTATAACGTAAGTATTGTATTGATATTGTATAGTATTGAAAAAGTAGTTTGTAAAGAGAATAATGCATATTTCTGCTCCGTGGCCATTATTCAATTTATGTATCTGTTATAGCCACCACATGTTTCACATTTCGACCCATTTTCCCAACATGAAGACATTAAAGGAGCAGTATGTCCAAATCTGGCCAGAAGTGGTACTGCAGCCTCTCCCACTCTCCCTGACTCAGGTTGCCAGATATGCAGACGAATCCAGCTGGGACCAAAACAGCTGAATAGACAAGAGTTTTGTCAACAACAAATCTATAACCAACACCTTTTTCACAAAGATAGAAATCCTGGTTTTGTCGTTAATGATTTGAGAATCATAACGAGACCTTTTTTAGTTCCGCGCCACATGGTACTTTACCAGGGAGACGCCCGGATCACAGACTTTCTGATTGGTGAAACGGTGGAGTGCGGGACATTGAAATGAAAACAATAACAGGATTTAGGGGATGGGAAACTATTTTATGAATTAAAATATCTCTGAAGTAATGTTATCAGTTAAAGAAGTATTGGATAAGAGGAGTTTATTAAAGCCTTTTGACAAATTAGGGCCCTTTATGATGACTTGACATGAAAATCTTAAATATTGCTGCTTTCACTTCTACTTTACAATCAGTTCAAACATGAAAATCACGTAATCAGAATATATTGTGATGTGATTACTTTCTGGTGTTGTGCCTGCTGCTTTCATGGAGAGGTTGATGCTTGCCTGATTATTTACTTGGCGTTTTACACATGAAAATCACTGCATCGGTTCCTACTGTGATGCATGTGAACCGTTTCTCTCAGTGAGGATATCACATTTATTGCCCGATGGTACAATGGACATTTGCAGGAAAAAGCAATTACATATATGCTGTGGCATACAGTAGCATCAGTCTAAAGTTACAAAGTGCAGCTGTAAATTTAGGCACGGCTTCTACCTATTTTTGATCAAACTAATTTTGCATCCAGATTTGAAAGTGTTCTGTAAAAAAACCAACCAAAAAAGTATATAAAATCATTTGTTCGTATTTTAGACTTAGTGAGACATGGCACTTACAGAAACAGATTGTCAACAAAGGCCACAAAGGTAAATTGAACGGGACATGGGGGTAATTCAAAAGGATAAAGGGAAAACAGAAAAGGCCGTATAACAGAGCAGAGCAAGACAAACACAGAGAGAGGAGGACGAGCAGAGAGCAGACAAAAGAAACACATAACCACTGCTCGTACACGTGCACAATGGACACAACAATTCCCCCAGAACAGGATTTATGAAGCTAATATGGAAGAGGGAATTTAGAGGAGATGAGAAGAGAGGGACTGTGTTAGCTAGGCTCATGGAAAAACAGAGAATACACTCTCACTACACGACACTATATCTGGTTATATAGATAGAGGAGCAGTGTGTAAAAATGTGGCCAAAAGTGGTACTGCAGCCTCTCCCACTCTCCCTGACTCAGGTTGCCAGATATGCAGACGAATCCAGCTGGGACCATAACAGCTGAATAGACAAGAGTTTTGTCAACAACAAATCTATAACCGCCACCTTTTTCACAAAGATAGAAATCCTGGTTTTATTCCTTGTTTTGTCGTTAATGATTTGAGAATCATAACGAGACCTTTTTTAGTTCTGCGCCACATGGTTCTTTACCAGTGAGATTAGCTCCACACGGTGAGTTCTGGCGCCCGGATCACAGACTTTCTGATTGGTGAAACGGTGGAGGGCGGGACATCGAAATGAAAACAATAACAAGATTTAGAGGCTGGAAAAGTAATTTTGAAATTATAATATCTCGGCTGAACTAAGGCTTTATTAATGCCTTTTGACAGATTAGGGCCCTTTAATGATGACTTGACATGAAAATCTTACATATTGCTACTTTAACTATTGCCACAAATTAGCAGAATGCCAAAAATACCAAAATAATCTGACATAGTGTTCAGACCCATTCCATTCATAGCAATGCTTTTCTGTTTTGTAAGGCCACAGTCCAAACATATCCAGACATTAAGACTAAAGCAACATTCAAATCACTTTCTAAAATATCACACAAAAACAGATTATTAGGTCGTTGTTTTTGGAGCCCGAGAAGCAGATAATGTATTTGCCTCAGTATAATTATGCAAATTGAAATTCTAACTGCTGTTACGGGCTGCTATGTTGAGCCTGGCACTTTGCTTTTATGAGCGTCTCTCCACCCGTTACTGCTCTGTGTGCGCAACAAATAACCACGCCACATCACCGCGCAAAATCATGTGTCAAAGCGTACGAGCAGCAGTTTGTCGGTGAGCTTGAAAATAAATAAATAACACATGATAGAAGTCGCTGAATGCACCTCTTCTCAGGCAAAAGCCCTGCTGTAAGCTTAAATTGAATGCACTATTTTGTATGTATTCATTTGAATTTAGGACAGAATTAATCAATGTGTCTGCAAACAGCGTCTTCATGAATACGCTGGAATTAGCTAAATATGAAACAGGATTTTTGGATTTTGATGGACTGATGTCTGTGTACTGCTCACAAAAAATCTGGCTTTATTATTATTATTGTTATTATTATTATTACCATTATTATTATTACTATTATTATCAACATAATTATCACCACTAATATTATTATTATTATCACCATTATTATTATTATTATTACTATTATTATTATTATTATGTGTTTATTTGATAGGGACAGATCAAAAAGCATTGCTACAGGAGCCAATGCTCATAGGCCGTATAGCGCACAGCTAGTTTGCAGACCAGCCCTAAGACTTCTCAATGGTTTTAACAGAAGGGAGCACATCACCCCTGTTTTAGCGTCTCTCCTCTGGCTCCCTGTGCGTTTTAGAATTGATTTTAAGATTTTACTGATTACTTTTAAAGCTCGTTTAGGTTTGGCACCCAGCTATATTTATGAACCCCCCCCCCGCAGCCTTAGATCCTCGGGCAGGTCCCTGTGACTGTTCCAAGGTCAAGGCTCCAGACGAAAGGTGACCAAGCCTTCTCTGTCCGGGCTCCTCGGCTTTGGAACCACCGGCCGGAGGAGATAAGGCTCCATCAGTATCCTCTTTTAAATCTCTTCTTAAAACCCACTTTTATCAAACAGCTTTGTCTGCTTTGTCTTTGTTGTGTCTCTTTTGTGTTTTGGTTCGTTTGCTTTGTGTTTCTGTAGCTAATTATTTTGACCTTGTATTATGACTGTTTTTATTGTTTATCATGCTGACTGTGCAGCGCTTTGTAAACATTGTTTTTAAAAGTGCTATACAAATAAAGATTATTATTATTATTATTATTATACATCACATTTACATTATATTCATCATTATATAAAAGCATACGTAAATAAGTAACACTAAATGAAAAAATATATAATCCCACAAGTTTGGCTAATAGCAAAGATGTCACTGTTTTAATTCTACCTGCCCACATTCAAGCAATCACCGCGTAATCTGTCGTTATTGGTTGATCCAAATGAGGCTGCCATAGCACATACAGGCACTTGTTATTATTATTATTTATAGCCATTGTAGCATTACTGTGTCCTCATGGCGCATTGGGGCTATCGAATGACTGTGTGTAAGCTGTAATGTAATTGCTCCGGGCAATAACACAATTGCGGTAATCCATTTGTGCTCCTACGACGCTCATATGACGTTTACAAGTCCTCAAAGGTTTCCCCGGGACATGAACGCTGAACGGGAGCTCCCAGTGAAATAGATTTGACTGCGTTTCTACACAGACGTCAACAATAGCTTTTGAGCAAAGAGGGCAAAGGAGAATGACGAAAGAAGAAAAAATGATGAATGAGTTTACAGGCAGAATAATAATCATTGACTACACTTACAATCAGGGGCTTATGGAAGCAATGGTGAGTTTTACAGTGGATATATTTAGTTTTACAGTGAATATATTGAATTTTATATTGATATAAAGTTTCACAGTGAATATATTTATGAATCAATCTATCTACGTACATCTCAATCCTTAAGTATACTATCACACAAAGAAAACGGGAAAAAGAAATGTGGTTTAAACAATTAAATACAAAAAATAACATCTAATTTTTCTGGTGAACTGCAAAATGAGCTTTAGTTCTGCACTTGGCGATCGTAACAACGAGGACCTATCAGGAAACAGTAGGGGGGGTGCCAAAAGAACCACTACACACTGTGCCAATCAACACCTAGTCAAGGAAAATCCAAGAAAAGGCTTTTTTTTAAAGGAAAGGAAGATAAAACCATGTTAAATACTTTAAACAATTACTATTCAAAGGTGCATCCCTAAACTGCCCTGTACGTGGCACTGTTCTATTCATCGCAATAAACGCTGCTCTGATCTAATAATTGATAATTTTACATTGGAAACAAGCGTAATGTGATTTCAGTCTGCTATGAGTTATCTGTCGAGAGGTGACTCTTCACACTGTAAAAAAGATCTATTTCTGAAGCACTAAAAGCATCTATAATTGAGGAATGTACTTGTAATGAGCCAAAATGAGATACATTTCAAGCAAAAGAGCAACAACAAAACCATCACAAGACACAAAAAACAAGTCACCACTGGGACAGAAAAGGAATGCATTCTTAAGAGTGAAGTGTTGTTAGTCACAGAATAATATTATAAAGGTAAAGGTGCGCTTTATTGATCCCCGTGGGGCAATTCATCATCTGCATTTGACCCTGATGCCACTAGGGCTTAAGTCAGGAGCAGTGGTCGCCGTAGTAACAGCGCCCGGGAACCCATCTCCAGATGTTGATGCTCGGCTTGGTCAGGACCAGAGCTGGAGGATTTTACCTATAGTGTGCATGTTTTTAGTGACGGGGAAACCGGAGTACCCGGAGGAAACCTGCACAGGCACAGGGAGAGCATGCAAACTCCACTCAGAAAGACCCTGTTCCGACTGGGATTCGGACCCAGGACCCAGAGCAAACTTTACAGTGTTTACATTTAGACGTCCTAGTCCAAGCTCTTCTCTTTCTGCACTTATTTTAACACATTTCTGCTGCTCTTTGTCTCTTTGGTGATGTCTGCTGTGGTAAGAATGGAAGATAATGTCCAGCAAAAACTGTTTGGGGAGACATTAATGTGGCGTGAACACAGATCCTAAGCTACACGCGCATTTTCAGCCGGTTTCAATAATAACAACAAAGTAGAGATCTATCCAGCGACATCCATCAGTCAGTTTAACCTCCAGTTCAAGCAGAGGTATAATCAATATCAGGGCTGAAAGCTGTGTTTCAACTTTGAATAATGTCCGTCATCACGGTGGTCCACGGGCAACGACTGCAGTGGCGTGTGATTAATGTTCAGCAGACGGGAGCTTTAGGGCCTCCAAACGCCACCACTGACCTCCGTGTGAAGAACTCATGCAATTAGGTCAATGTAGGAATGAAAGGAATGGAATGAATGAATGTAATGTAACTAAAATGACCACCACTTGAGAGTTCTTGAGTGACTGTTCCAAGATTCATGGTTTTGCACTGGTCCAGACCAGAGAGGATTCATGGTCCAGACCAAGTGGATCAGATGAAAATCCACTGGAGCAATGCTAACTTTTTGAAAAATGCTAATGAAGCGTTTAGCATTTTACTTTGGACCAGAGCAGAGAAAATGGTCTGAACCAAGCGGCTGCTCCACCTTGTGACCCGTCCTGCGCCACCCAGAGGCTACTCCACCTCTGCTGCTGTGACCCGTCCTGCTCCACCCAGAGGCTACTCCATCTCTGCTGCTGTGACCCGTCCTGCTCCACCCAGAGGCTACTCCACCTCTGCAGCTGTGACCCGTCCTGCTCCACCCAGAGGCTACTCCACCTCTGCTGCTGTGACCCGTCCTGCTCCACCCAGAGACTACTCCACCTCTGCTGCTGTGACCCGTCCTGCTCCACCCAGAGGCTACTCCACCTCTGCAGCTGTGACCCGTCCTGCTCCACCCAGAGACTACTCCACCTCTGCTGCTGTGACCCGTCCTGCTCCACCCAGAGACTACTCCACCTCTGCTGCTGTGACCCGTCCTGCTCCACCCAGAGACTACTCCACCTCTGCTGCTGTGACCCGTCCTGCTCCACCCAGACTACTCCACCTCTGCTGCTGTGACCCGTCCTGCTCCACCCAGACTACTCCACCTCTGCTGCTGTGACCCGTCCTGCTCCACCCAGAGGCTACTCCACCTCTGCAGCTGTGACCCGTCCTGCTCCACCCAGAGACTACTCCACCTCTGCTGCTGTGACCCGTCCTGCTCCACCCAGAGGCTACTCCACCTCTGCTGCTGTGACCCGTCCTGCTCCACCCAGAGATTACTCCACCTCTGCTGCTGTGACCTGAAGGACTGTTGCTGATTATTGCTATTCTTAGCTGTTTTTCAATCAATTTTATTTTTGCTGCTCTTGGACACCTGAATATCTCCGACGGGGATCAATAAAGTATCTATCTATCTATTTGATAAGAGACACATATTTTCTTACAGCACCATTTTAAGACAATATTGAATTAATTACATCGAATAATGACAAATGAACCATAGGTCAGTTTTTAATTCCCGCAGCAGGTAGGTTTCATGGGCAGCTCACCGGTCCATTGCAGGTCAAAGATTCCTCATCCGCTCTGTCGCACTGGGCGTCACACTCCACACACACCGAGCCGTTGGCGTATTCCCGGATCTCCCTGCAACATCAGCACAGACAGCAATCAGGAGACAGATCTGGTGCACACATAAGACACAGCAGATAGGAAGAAAGCCACTTGAAATGATAACTCCACGCTCCAAACCTGCTGCAGCTGAGAGATGGTGTTGAGAGACAAGATTTCAAAAGCCCTTTAATTGAATTAGCAGGAAAGCATTGAAGCGAGTAACTGCAAACACCAGATAAAACCCCAAACGCAGAGAGAGAGATGTTGTGGTCGAGGCAATGCAGTGTCAAACTCATTCAAATGTTTTTTTCCATTAAGAATTGTTTGAATTGAAAAAGTGATCCATGTTTTTGAAGCCATTAGTTTGACTATGGGATCACAACCATGCGTCTCATTCCTGTTGTTTTAACACACAATCCACCATTAGTCAAATGATATTAACAGAATGAGAAAAAAAGCAATAGCCTTCTTAGTTTATTAACATAGTAAAATTATCAAAATGGAATAGAACTTTTTTTCCGAATACAAGCTCATTTGTAGTTAGTTTTAATTAAATTTTTCATTTGGAAATAAATGATTCTTTATTCAAGTCATTTCAGCTTAACATGATATTGCCTTTTGCAGCTACACCGACTATTCACAAATAAACGAAATCCGGACTAAAGGAGGAACAAAAGAGTTGAAAGAGAAAGTTCATCCCTATTTTAGACCTTTGGATTCACCTCTTCCAGGACACATGGCTGCGAGCAGGTGGAAGGAGAGATCAAACGGGAAACCCTTTGAAATACATTGGAGGACATGCAAAAGCTTGGATGAGTAGATAATGAAACATACTTCAAACATTTAAATATTTCATCTTGATCTGAAACATTCAGGGCAGCAAAGGTCGCTAAACCCATCGGAGACGCGCCTGGTCCCGTGAGAGCTGGAGCTAATTAGCTAACTGATAGCATCACTCAGGCGGCCACACTGCAGCTGAGAGGCACCTGCGAGGGCAATACTCTTTTAAAAATCAATTACATTAAGTGCCTTGTTATTCAATTTCTCCAATACCTTTATAATAGCACCAGAGTGGCCAGCAACACTCATTAAATCTTACCACAATGCGACGGGCTTGGCACGCCGCCTTTGTCACTGCCGGACAAGGATAATGACTTTTGGGGACTTCTCCTGTGGTCAGCGAGGGAATACGGGCTGGTTAATCTCAGCAATAGAAAAACGCAGCGTGGCCCGTGGGACCACAACCAAATGAGTAATTAATTATTCTTCATCTGGCCTTCATAAAACCTTGGCCAAGGTAAAGCTGTGTCCACATAGAGGCTGCAGGAAACAATAATAGCTTCACATTTTCTCAAAAAAGATAAGAGAATACTCCAAAAACACAATCGTAAAAGCAGTTTTTTAATCTAAATGCAAAAATACAATAAAGATAATACAAAAAACAGTGTCAGTTGATGATGTAAAACACACATAAATGGAGATAGTGATTAGAACAGGTGAGCAGAAGGGCAGGTAGGCAGGGCGTGGCCCCGTGCGCAAGCATAGACTGTGACACGCAGTGACACGCCTAGCCCCCCTGCCCCACATCCTCGTCTCCACATTCACCTCATAACACTTACAACAGTTGCCTTTTGTTTCACAAAACCCCAAAGCAAAAATGATGTGACACACATTTCATAAACACCTTTTATTCCCTGTACAATATGAACAGCAACTGACACAAAATAATAGCTTTCTTTGAACCGACTGACAGCAACACAAACCCAGAGAATCAGACGAGAGCAGGAGTTTGTCAAGACACACGGCTTCATTAGAGAGTACACACGTAGATGCTTTAGTGGTCTGTAATCCTCAGACCCACAAACAGCAGCACTACACTGAAAATGGTCAATATTATGAACCTGAAATCTTTGCAAGGGTCAGGAACACTCCCAGAGATCAAGGCCTGTGAACACATGTTGTAAAGAAGCAGGTTAAAGCTGTGATCGAAACATGAGAAGATCCAGAATCTTCAACATTGAACCGTGCCTATGCCCATCTCAGTTTCCACACCTGATATTTATACATGCTCCGCTTCATTCCTTTTGACTTTTCTCTCCTTCTCTTTTCGTGGCAAATCCTGGCATGCAAAAACATGTGCAATAAGTTTCACACCAGGCGCCCTTCAGGAAAAAATAGGAGTATATCTCCATCTTTCAGATCAAACATACAGTCAGCTACAGTAGATGACACTCATGATTAAAGGTGAACATGTTTATTGTCAATACTACAGAATAAAATAAAAACAACAATTAGACCATCAGCCTCTGTACATGTTAGACCTATTGCCCTGTTATTTAATATATAGAAACTGTGGAAATGTATTGATTATGTTTCATGTTTCATCATTCACCTGAAAGTGCTCTAAAGCTGGTGCAGTGCGTCTGTGTGCTGAAGACAAAAAGCATGAATGACCCGCGTCGAGTCCCCTATGCTCCATACAATTAATAAAGGCGCCCTGGCTGAATGATAAACAGCGGCAGAACGGCGGGCTGGTAATTATGACAGCAACTGCACAGTGAGACGCCGCTAAACGCATTAGCTGTGTGCCAAAACTCAGGATTCTGCAGGAAATGGGCCTGTTTTGGAGCAGATTTCACATTACTGCAAAATAGAATGAAAAAAAAAAGACATTTGCTTCACGGCGTAATGTACATCTGTTGTCTCTGGCTCAGGGCTTTGTTGTTCTTACTATGAGACTGTGCACAGAATAAGATTAGCGAGGGTTAAATCCGTGCGCAGCCAGCTGTACATGTGGTTGTTACAGCGTGTGTTGTCTCCATAGAACACACTTTACACAATGCATTTACAGGAGCGGTGGATGGGACCAATTTTTTTGTATGGAGCATAGTACTTTTTCAACCAGAGCATGACTTTTTTTACTTTTAAGAGCAGTACCCGGATGTGCAGAAGACAGAAGAGAGCCAGAAAAACACCAAGCACCAAACCCACAATGTAAACCCTGACAAGTAAAGTTTACTTGAAAAAACCTTGGAAATAAATTGCATATTGACTTCGCTTGAATTCCTCGAGTACATCTGTTACTTGATATTACCAAGTAAACTCAGGTGGTTGCGATAAAGATTAAATTTCAAATTATGTTCAGACCGGGATTTGTACTCACAACCTTGTAATTTAGAGGCAATGGTGCTACCCACTCAGCCACCAGGCCACCCTGTCATTGTCACACCTGCCTCATTTAAGACTCTACACGTCAAAATGTCAAAAGTGAGGCTTACTTGAACAGAGACAGTTCAATTCAAAGAAAACCCTGAGTGACATAGGCAAGCTTTAAATAAACTAACAATAAATGAGTAATATTCACTTACTGGGAAAAATCTATTTAAAATAGCTTTGATATCTGAAGTACGATTGAAGTTAGGGTTTACAGTGAGTCTATAAACAGCGCTGACAAAACAATGTGTAATTGATTTGCATTTTATGAGTATTGTGGGTGAGATATTCTTCTACAGTAGCTATTTTTTCACAAAACAAACATTCTGTAATCCTCAACAGACATTTCACCATCACCAGTTTTGCCTTGAATGCTCCACAATATGAAATTAATTTGATCTCTTCACCATTTTAGTGCCTGCAAAAAAGTAAATAAAATAAAACCATGTGCAGATCTGTGACTTGGCACGATAATGTATTCTGCGTTTCTCACAAAACCCTGCAGTGGAGAATTCCAGACAAGTCCAAGTCCAAGGAGAAAAGAAGGAGAAACCCTTTACCAAGTTATGATGAAAACAACATTCCCACAGAAAAGGAGGAGGTAATGCTCTTATCTATTGGTCCAGTGTAGAAATCAGAATCTACTTAGGTCTCATAAAAAGTCATCTTGAAAGGGTTTGGGTTAGAATAGTCTTTCTGAAAGCTAATCCATCCTCCAAATATAATCTTTATAATCTCCCATGCAGCAGCAGTTGCAAAGAAAACCCCTGGACTGACCCTTCGTGGAGGTGGCAGGAGTTCACACAGGTCCGGCCCCGGCTGAAGTAGCGGCAGGTGAGGCACTGGTCTGGACCTGGACCCCAGCACCCGGTGTCCGCACACAGAGAGTCACACACCATGCGATCCCGAGCTGCACAAAAACACACAAGCACAGATATCAAGAAAGTTTTGAATATGATCCCTGTTCACTCTAATATCCTCATTCATAACTATAATGTTTTTGTTCAGTATTTATACATTTGTTCAGTCCAGAGATGATACCATAGACATAATACCCATCCGGATACTCATTGGAGCCGAATAAGGAAGTCGCTTTGGCTCCAGTTCACTTACATAGAAAAATAAACGCCTCAAGCTTGGTAATTGCTTGTGACACACTCATGATTTTGGGGGTAAAAATACAGTGGTTTAATACTCTGTTTGATCCTGATTTTATTGTTGTAAATCCAAAAATGAGCCCAAATGATAGACTAACCAGGTGCCTTTCATTCCCAATTTTGGCTTTAGTTAGAGTGTAGTGGTTACCGATTGGCTCTTTTGTTGCTAGGCTGTTGCTACCCTCAAACTTGCCCCCAGATTCCCGCCCACAGAGTGGATTTGAGTAGAGGGAATATTTTGTATTATCTACTTATTTTCTTAAAGTACTACTTTTGTACTAATTTGATACAACTCCACAAAGCAAAGTCACCCCAACGTCCCTATTGTTTATTAAGGAACTCAATCACATCGAAGTATTGTGAGCAAAACGACTGCACAAAGCACATTGGCTAAATCTGATAAAACATATATATGATAGTAAGCTAGTGGGTAAAATATGCTACGTACTAAACTTAACTTTTACAACAGGGATATTACAATAGTTTTACTTTTTCAGTTTTGGGGGATGGGTAAACTTGCTGCAGCTATGCTTTGTGATAAATGCCCATTCAAAGTCAACACTAAAGTCACACCTAATGGTTTTATTGTTTATGGTTTTGTATCCCACTTTTTGTGTTCACTTAGATCCATATGAGGCCCATTCAGAGCCCACGTCCTGCACTTTTGTCTTCCTTATGGTGGAAGTGACATGAGATATTGTGACCTTTTAGCCCCAAATCTGCAACATATTTGACTTGTCCTCTGTTGAAAAGCGCTAAGTCTTTTCTTGGATCCTTTCACCTCACTTTCTCCTGCTCCTTTCTCTTTTTAAAATATGTGTGAGGAGTAGACGCTGCGGCCAGATGTGAGCTACAGGGTATATCTCAATGTCAACGGAGACGCATGTGGTGAATGTTAAAACGTTTTGACAGAGAGATGTGGAATCATGGAGCTGTGATCTGTAAAGGACAGAGGATGAGAGAGGGCGGAGTCAACACAATCGCTGCATAAACACAGAGGGAAGGTACAGAGACATCACCAACAGGTCATTACCACCACCAGGGTCTGTGTGGTCTCCAAAGGGTCAGGACACTTTGGAAATGGGATGTCATTTATTATTAGTAGTATTAGCAATAGCAATAGCAGTAGCAGTAGTAGTAGTAAATACAAAATAGTAAATAGTAGTAGTAGTAGTATTAGTAGTAGTAGTAGTAGTAGTAGTAGTAGTAGTATTATCATTATCATGTCGTTATTATTATCATTATCGTTATAGTTAGTGGATAGTGGATCCAGGAACTGTTTTAAGGATTTTAACTTTTTCCTCTGAGTAAGTAAGTAAGTTAGTAAGTTTTTATTTATATACCGCCTTTTCACTGCAGATTTGAGTCTCAAAGCGGTTTACAATTGTTAATTATGGGCATTTGTCTCTCACTCCACACAGAGATGGGAGCGGGGTCGCCAGTACAGGAGGCGCATGCCAGAACTATTGGACATATTTTTAGTGGTAGGGGAAACCGGAGTACCCGGAGGAAACCTACGCATACACGGGGAGAACATGCAAACTCCACTCAGAAAGGCCCTGGTCCGACCGGGATTCGAACCCAGGACCTTCTTGCTGAGAGGCGAGAGTGCTATCCACTCAGCCACCGTGCCGCCCTGAGTCTGAGCTTATTTAAGCATTTTATGATCAAACTGGTCCATGAAAGGATATAACTTCCATTAAACAAGCTGTAAACTTGGAAGCTGTTTAAGTGATTTTGTTAAATTGATAAGAAGAAAAAGGGGCGGGGTTACATAAATATTTGTACTTCTTCCTGCTCCGTTTCGGACATGATTGTATGTTTTGTTTATTCCTTGAGGGAACAAATTGTACATACATTGTACACGTACACTGTATAGCTTTTTTATTTTGTATTGTCCGAATAAAGACTCATTCATAAACATAGAAATGGAAGAATTGTATTATTTTTATGAATAGGTTTCTCATCTTTTATTATAGCAACAGTGCTCTCTCGCTCACTCCGGAGACCGTACGGCTGAACATGACAACACATTCATTTATCTGCTAAGGATGATCTATCTTTATACCTTTTTAGGGTAATGATTATTATAAAATAGAAAAATACTTGTAGAGCACAGACTGCGACCGCCGCCTAGAGACAGAAATCCAATCCTTAAAACACATCTCAAACAAATGTTCATTGAATCAGCTGTTTAATAGGCCATCACACACCCACACATTTCGTCCGACAAACAAACGCGTGACCACTTTACCTTCTGGGAGATAAAAAGGAAAAATACATAAGAATTCAGCGATCGTTTCTCTTCAGCCTAATGCGATACAGTTAGCGCAATATGATGGAGGCTCTTCAAGTGTGGCCAGCTCACAGCAGGACCGAGGCCACCCCCTGGACTCCAGCATTCAGTCTCCTCCAGAACCGCTCCAGCTTTGACCTTTCACTCAGACTGTGCTCCTGCTGCATTTATATTCAGCGCCAGAGCTGTGAGCAAGACTCTTCATGAGTATTGAACTTTGAATGTCTAGAAGTCCTTATGATGAATAATATATCTTTTGAATGCACACAACAGACACTGCCTCGGCTGAAGTCTGGAAGCTACTCATGTTTATTTTTACTCCCTGATATATACTATTTGCCGATGGTATGATATTATAAGATGTGACGCTACCCTGCTTTACTTGTATTTTCCAGCCATCTGTGTTTATATAACAGGATATTTTATCGGATCTTTCACACATTTTTTGTCTCAGATGGTTATTTTGTCCAATCATCTAAAAACATCTGCTCCCCTGGTAGTGAATGTACACATCAGTCCATCTGTACTTTAGCAACAGCTGGCTCTGTCTGTCTATTAGCAGAGATGATGGATCCTCTGATGACTTATCAAACGTGTGAATTATTTACTCCAGCTTGGATCATATTCTTTGTCTCCAACACAAGCTGGGAGGATACCATGTTGATTAACTACTTCTTTCAAATCTGTAGTCACAAACTGTTTATAATCTATCCATCCCTCCTTACGGCTCTGCTTCATCCGTTCACAGAGGCAGCAGTCTGAGCAGAGCGGCCGTTCCCTCTCCATGACCTCTTTTCACCATCTCATCAGCAGAGAAACAGTCTCTTCATGTCCTTAGCGTTTAGGAGGCGTCCCAAACAGATGAAGAACAGTGCATCAGAGACCGAGCTCCTCACCGTATCGCTGAGGGAGCTCAAACTCATTTTGACCACTTGTATCTTTTGCTTTTATCTAAAAAAAAATCTGGTTTGGCAGTTCCTCTTGTGTCATCGCTTCATCACTGCGCACAGTGACCAAACCAAACAGGTTTGGTGAAAACTTAGCAAACTCCAACACCCTCCCATGTTTGTCATTGGTTGACTTCAGTTGTTGATCCACACCAACCACAAAAACAGGTTTCTGGTTGGCTGGCTGTGGTGGTGCACTCAGAGGTAATTGTAAAAAGTATGATTTTTGTAAGCCGCGGTTACAGAATTGTTTATTAGGCCCGAGCCCCGAACGGGGAAAGGGCCTATTGTTTTTGCTCGAGAGATGTCAAATTCTGCACTTTGAGCCTTAATTTGACCCCCTGAACATGAATGAAAATTTGTAAAATTTTGCCCAAAAAATCAGACCTGGCAATTTTTTTTATATTTTGGTGTTTATTTTTATGGAACTCAAAAAATGCCAGAACAGCACCACCTACAACAGCCAAAATAATACCCCTATGGGAGTTTTAGAGATCAAGTTTGTCGTTGAGCCATGAAATTCGGTTCCTCAAGTCAGGACAAGACAAAAATGTTACTGTGGCCTCGCCCTCTGACAAACAGGAAGCCCATAAATTTCACTGCAAAATGGAAAAATGAACAGCAATAGTTTTCATACATGTCGGATGGAAATCTTCTCCTCCTCGGCCGTTTCACCGATTCGCCTCAAAATCACTCCACATTATCTCAACACATGTACCTTCAAAATGACCAAAGGGATTTTTGATCAGTGAAACGCTGTTTGAGCAGCGGAGCGGCAAAATGTGACCTTTTTTTGGCAGTTCATATACAAAGTCTGATTTGCACAAAACTTTAATACATTGTTCAACTCTAGGGTCTATGTCATTTGAAATTGAAATGTTTCAAATTGACCCATTCGCGCCCTATTTCAGAGTTTTGTATGGGAATTTTCACATTTCGTTTCTTCAAAATGTTTGAAATTTTGCATATACATCTGTTTTGTCCTCTTGATTCAAAAAGTCAACAGGACCCAAGGCTTATTTTTTACCCTAGCGCTCCCCATTCATTGTCTATGGCAGCCATTCCCAAACTCAGTAACACCGAGGCCCCCTTAAAAATCTGACGGGTCTGCGTGGCCCCCCAAAATAATAACCAAGAAGACAACATTAAGAATAGGCTCTTCTGGTTATTTTATTTTGGGGAAATAGCCTCTGCTACAAACATTGTAATACAAAAATGATTACAGTGGATTATTCAAGTCAAATAATGAACACAAATATTTTAATATTACAAACAAAACATTATAAATTTAACATTAAATAATTATATTTTTTTTTTTATTTTTTTTTTTGACCTCCCGCGGCCCCCCTGCAGTACCCTCGCGGCCCACCAGGGGGCCGCGGACCCCACTTTGGGAGACACTGGTCTATGGCAAATGTACACCTCGCACAAACATCAAACCAGCCTCGGCCGTTCCACAGATTTGGCCGAAAATCGCTCCACATCATCGCAACACATGTACCATCAAAATGACTTCAGGGAATTTTGATCAATGAAACGTTGTTTGAGCAGCGGAGCGGCAAATGTGACCTTTTTTCCCCATTTTGACCATAGAAACATAGCTCCCTTTTGCACAAACCAAGTCCGATTTGCCCCAAATTTGAAACGATTGTTCAACTTTTGGGTTTGGGTAAACTGAAAGTGTAAAACATTAAATTGCAGCATTAGCGCCCCCTACAGACTGAGTCAAGTTTTACATGGGTGAGAATGGCATTTAATAAGTCTGATTTGCACTAAACTTGACTCGGTTGTTCAACTCCTGGGCCTAGGTTGCCTGCATGTGTGAACAATGACATTGTCCCATTAGCGCCCCCTACAGGCTGAGTAAAACTTTCATATAGGGGACACAGCGCATTTAGTTTTCCTGTTGTTTGATCTCATATTTGACCCACTGAGCATGCACGAAAACTCACCATATTCTTTTTTTACGTTTTTTTCTGGCAACAAATGATATATTTTGATGTCTTTGGTAAAAGACTTACTGTGCGATTATGCACAGTAAATGGTCGATGTTTGCACATGCAAAGTCTGATTTGCTCAAAATTTGATTTTATAGTTCGAGTTTAGGTAAACTGAAAGTGTAAAACATGAAATTGCTGCATAAGCGCCCCCTACAGACTGAGTCCAGTGTTACATGGGAAAAATGAGGTTTAGTTTTTCAATAGAGACACACAATCATTGATCATAGGGCTCCCATCAGGGCTTTAGGAAGATGGTGCGTGACATGGTCATCCAATGGAGACTGTATATATATGGACACACTCAAAGATTGTATGTGTAAACAGGAGCACATGTATGAAGTCTGATTTGTACCCCACGCCTCGCGCATGCGGCGCTTCATGCAGTGCGGTGGCTCGCGCGATTTGGCGACTCCCGCAGGGAGTTGCGCGATGTGGCGAGGGCCTTCGACGCCGCTTGCGGCTTTAATTATGTTTCTTCTTCTATATCAAAAACTTGAATGTTCATATCTCGATATCGATGTAATAACAACATAGGTCATCTGGTGAGGGCAACCACACCTTAACCACACTGTGTTAAATTATAGTATTATATATATCACCTTTATCCAACAAGATAAACAAACAAACAGACATAACATTTGATTGTGCAGATTGCATTTGACTCACAGCAGTCTTTGTGGCCACGGTTGTTGCGGATCAGGACTTTCTGGTTGGCGGTCCGGAACAGCTGGGTCCAGTTCAGGGTGTTGTAGTAGCAGAGTTGGCTGTTTTCTGCGATGTGGACGTTTCCGGCGCTGATCTCTCGGAGCGACTGGAACTGCAGCGACGAGATGCCCTGCTGCTTCAGGACCAGCAGAGAGATGCCACTGACAGAGAAGCAGCCGGAGGTCAAATGTCAATAATGTTCAGTGTTAATCACCAACACAGATTATGCCTCTTTCATTGTGTTCAAGCGTAAACAGTTGTATTAATCTAATCAAGTACATCATTGTTTTAGGTCTAATCTCTCTTCATGGTGTCATTTGGCCTTATCACGAAGCATTTTGTCTTTTCTTCTCTTATATTTATGCAGTAATAATTATGCAACAATTGTCACACATTTATGTTGAACTCAAGAAAATAAAGTTGACAACACTGCGCCTTAAATGTCTTGAAGCCTTGAATAGGAATAAGTATCTTCTGTTCCTCACGTAATCAAAAATAACAATAGGTAACATACTTCACAGTTTATAAGCTGAAGAAAGATTTTATTAGCCTGGTCGTACCACACCATAGTACTAATTACGTTTGGTACTAAGGTCTGGATTTGCTCCATTGACTCCGTTAACAGGTGGGACGGGTTAACTCCTTTTGCAGATTGAAACGATTGGATCTGAGTTTACCGTCACGTATGTAATGCGCCTGTGTGAGTTGTGAGCATTTAGCATTTAGCCTAGCTTTAGCCATCTCCTTTTTCGCTAACGGAGCCCGTGGGCAGAAGCGCCACAATCTTTGCCAGAGATTACATTTACTAAACATTCCTCTTAGTCCGGCTTTAATTTTCTTGATATTATGGTGTTCCGTTCTGGGTCTATCTCATTCTTCGCCAAACTACAACCTGCCCGTTCGGCGCAAACTCTTGACGTCACCCACATCTAACTACAACACCCGCGACTCCCGCGCTCTCTGATTGGTCGGATAGAATTCAACCGGTTGTAATCGCAAACACAGGGACCAGACCCAGACGTTACATGCAGGACATGTAATTTGTACTATGGTGTGGTACGACCAGGCATATGGTTGCATGGTGAAATATCCACAGAAGATGTATTTTGTTGCAGTCTTACATGTGGGGGTATTTTTTACAGTCTGCCCAGTGCATTTCAGTCCTTTTGCCGTACAGTAAATGAGTTTTATGGTAATTCATTTCCACTGCAAGCTGTTGTCACTTCTCTTCATTAGGAGATGAAGCCGGAAAGATGACATCAGCTTGTGTTTTGAGCAATAAAAGCAAAACTTTAGCTTTTGTATTTGTATCAAAACATGACTCTTGCTGAAAACCTGTTGCCATTTCATTAGCACTGCAGATAAAAGTAAATGTCAAAGCTGCGGCACTTACGCAAAAATGTAAAGCACCACTCAAAACAAGATGCATTTAGTGACTATGAGAGGTTCCCATGAGGATGCTACTTACTTCCAGGCCTAGAGGAAAGAAGTTTTGTTTTAAAAGTTTCGAAAAAGTTACAATACTTTGACAGCAGGGAGAAAAGCATTACCATTAAACTACTCAAAAGTTTTGGATTACTCAATGAAATCTTGAATAAAAGAATTGAATGAGGCTAAAAATCAACGGTAAATTTAGTCCAGACATTGACAAAACCACAGATGTTAAAATGAAAGATAATTGTTTTCTGCTAACTTCATTTCACATTTTTTTTATTTAATGTATTACATGTATGTATTTACTTGTGTTGAATGCCTTGTTCATGAACCCGCTGGAAAACAGCTGCAGGTCCTGAGTGTCTCTGAAACTGTCGTTGTTTTGTGCGTTATACATTTTATTTTTCTTGCTTTTTTCTGCCTGAGATGTTGCTGCAGTACAGTGTTGGTTTTACACTGGTCCAGACCAGAGCAGAGAGGATTCATGGTTTTACACTGGTCCAGAGCAGAAAGGATTCATGGTCCGAACTAAGTGGATCAGATGAAAATCCACTGGAGGAATGCTAACATTTTGAATAATGCTAATGTGAATTCAGCATTTTACTTTGAATCAGAGCAGAGAAAATGCTGCAAACCAAGCGGCTACTCCACCTCTGCTGCTGTGACCCGTCCTGCTCCACCTCTGCTGCTGTGACCCGTCCTGCTCCACCTCTACTGCTGTGACCCGTCCTGCTCCACCTCTGCTGCTGTGACCCGTCCTGCTCCACCCAGAGACTACTCCACCTCTGCTGCTGTGACCCGTCCTGCTCCACCCAGAGACTACTCCACCTCTGCTACTGTGACCCGTCCTGCTCCACCCAGATACTACGCCACCTCTGCTGCTGTGACCTGTCCTGCTCCACCCAGAGACTACTCCACCTCTGCTACTGTGACCCGTCCTGCTCCACCCAGAGACTACTCCACCTCTGCTGCTGTGACCCGTCCTGCTCCACCCAGAGACTACTCCACCTCTGCTGCTGTGACCCGTCCTGCTCCACCCAGAGGCTACTCCACCTCTGCTGCTGTGACCCGTCCTGCTCCACCCAGAGACTACTCCACCTCTGCTGCTGTGACCCGTCCTGCTCCACCCAGAGGCTTCTCCACCTCTGCTGCTGTGACCCGTCCTGCTCCACCCAGAGACTACTCCACCTCTGCTACTGTGACCCGTCCTGCTCCACCCAGATACTACGCCACCTCTGCTGCTGTGACCTGTCCTGCTCCACCCAGAGACTACTCCACCTCTGCTACTGTGACCCGTCCTGCTCCACCCAGAGACTACTCCACCTCTGCTGCTGTGACCCGTCCTGCTCCACCCAGAGACTACTCCACCTCTGCTGCTGTGACCCGTCCTGCTCCACCCAGAGGCTACTCCACCTCTGCTGCTGTGACCCGTCCTGCTCCACCCAGAGACTACTCCACCTCTGCTGCTGTGACCTGAAGGGCTTTTGTTCAATATTACTATTGTTAGCTTTTTAGAATGATCAATTATATTTTTCATTTTTGCTGCTACTGGACACATGAATTTCTCGGACGGGGATCAATAAAGTATCTATCTATCTATGAGTAGTGCTACACAAACAAATATTTCAGACTCGACATGAATAGTGATTACATTTCTAGACTCTATTCTGCGTTCTTGACTTATTTAATGTTATCCTTCTTCAATCAAAAGCACATTTCTGAGCGCAAGCTTTTGTGGTTTTGGTTTTGTCAAGGATTAATTAACTGAGGTCTACTTCACTGATCAAAACATTTTTTATTTTTTTTTGCAAAATCACATTTGGAGCCTGAAGTGAATGAAATGTGGTTTATTTCCAGCTGACAAAAGCCCTGTGTTTTGGTTGTGCGTCTCCTCTTACGGGAACAGCATCTTTCACCTGCAGTCTGCTCACATTCAGAGGAAACAAAGCAGCTCTGTACCTGTACAAAGCTCTGCCTCCGATCGTGGCCAAGTTGGAGAACACACTCAGGTCTGTCATGTTGTCGGGCCAGGACTGGATGTTCAGATAACCTAAACACAAACAAGACAGACACGTACACACATCATCATGAAAAATCAGGATATACGCAGATATACACATAGACACACACACATAGACACAGACACACATATAGACACAGACACATAGACACAGACACACAAATAGACACAGACACACACAAACATAGACACAGACACACACACAAACATAGACACACACACACAGATACACATACACACCCACACACACACTCATAGACAGACACACACACACACAGACTCAGACACATAGACACACGCACACACATACACACACACACACACACACACACTCATAGACTCAGACACATAGACACACACACACACATAGACTCAGACACATAGACACACACACACACACACACACACATAGACTCAGACACACACAAAGACACACAGACACACACACACACCAAATAATAAAGAGGAGAGACGGGGAGAAAGCGAGGCAGCGGCAGCTTTAGAAATTCAGTGCATTCCTGAAGCCGGAGGACATCACCTGTGGCTCATTTCAAACTGCCCAGGCCTTTCATGGCCTCTCATGGCCTCTCATGGCCTCTCATGGCCTCTCATGGCCTCTCATGGCCTCTCATGGCCTTTCATGGCCTATTAGTCTGGGTCTGCTCTGACAACTAGTCCAAGTTAGAGAAAAGACAATCATCATCATTTATGCACTTGTGGACTGAGTTTGCTAAGTAAAGCTGGAATACCAAACTTTTCACCACACAAAAAAATTCTATCGCTTTGAATGCATGTTTTTGGTCTCTTTCTTACAAGTTTGCCAAAGATACAATTGTTGCTAATAAGAACTGTTTTTAAGACTCTTTCTGTTGAGACAAACAAGTGAAGTACCCCAGCTTTAAGTCAATAAATGCGCACAGTATAGATAGACAGAATAATAATTTAGAATTTTTTTCCCATAGCAGCTTGCAAATCAAGTTATAAAATAACATATGAGATAAAATAAAATAAATAAAAACATTTCAGAGAACATTTCATGAACAAACTATTTAAACAAATCGAACCTAGATATTATGAAAGTTAGAATATATTATAATAACTGCATATCCGTGGTACAGAGCTTTAAGTCTGCTTTATAAATGTATGTGTCCTTTATCTACACCTTAAATGATTCATAAGGCTAAATGGAGGTCTGTGCAGGGAGATATACCCCAATTTCAATAATGAATTCAGAATAATGAAATATTTACTGGAGAAAAGGTAGGGGGTCCACTCCTCCAGCCAACCTCATGGGATAAACAAATTATGTCCTTGGAAAGACGCACAGTGGGGCGGAGGACCCGAGGTGAAACCATGAATAAAGGAGAAGCAGGATAATGAAAGAAAAAGAACGTAATGTCACCGATGACCTCAGCGTGAGAAGACAAACAGCTGCAGTGACATCACCCACCACGCTGGAAGGGCCAAGAACCATCACCCACCACGCTGGAAGGGCCAAGAACCATCACCCACCACGCTGGAAGGGCCAAGAACCATCACCCACCACGCTGGAAGGGCCAAGAACCACCACCCACCACACCGGAAGGGCCAAGAACCATCACCCACCACACCGGAAGGGCCAAGAACCATCACCCACCATGCTGGAAGGGCCAAGAACCACCACCCACCACACTGGAAGGGCCAAGAACCACCACCCACCACGCTGGAAGGGCCAAGAACCACCACCCACCACGCCGGAAGGGCCAAGAACCATCACCCACCACTCCGGAAGGGCCAAGAACCACCACCCACCACGCCGGAAGGGCCAAGAACCATCACCCACCACGCCGGAAGGGCCAAGAACCACCACCCACCACGCTGGAAGGGCCAAGAACCACCACCCACCACGCCGGAAGGGCCAAGAACCATCACCCACCACGCCGGAAGGGCCAAGAACCATCACCCACCACGCCGGAAGGGCCAAGAACCACCACCCACCACGCCGGAAGGGCCAAGAACCACCACCCATGATGCTGGAAGGGCCAAGAACCATCACCCACCACGCTGGAAGGGCCAAGAACCACCACCCATGATGCTGGAAGGGCCAAGAACCATCACCCACCACGCCGGAAGGGCCAAGAACCACCACCCGCCACGCTGGAAGGGCCAAGAACCATCACCCACGATGCTGGAAGGGCCAAGAACCATCACCCACCACACCGGAAGGGCCAAGAACCACCACCCACCACGCTGGAAGGGCCAAGAACCACCACCCACCACACTGGAAGGGCCAAGAACCACCACCCACCACGCTGGAAGGGCCAAGAACCACCACCCACCACGCCGGAAGGGCCAAGAACCATCACCCACCACGCCGGAAGGGCCAAGAACCACCACCCACCACGCCGGAAGGGCCAAGAACCATCACCCACCACGCCGGAAGGGCCAAGAACCACCACCCACCACGCTGGAAGGGCCAAGAACCACCACCCACCACGCCGGAAGGGCCAAGAACCATCACCCACCACGCCGGAAGGGCCAAGAACCATCACCCACCACGCCGGAAGGGCCAAGAACCACCACCCACCACGCCGGAAGGGCCAAGAACCACCACCCATGATGCTGGAAGGGCCAAGAACCATCACCCACCACGCTGGAAGGGCCAAGAACCACCACCCATGATGCTGGAAGGGCCAAGAACCATCACCCACCACGCCGGAAGGGCCAAGAACCACCACCCGCCACGCTGGAAGGGCCAAGAACCATCACCCACGATGCTGGAAGGGCCAAGAACCACCACCCGCCACGCTGGAAGGGCCAAGAACCTTACTGCACACCTTCACGTCTTTTCAAAATGGGTATTCTTCAAAATGGTCTATGCTGGAAATGTAAAAATCAGGATGGAACATTTACTCATGCCATGTGGACTGGTTCTAAATGTAGACCTTTTTGGTCTAGGTTATACTTTGGTCTAGGTTGTAGAGACGATTGAAGGTTGGTTAGGAACATGTGCCTGATAATGCTCGACTTTGTTTGTTAGGAGATCTCTCTTTTTTTACCAAATGTTTCGAAAGTTAAAACAGCTTTGGCTTTAACTGTCATGGTGTGGACTTTTTGGATTATTTTAAGGTTTTATTTACTTTGTTCTACAGTATGGGCTATATGCACGGGGAGGCGTGACGTCATTTCCTGTTAACAAAGCACAGCCTATGCTATCCTATGGCTTTTATGTGGGTTTTAGTGACGTTTTTTAGTAATTAGATCGATACATTCAGCTGAGACTGACCCAAAAGTGCCGCTGTGCTTTCTCTCTGAGGTAGAGCTTTGACTGTGGCCACTCAGAGAGATTTGTAAACTTTATAAAAACACAATGACAGCACAATCAGAGAGCACTGCTGTGTCCAAAAAATTCCCAGTATCCACAGTTTAATCCCTGTTTGAGCATTATTTGGGAAACTTGTGTAAACCACTGCTGAACTCCAGTGAAACTCAAGCCGTTTCCCGCGAACAGGAAGTGAGGTGGGGTTGTCGCGAAAACGCTGAAGTGGTGCATGCATAGAGCCCATTGTATTTGAGTTTGAATCCTGCCTGTCCTGTCGGTTGTTGCCCCGCCCTAAAGTGATCTGTGTCTCCCTGTGTGTATACTGGATATACACCTTTCCTTACTTGTTGTCTGGCCATTGTCTCGTCCACGTTTGTCCCTTTTTCTTCATCCCCCCTCATGACATTAACAGGTTTTGTTTTTGGTTGCTAGAGTCATCCAACAAAAATGGAAAAGTCTGGACTGTCGGACTCACAGGGAGTGGGTTGTGTCAGTGACTGATATTGCATCGTTTGAACTGTTGGTGGCAAAATTACATAACTGTAAATAATCTTACTTTAGTGCCTGGGAGGCTTTTAATTCCTCTTTGAAATAGTAATTGTGTGCTGCAATATTGCTGTATTTTTTTTGTGATCTGTTTGTACAAATCTTTTCTATCTGTGCTGTGTTGTTAATGTTTGTGTTATTGTTAAAAAAACACAATAAAAATGTAAATTACAAAAAAAATCAGAACCTCAGGGTGTTCGCACGATTCAGAGTCAGCAGAAATGTCCAATATTGTGTCGAGAACTTTCCACATTTCTTATTTCAAGCTGAAGTTGTGAGTCAATCCGAACAAAAATATCGCAGCTTGAGAAACAGCTGCATATTCTCCCATTCGCTCACAACAAGATTTTTCAGCCTCCATGGAAACAAAAAACATGTCTTCTGCTGGATTGTGTAGCTTATTTAAGTTCTTTAAATATTTGGCAGGTAATGAAATACGATATTAAACCACGCATTGGCCTTTAATCGCATATGCTATAATTCATCATGTCGTTTGAAGAAGGTTTTCTACCACTTTAAAGTGCATATGACAGATACAATAAATCATTTGATTTCCCTCTCATATAATTCCTTCATCCCCATGAAAATGATAAAAGTTCTCATTAAATAATAAATTACACAATTCGTTTGTAAAATACCTCAAATAGACATCTATTTGTGATACTTCCGCAAAATCCTTAGTCACGTGACGTGACGTAGCGTAAGGGAGTTTGAACTTGCCTCACTCTAGTTATTGCTATCACCCCTAGTAGCTGGTATCGGATTTTCTGTCAATTTGTCGTTTATTTTAGTGAATATGGTGAACTATTGTGTGTGTGGAGGGTGCACGAATTCTTCATCCTCCGGATTCAGGGTACATTATTTTCCCAAAGGAAAAAAAAAGTCTTCTCTTTTCCGTGCCTGGGTGAATTTTGTACAGACGAAGAGGAAGGACTTTACCGCGGCCTCTGTGACCACGAGCTCTGTCATTTGTGACCACGAGCTCTGTCATTTGTGACCACGAGCTCTGTCATCTGTGACCACGAGCTCTGTCATCTGTGACCACGAGCTCTGTCATCTGTGACCACGAGCTCTGTCATCTGTGACCACGAGCTCTGTCATCTGTGACCACGAGCTCTGTCATCTGTGACCACGAGCTCTGTCATCTGTGACCACGAGCTCTGTCATCTGTGACCACGAGCTCTGTCATCTGTGACCACGAGCTCTGTCATCTGTGACCACGAGCTCTGTCATCTGTGAAGCCCATTTCAAGAAAGAGAACTATCTAAGTGGAGATCTGATGGAACTGGAGATGGGCTTCAAAAGTCGAAACAATGTGAGGCTGACGGAAGGAGCCGTGCCCAGTGTACAGTCTTTATCTTTGTCTGCTGCTAGTGCGGCTGCTAGTGCGGCTGCTAGCGGGGCTGCTAGCGGGGGTGCTAGCGGGGCTGCTAGCGGGGGTGCTAGCGGGGCTGCTAGCGGGGCTGCTAGCGGGGCTGCTAGCGGGGCTGCTAGCGGGGCTGCTAGCGGGGCTGCTAGTGCGGCTGCTAGCGGGGCTGCTAGCGGGGGTGCTAGCGGGGCTGCTAGCGGGGCTGCTAGCGGGGGTGCTAGCGGGGCTGCTAGCGGGGCTGCTAGTGGCGGCTGCTAGCGGGGCTGCTAGCGGGGCTGCTAGCGGGGGTGCTAGCGGGGCTGCTAGCGGGGCTGCTAGCGGGGCTGCTTAGCGGGGCTGCTAGCGGGGGTGCTAGCGGGGCTGCTAGCGGGGCTGCTAGCGGGGGTGCTAGCGGGGCTGCTAGCGGGGCTGCTAGCGGGGGTGCTAGCGGGGCTGCTAGCGCGGCTGCTAGCGGGGGTGCTAGCGGGGCTGCTAGCGCGGCTGCTAGTGCTAACGCGGGTAATGCAGGTGCTGGTACAGAAAGATCTTCATCAGCTTCAACAAAACGCTGGTTATTTTCAGTAAGTAACAGTTACCGTTGTTTCTATTTAAATGTATTAGCTACATAAGCGCTATTGTGTTGGATACATATGTTAGCTACTCGAGTTCAACTAGCAAGCATATAGCATAAGCTAGCATTATGTGAATGAATGTACTGCATGTTTGTAACACGTTTCAACAAATTAACTTGTGTAAACAACATTTCCAATACTAAACCATAATTTTCTATTTGTATCTGTGTTAGTCATTTAAAATCCATTGTGTTTAAAAACGTCACAGTTGAACTCGTAAGTTACTGAAGTGGTGGGACTAATTTGTCAGCTGGTATTTCCCAATTTCTAACTGGGAGTGCTGTTCCATTTCAGTAATTTACAAGTTGAATTGTTACATTTTTGAACCAAGAAAATTGTCTAAACTTTTACAAATGAGCAGCATAACGCAACATTCAATTATAACCAAGTTTGCGGTTTAGTATTTGTCCTGTTTTGCTCATATAAGGCAATTTGTTGGAAATTACAATTTTTCGAAGCTTGTTTAGCTTCATACAAGCTGCTGACAGATGATGTGTAGTAAATGTTTTTGTGCGTTTCAGATTTTGAGTGAAGATGATGAAGCTCTTACAAAAGAAATCATGAATGAACCCGATGAAGACTTTACCACTGATTCTTTGCCAAGAACTATCGATCAGGCTCTACAGTGCAACATAAGACTTCCTTATCGTTCATCCGGTAATGTTTGTTTCCCAACATAGATTGAAATAGTATCTAAAAGTTACTAACACATGTCACACTCACTTTGTAGAACTTAATTATAATATAAAATGGAAAACATTTTTCCCCCTGATTCAGAAAGTTTTCCCTTATGTTCAAGGTGTCCAGGTGAAGCCTACATTGATAAGTATTGGCACTCAAACTGAAGAGGATATTCATTCCACTACAACGGCCATCAATCATGTGACCTCTACACCTGTGAAGAATGATGAGGAGGATGAGCAGTCCTCCTTTGATTTTGATAGTCATCAGTGGGACAGCTCTTGGAGCATTGAGGAGGAGGAAATGGACACTGATACATCGGAGGAAGAGGCACAGGACGAAGAACAGAGAAATACAAAGTAAGTGATCATTGTTGTATAATTGGACTGTTCTAATGGGGAAGTAAATGTATTAACTTTACTTTTCAATAGATTTGCAGACAAATTTATAGTTTGTGAATCACAATTGCTGTCCTTTTTTGCCGTTTGTCCACAATGTTCTGAGGAAACCCAGCGAAAAGTAAAACACCAACAGGGAACCTTTATTAAAGTGGAACAGGCAAGATTGTCTTTACCATGAGTAACTCTGTTCTCACTGTTGGCTGTTTTTATTGTATAACTTAATGAATTAATTTTCTTACAGATTTGCTCTGCTTGTGGTTTTGAACGGGAATGGCAGAACCAACCAAAGATGCACAAATATATGCCTTTGTGCAACTTGATGCTTAGTGGGGCTATCCACTTTTCAGGGTGCATGCCAACACAGGCTTTGAGGATGCTTGGCCTGCTTGGAGTGCAATGTATAAGTGTTAGGACATTCTTTCGACACCAGCAACTATACACGATCCCCACCATCATTGGAACGTGGAAGAACAAACAAGCACAAATTCTGAACCAACTGAAGGCCAAAGAGGGAGGGCTTATTCTTGCTGGCGACTGCAGGTGAGTTGAAGATGAATAACTCTCATACGGTGTGAATAATTATAACAATGTATAAACAAACAAACATTTGAACAGATCTGATTCACCGGGGCATTGTGCTAAATTTGGAACATACACCGTAATTGAGGAGAGGATAAACAAAGTTTTGGACCTTCAACTTGTTCAGGTATGGCAATACTGTGGCTGAGTCACATGTTTCAATTTCAATATGGCCTATCTGCACGGTGATCACATGATTATCTACGTGTCTGGGTGGATTTTCTCCGGGCACGGTTTCTACTACCACACAATAACATGCACCATAAGTAAACCCATGTGTTGACCAAGCCAACTATCTGCAGAGGTGGAGATGGAAAAATATGAATGCATTACATACATTTTCAAACCAGCCATGATTAGTTATTAATGTCAATATAGAATTTAATATTAAATACCATCATGTATAAGGCATAAGGAATTCTGTATTTAAAAGGTTCATAGTTAGTCGTGCCTTGTACACAAAGTTTGGGATGAGAATAATCCTGTTTTTGTGTGCCTCTCAAAGAGCTCGGAAGTACCCAATAGTAATTGGTGTGAATTGGAGGGACTAAAGCGAACCATCAACCTTCTTTCTAAGGAGAAAATTAGTGTCTCTACGCTTGTGACTGATCGAAATCGCCAGGTAATGAATGTGGATAACTTTTAATAATATCTTCAGTCACAGTCATTTATGTCAAAGACTTTTGTTACTCAAAAGGTGGCCAAGTGGGTGCGTGAGAAGCTATGTCCAGAAGGCACAAAACATTTCTTCGATATTTGGCATGTTAGTAAAGGTAACTATGAAAGCACTCTTATACCTCCGCCATTTGGTGAGTTATGGCACAAACAAAGTTAGTTTCACCTCAAAAATGGATTGTTGATTGGCCCATAGTTCATGTTTCCTAAAAACTTCAAATCCAAATCCACCCATAACCGGAGTTGTGTCATAAGCAAATTGACAAATTCTCCCAATCACAGATGGTGGTAATAATGATCTAATTATAAATTGTCTTGGGACCGTCTGAAATATTTTTGCTTTTATAATTCATGTTCTGGTTTTTCAGGTTTAAAGAAGGCTTTGGATGCTGCCTCTAAAGAGCAACACTGTGAGGATCTCGCCCTCTGGAAAGCTGCAGTTATTAACCATCTTTACTGGACTGCTGCATCCACACCTGATGGCAATCCTGAAGTGTTGGAGGCAAAGTGGACTAGTTTGGTGAACCATGTCCAGGACATCCACACTCACAAGAGCCCCTGGTTTCCAGTCTGTGCTCATCCTCCTCTGGAAGGAGAAACCAGAGAGAAGCAGTGGCTGGAACCAGGTGATTTATTATTATTGTTGTTGTTAATATTACAAAAGTGAACATGTGTGCTAACCATCCCTCGCGTGGAGAAAGTCCCCACAGAAAGATGCTGTGAAGCCTGAGTGTTAGCCTGCCTGCCGCCATATATTATTCTAGGAAAGCATACGATTTTGTTTGAACTTGCACTGACAAAATAAATTGATCACAGGATCCCTGGTATCCATAAAGCTGGAGAGCATGGCGATGCGGCCGATGTTTGTTAAAGATGTGCGACAACTGTCGCCCTCACATCAGACCTATTCACTTGAGGCGTTCCATGCGCTCATTCTCCACTTTGCACCGAAACACACTGGGTTCTCCTTCCTGGGCATGTATAGCAGGTAAATATTGGCAAATTTTTTAAACTGCTGTTTTACTGTCCTATTTTATAACAACAATTTTGCCAATTCCCATTAGGCTTCTTCTTGCTGCCCTTCACTTCAACCATAACAGCAACAGAGAAGTTCTGCGATCTGACGGTGAGGTCCGCCATCAAGTACGGTACCCACGGTTTATGAAGGGTACTGCAGTGGTCCGTCCAATGAAGGAGACTCTGTCATATGGTTTGCATCAAGCGTAACTAAGAATAAAATGGATTGTACTGTTGGTATATGCATCTAATTTATGTCTGTATCCATTAGAATATGCGTTTGATCTTATGGAGCATCTGCATCGAACCTACAGCAGCACTCCGGAGGAGTTGAGACAAAGCAGTGCTCTCCTGGCATCCTCCGCGCCGCAGCCTCTTACAGCATCATTTCAGAAAGTTCCAAAGGAGGAGGCAGTCAGACAATATAAAGCGCTTCATTCTAGATTTTCTTCCCAGTGAATTCTAATTGCTTATTTCCACCACTGAGCGGGAAATCCAGAGCTCTGACTGCAGACACTGCTCCCTCTTTACCACAATAGTCAGACACAGCGACCATGTCAGAAAGTGTGAATGAATAAGACCACTTACAGATAAGACTTCATCTTATTAGAGAACTTGCCCATTGAAATGTTAGTAAGAGTGAGAAATATTCGGCATGTTTTTCTTTTTTTTCTGGTTTGAAAATGCACAGGTTAATTGTAATATTAATATCAAATTACTTGTTAAGTGTTATGAGTGTTTTGTAAGTTGTAATGTGAACTCCAATACTTTGGATTTTAATAGTACAATATTCCTACATAATTGTAAATATTGACAAAGCAAGTTCATACTTTGTTAGTCATATCTTTGCATGTGTTATTATTGTTACTTTTTGTATTGTGTATATTCTAAATGTTTTTGTATACAAAAACACTTCTACAGCATAGATTTACCTTTTTATTCATAATTTGGTAAGTTGGGCCACTGAAAGCCTTTGTACTGCCCTTGTTCTGGAAAGGAATTCCTTATTATGGAAACAATGCATGATGGTATGGGCTTTCTTATGTGCCTGCCCAGGATGCCATATGCCCAGCGCACCACCTGCCTGTAAGCTGTGTAGCGATACTGCCTGCAGAGTTACATTTGCATGTCAACACACAGACATCCACCATGATAGAAATGTGATGAAAAAGGGAACCTACTCATGCTGGGTAGCAACAAGAGGGCCAACCTCCTGCCTGAAGTTGAGGTAAGCTATCTGAAGCACATAAGGATTCAGACAGCAAGCTTCAAACCCTGGATGTTCTGTCAGACAGGTAATATTTGGTTGTGGTGGGTTTATCTTTTCCACCAAGGTCCAATAGGCATCAACCTCCCTGCAGCACATGCTTTCCTCAGCTGTTGGCATGAATAGACATTTCCCACACAAGCACCTTTGAGAAATAATCAAATTATATAAATTAAAGGTAGTGCTAGTTGCCACTGGAGGGCAGCATAATTTTATAAACGACTGTATAATAATCATGTGATATGCGCAAATGGGGAGTACGACTTAACCAATAGTAAGTAAGTAATCTTTATTTATATACCGCCTTTTCACTGCACATCGGAGTCTCAAAGCCGTTTACAATTGTTATTTTTTGCAGTGGGGGTGCCAGTACAGGAGGCACATGCCAGACCTATTGTACATATTTTTAGTGGTAGGGGAAACCGGAGCACCCGGAGGAAACCTACGCAGACACGGGGAGAACATGCAAACTCCACTCAGAAAGGCCCTGGTCCAACCGGGATTTGAACCCAGGACCTTCTTGCTGAGAGGCGAGAGTGCTATCCACTCAGCCACCGTGCCGCTGATAGAACTAAACCATGCGCTCAATTCCGTGGGTGAGACATCTTAAGAGCGCATTCATGAATGGACAATGCCCTATTTAAACAATATATGGTTTTAAGTAATAAAGTTAGGCTACGTTTTATACAGAATTTAGAATTTTGCGCGGCTGTCGCTGCCTAGCTTACCAAGATGATTGGCCTGTTCGCCATTCATTTTCTTGACACCAAAGCTCAATTTCCCTTCTATGGCCATCATTCCTCACTCTCGGGCGTTCACGTTCTCTGTGATCTATCACAACAGGCTCAAAATTGTATGGAATAGGTCCATCATACAACAGTTGTGATGCATCGCGCTCCATTGTTATACTGTATACAATATACAGCAATGTGTTGTGTACCTTACGTGACGTAGGGCTCGGAACCGGGTTGGAATGCGGAAGTAAATATTTTCACATAAAATGCAATAAACTGTTAATATTACTTATATTTTATATACATTTCAACCTTAATAATAAATATGATTGTGTTATCGACATTTAAGTAACATTGGTACCCTAATCTGTCATATGCACTTTAACTTATTCTGTTACCACTTGTGCAAGTATTGTTCAAACAAATAAATCCATCTGCACCTGCGGACTGCCCTGCCCGACCCGCCTGGGAGTTCTTAAGTCCTGCACCGGACCTGTCCACGTTCTACGGCCTCTGCGTGGCATTGGTCCACGTTCTGTAGCTTAGGTCCTGGATCTATAGCCCGTCCGTCCGTCGGAGCGGATCCTTTTCTCAAATGTGGGTCTCCCCGAGGTTTCTCACTTTTTTTCCCACTGAATTTTTCCTTGTCCATCTAGTCCAACTAGATGGACTAGATGGAGTCCATCTAGTCCAACTAGATGGACTGTGGTGATGACCCAGGACACTTTAACATTCTACAACATGTATGACATTTATCAACATTCATGGACATTGGTCTCTCCCTATGGACCAATACATATGTTTATATTTTGTGTTTTAACTGTTGATTTTCTGATCTGTGTTGGTGATTTCAATGGTTTGGTTAAGTCTCTGAGATGACTTTTGTTGTGATTTAGGGCTATACAAGAATACGTTTTTGTTGTTGTTGTTGTTGTCAAAACGCAGAACACACAATTCCTTAAATGTAACTTTGGTCATGATGGGTCAATCTATGGTTTTTTATTGTCGTAATGAAACCCTGTCAGCATGTCCTCTCCATTACAGAGCACTTCAAATTGCACTAAACAGGGAGAGGCCACATGCTCAAAGCAAAGGTTAAGAATAGTGAGTGTGGTCATTATATTCTGTGTCAACCCACTTTCTTGTCAATTACAAAATCCTCTTGCCAAGTAAAAGGTGTAGCCTAACCTTGAGAAATGACAGAAAGAAGGAGAAAGACTATGGGAGCCACAGCGGTGCTGCGGGGAGAGGGTCCGCCCACACGGATCTCATTTAAAAACAGGAGCGACGCGAGCTTTGACCTCGGGGTCACAGCGGCAGGTTCCACTGACAGCTCCGAGAGATGACTGGCTGAGCTGACACACACGTCTAAGTCACACTGCTGCCCGGTGTTTGTGTCCCCCACGTCAAGAGCCGAGGCCAAACTGTGGATGGAAACCAGGGAAGCCACAACAGACGGACTGATCATGCATAAAGAGCAGGCCTGGACTGTTCAAGGCTTTAATAATGCACGTTGTGGATTTGACAGTTTGACTTTTCTTTTTAGTATGTCAGGGTTAATGTGCTGGAGAATGGAGTTGAATTGAGATGCTATACATGTTGAGATGAATTCTAGATTCAAGGTTAACGTATTATGTCCCGTAGGAAATTTGTCTTGGACTCACAGCTGCCACATTGAAAATATACATAAGACAGATATAAAAACACTTTAATACAGACATAAACCATCAGCTCTGCTCCACGGCCTGCATTCAGGAGGTTCACAGATATGGGTAGGAACCAGTTCTTATACCGGTTTAGATATCGTTACTTGTTTCTAGTCGGTTCTCTGCAGCGGCGGCCTGATGGGAGGAGCTCATACTCAGAGTAGAGCACATGGGAAGGGTCTGAGGTGATTTTCTTTGCCTAATAACAGTCTCCTCAAATATCTGCTGCAAAGATGGATGCATTGTATTGGATGAATTAAAAACATTTTAGACACTACACAAGGAACAAACTTTTATATTTCCTGTTTGCACATTGTTTTTGCATAATCTGACTCAAACTATATGTTCAAACGTATTGGGAGATCAATAAAGTCTAAGATAAGATTAGATAGACTCTCACACAGGAGAAATTTACATGTCACATCTGGCATGGATAGAATCACTCAATATTGTGCAAAAGAAAGAAATGTGCAAACATGTTAAATGCAGGATATATTAAGTACAATAAAAAGCCATTAAAGAAACAGTGTCAGCAGTAGTGCAGCTTTTTTTTCTTATTCTTACTTTAACTTAGACTTGTCCAGGGGTTAAAAAACACAGATTGTAAAACTGTTTTCAGGCTGTTCTGAGCTTATGTTAGTTATGAAGGGTTAGGATATCCATATTGATTAATGTTTAATGGAGAATAAGTTGGCTGGATGACAGATGGTTACCTATATTAGTGTAATTCAAAGCGGATGGATTCTGGAGGCTCTGAGCTTAACAAGGGACATCAAGTCTCTTTTCATGGAGCTGAAGTTGGCTGTTGGATAACTGTGCAACTGTTGATGATCTCATTGGCTTTGAGATATTTTATTTGGGGTTTTTACAACAAAAAAGATTGAAAAATGCCTCTTTTTGTGGAATGAGTGTCATGTGTAAGTTTCATGTTGTAAGTTCGATAACATAAGTCAAAAGAAGAGCTTTCCCTGCTTTTCTAAATGCTAGCTTCACTTCCTCTGATCGACACACCAACATCTCAGTGTGCGTTAGTTTGTGTGCTGGTGGAGGGTTTTGGGATTAATGATGCGATCCACATGTTCAGGAGCTTTCTTCATGGAGCGTGAAGAGAGAGCTGGGACACAGGGACTCAAGGCCCGGGACTCCCCATGGGACCGCCAGCAAAGAGACATTGAAACAACGCACACGGAATTCATCTTCTGTGACTGTCCTTGGTGAGCCGGTCTCAAAGGAAGGAGGTGAAGAAGACACAGACACACAACGATGCACTCACCGTGTGGCGTCTGGCTTTAACGGAGATGGCTACAATACGTTGTTATTTATTCATGTGTGTGTATGGAGCGCTGTTGTACCTGTGATCTCTCGAACCGTGCGGAATACATTCAGTTTTTCTGGGTCCAAAGCTTCAATGTTGAGATAAACGTCCCTATGGAAAGAAACATAGGTTCGTGCATTTGTATAGATTTTAGTTTTGCCGATGAAATTATGTATCCGAGTGGACTTGAGGAACATTTCTCAATCTCAATGGATTTCTTTCCAATATAAATAAGTTTGTCTACTGCTAAAAGCTGGGGCCTGTAACTTTAAAGCCAAACAAAAAGTACCCTTACAGTACTTTAATGCAATCCATGTAACTAGGCACACTTAGGCCTGGATCAAACAGTTTGGTTCTCTCCGTAGTTTTCATTTTGGCCTCTGTCACACCTTTTTCAGACAGAAAAGTGAAACAGGCAAAAGATAGTGGTGCTCTAAGATGAACACATTATGTTGTGGTTCTAATTTGTTACTCAAGAAAACATCACTGATTATTTATTAAACAAAAATCTAGGTACCCCAGCTTTAAGTCCGAAAAGTTTTTTTTCTTCTCCAAAAGAGACCACATTAGAAGTTAGAAGATATATTTACTGTATTATTCTTATTCCGACCTGTAGATGATGCAATGAGGTAAAGGTAAAGGTGCACTGTATTAATCACCGTAGGGCGATTCATCCTCTGCATTTGACCCATCCTGATGCTGCTAAGGTTTACGTCAGGAGCAGTGGTCGCCGTAGCAACAGCGCCCGGGAACCCATCTCCAGATGTTGATGCTCTGCTTGGTCAGGACCAGAGCTGGAGGATTTAATTCTAGTGTGCATGTTTTTAGTGGTAGGGGAAACCGGAGTACCCGGAGGAAACCGACGCAGGCACGGGGAGAACATGCAAACCCCACTCAGAAAGACCCTGCTCCAAACAGGATTCAAACCCAGGACCTTCTTGCTGAGAGGCGAGAGTGCTAACCACTCAGCCACCGTGCCGCCCATGGTACACACACACAATCTAACTTATTTACAGCTTTTATCCAAACAAGCTCAAAATATTAAACAAATATAATTGGATAACGGTGGCTTTGTAACTGATGCCTGATGGACAGACTGTTTGGGTAGACGTATAGAACAATACAATTTGAACATATAAAATAATGAAATGAGAGCTATATCTGTAATATTCCACGGCCAACTTTGTGTGTATTCTGAAGTCCCAACCTGTCTTTTTATAAATTAGGAGATAGTCTTGAGTCTTGAGTCTGAGCTGAAACTCATTCTGTCATTACTTCCAGTTACATCATTTAAAACCCTCCCCACGCTCATCACTTACCCTTTGATTCCTGTGATGAGGAAAACCAGGTTCCCGTTAATTTTGGTACAGTTGATGAATTTGTGGATGTTGCTTGAATCCACGGTCTGCGCGCTCTGCAGGCTGGCGGTGCCGATGCCGTCACAGGCTGCGAGAAAACACGTGTTATAGGCCGGAGTTCTGTAGTGTCGGAGTAAAAACATGTATTCACCTTTCGGACAGATGTCGGTACAGGCGATGCACATCTTGATGCGGTTTTCCTCCACTTCCATCTTGTTACTGGGACACGCTCTGACGCATGAGCTCTGATCCACCACAAAGTTATCTGGGGAAAGGGGAAAAAGTGATGGATTTCAGAAGCGGAGGGTTTGAGGTTTGGGTCAACGTTTGCAAGAAAAGTATTGCATAAGAAAGTGACTGGATTAGCGCAGAGTAGAGTCAAAGACAGAAGTAAGTAAGTAAGTAGTAAGTAAGCTTTATTTATATACCGCCTTTCACAGACCAGAGTCACAAAGCGGTTTACAATTGTTATTTTTTGGGCACTTGTCTCTCACTCCACACAGAGATGGGAACGGGGTCGCCGAACAGGAGGCGCATGCCAGACCTATTGTGCATGTTTTTAGTGGTAGGGGAAACCGGAGTACCCGGAGGAAACCTACGCAGGCACGGGGAGAACATGCAAACTCCACTCAGAAAGGCCCTGGTCCGGCCGGGATTCGAACCCAGGACCTTCTTGCTGAGAGGCGAGAGTGCTATCCACTCAGCCACCGTGCCGCTGAAGGTACAAACAAGTCTGGTGAAGGTATGTTAGTCATGGAAAACCACTGGAGAATAAACTTATTACTAGTTCAGCTGGGTACCTACTGAACCACAACACACTGAACTAAGTAAAAAACATCCAGCTAACTCGCTCCTTGCTCTCAGTTTGATTCTATCACTAGTTTTCACGAACATACATGAATACATACATGAATACATTGCTCTCAGCCCAAATCGTCAAGTAGTAACTTATGGTCCCTTCCATGTAAAAACAAAAAGGGCCACCTCCAGCTTCCTCCCAACCTCCATTCACCTTTAAACGACTGATCTGGAGACCTGTTCTATGTATTTTAAAATGCATTTCTGCTCTTTTACTGTGTTTATACCAAGATTGTGTGTTTCTGTGTACCCCCACCGGTGCTCCGCCTGTAAATGCTCCTCACGAATGAATAAAGTTATTTGGATTGAATTGAATGGGGCTCTTCTTTAGTGACTCGCTTGACTCTTTGTGTTGGGACAAAACAATAATTATGATGAAGGCCAGCTTTAATGTTGCCAAAGTCCTGTCCTTTAGTCCCGTGGCAAGACACTTCACCCACATTAACCAGCATCTAGCGTTTGTGTATGAACGACTAAAATCTGATTTTTTTTGCCTTGGCGAGTAACAGGAAGTGACAAACTAGTAATTTGCTCTAGAAAACGGTGCAAACAAGTAATGACAGAAACATAGATTTAAAGACATGCATATATATAATACAATTCTAATATAAAAGTAAACACTATAGACTCTTAACAGTGCAGAGGATCAACAAGCGAAGTATGACACATAGGGTGCACTTTATGTACAATACTTCATGTACTATACTTCATACTATATCTCGATGCTGTGTGTCGGTTCTTACGTGGGCACTTCTTGACGCAGAAGGCTCCGTAGGTGTACTTGGCTCCAGGGTTGTGCTCCAGTTGGAAGGAGGTCGGGTTGTAAACAAACGGCTGTGGACACTGGGTCACACACGCGCCGCTGTCGTTGAAGTTTGTGCAGGCCTGAGACGGGACACAACATGTTTCTACACTTGTTATAATTCATTTATTTTGTAACGTATATAATTGTGTTTGGGTTGTTTGGGGTAAAGCCAGTAAAGCAAGTACTGTACAGTATATGGAAAAAGAATCATTGATATTACTCATGCTTCTACACACTGTCAATGTCTTAATAATAATAAACAGCTCCCACACTTTTCCATTAATATTTTCAGACTATAAATGTAGGATCATGACAATTCACGATTATTGAATACAAAAAACTATTCTTAAGGTACTTTATATGAAAATAAAATGGCTCTGACGACGATGCTCCTCACACTGCCACACATTTCAGAGATTTTATTCCAGATTATGTCTTTTACAGAACGGCAAAGTGCAGCGGTCACTCACAAAGCAGTCCGTGTCCTTGGGTCCGTAGCAGCCTCCTGCGCACTCACGGTGGCAACAGTCGCTGACGTAGGGCCCAAAGCAGCGGCCGTCGCACTGCTCCGCACACACCGTCTTAGTTACTGCGGAGAGAGGAGCACATGTATATACAGACAACATGTTTAACTTCACATGAATTATGAGCACACGTTAGAAAAGGAGTGGGTGGAAGTAAAAAATGTATTTAGTCCAGCCTCATTGTGTGCATTTAAAGATGCAGTTAGCAATGTTGTTAGCTTAGTCGTAGCACCAACTCAAACCACTCCCCCCTCCCCTCCCTCTCCACCAAACCACTCCCCCCTCCCCTCCCTCTCCACCAAACCACTCCCCCCCCCCTCCCTCCCTCTCCACCAAACCCCCCCCCCTCCCCTCCCTCTCCACCAAACCACTCCCCCCTCCCCTCCCTCTCCACCAAACCACCCCCCCCCCTCTCTCTCCACCAAACCACTCCCCCCTCCCCTCCCTCTCCACAAAACCACTCCCCCCTCCCCTCCCTCTCCTCTAAACCACTCCCCCTCCCCTCCCTCTCCACCCCCCCCCCCCCCCCCCCCCCTCCCTCTCCACCAAACCACCCCCCCTCCCCTCCCTCTCCACCAAACCACTCCCCCTCCCCTCCCTCTCCACCAAACCACTCCCCCTCCCCTCCCTCTCCACCAAACCACCCCCCCCCCTCTCTCTCCACCAAACCACTCCCCCCTCCCCTCCCTCTCCACAAAACCACTCCCCCCTCCCCTCCCTCTCCTCTAAACCACTCCCCCCTCCCCTCCCTCTCCACCAAACCACTCCCCCTCCCCTCCCTCTCCACCAAACCACTCCCCCCTCCCCTCCCTCTCCTCTAAACCACTCCCCCTCCCCCCTCCCTCTCCACCAAACCACTCCCCCCTCCCCTCCCTCTCCACCAAACCACTCCCCCCTCCCCTCCCTCTCCTCTAAACCACTCCCCCCTCCCCTCCCTCTCCACCAAACCACTCCCCCTCCCCTCCCTCTCCACCAAACCACTCCCCCCTCCCCTCCCTCTCCTCTAAACCACTCCCCCCTCCCCTCCCTCTCCACCAAACCACTCCCCCTCCCCTCCCTCTCCACAAAACCACTCCCCCCTCCCCTCCGTCTCCATCCAAACCAAACATCCAGCATTTTCTTTTCTTTGTCACAGAGAGAGTGAAGCGAACGTGAAATTGTCATTTTCTGTTCAGCCATTTTAGGTTTACTCGCGAGAAACAGGAAGAGGGTGAAAGAGGTAAACACATCCCATTGGTTTGTTTTTATCGGGTTTGTTTTTATCGGTCCGCTCCAAAATAATCTTTAAAAAGGACTAAAAATTGTTTTTAGGATTTTTTTAAAATATACAATACTATTATTTTACTTTTGATTGCGACAACATCTGAAACACTGATGTAAATTTAAAGTGGCTTTTGATTGAAACAGATTGACTTTGAGCATGAAACTTTTGGCAAGACAAAAACAAGGGCTTTAAAAATGTGTGCACTTAAAGGCAAATTGTGAGGTGAATGTGAAAGCGTTTGAGCCGTCTCCATGGCAACCTAATGGTGTCAGCACCATGAACCCACTCCATCAAATGAGTCTGTTAATGGACTTTGCTCTTCACTTTTTAACATCATTCCCTGAAGAAGAACAATACACAACATTTTAGTATGTGCACAGTTGTTACATGCACGTGTTAAAACTATAACGATGGAGAAGGGGAAATGGCAGTCGGTCTATTTCCAGAATGTAAAATGTTCAAATACCTCTTGGAGCGTGTATAATGCACTATGGTTTGACAATGATAATACTAATAATCTTTTAATTTCTCTGTCTAGCATCTAAAGTAAATGAAAAAGGTCGTTCAGGTTGACTGTAGCAGAAGCCAAGGTTGTTCTGAGGAGGGCTTTGGCATCGCTCCTGCTCCTGCTCCTGCTAGCCGTCTGCAAAAATACATATTAGCAAATGATTCTAGATTCTGGGAGCAACAGGAAGTTTCCATGTCTTCCCCTTTGTCTCCTCCTGAATGTAAAACTCACTAAATTAAAGCCAGGATACCAAACATTTCCCTTCAATTAATAATGAATGTTATTTGAGCCTTTAAGTGTGTGCCCAAAAGTAAAATATTGTGAACAAATCAGACCACAACAGTCTTAAAGAGCCCAAATTGCAAGTTAAGTACTTGTCTGAGAGAGATTTGCTGAGAGGGGCCTGGCAGAAACTAGTCTAAAGTACCATATTTTCGTATTCAGCTGTTTGCGATAAAATCAACTTCTGTGTAAATATATTCTTTAAGGCATTTGGAGCTTTGCAATGGACTATGCTTTCTCTTACTTCTCTTCCCACTTCCCACACTTCCCATAATTGTAATGCCTGAATATATAGGGAATCTTTTAATTCCTTTATCTAGCATCTAAACTGAATGAAAAGGTCGTTCAGGTTGACTGTAAAGAAGCCAAGGTTGTTCTGAGGAGGGCTTTGGCATCGCTCCTGCTCCTGCTCTGGGTAAACTCTGGTGTGTTCAGTGTGTTCTTGGACGTATGAAGGGCCATATGTCTCTGTGTGCACGGCTTCTAACACATATGTGGAACCGTGTCACATGAACACGTGGGCAGAATGTGTCGAGCAGGAAAGGACTGGGACATACTGTACATCTGAGCTAAGGAAAGAAATGGTCTTTAGAATATAGCCGTGTGCATGGAAGATGTTGAAACAAACAAATGAATGCTACAATAACAGCTTAGCACCGCCGTGAAGCACATGGGTGTCATTAAAGGTGCCATGTGCGCGCTTTTTTGTAGAGCACAATTCATACACAAGGCAACTCCAAGTGCTGAACTAAACAAGAAAGCATTAAAATCATGAATAATCACAGAACATTACAAAGAAAGATAAAAATATAAAATCCCTCAGTTGTAGCACAGCTAAACAGAACTGTCTTTAACCTGGTTTTAAACATTGTCAGAGAGGAGGCCTGTCTCACATCTTCAGGAAGATTGTTCCAGACTTTAGCAGCATGAATCTGAAAAGCAGCCTCCCCATGTTTAGTTCTGACTCTGGGACCAGCAGGAGTCCAGTCCCTGTGCTCCTCAGAGTCCCAGCAGGACACGGACACGGACAGACACACACAGACACAGACACACACACAGACACACAGACAAAGACAGACACAGACACACACACAGACACACAGACAAAGACAGACACACACAGACACAGACACACACACAGACACAGACACACACACAGACACAGACACAGACACACCCACACAGACACACACAGACACACACACACACAGACACACACAGACACAGACACGCACAGACACACAGACACACACACACACACACACACACCAGACACAGACACACACACACACACACAGACACACAGACACACACAGACACAGACACACACTCACACACAGACACAGACACAGACACACACACACACACAGACACAGACACAGACACACACAGACACACACACACACAGACACAGACACAGACACACACACACACACACACACACAGACACACAGACACACACACACACACACAGTCTGCCTAACGTACCATCGCACTACCATTACGCATGCCCCGGCCTGCTACGCTCAAAAGACACTTTGTCAAATGGCCTTGTCTGGAGACACATGCAATACCTTTGATCAATTTACCTTTAAATTTCCACTTTAGCGATGAAATAAATAAAAGCAAGAAGCGCAGTCGAGGGAAACACACAAAGAATCTATCTCATAAACTGTGCCCACAGGCTTCTATCTGAACAGAGCAGAAGCATCGGTCAAAATATCCCATGTTTATTCATCGAGTTGTCTGCTGTTGGGTGTTGTATAGTCGGCTAACTATATATAAATGGTCGTTATAGTATCATTACACAGTTAACATTATGTATAGTGGTACAGATAATGTTTTAGTAAATACATATAACAGTAAATGAGGATTTTGGATTCTGGGAGCAACAGGAAGTTTCCCCCTTTGTCTCCTCCTGAATGTAAAACTCACTAAATTAAAGCCAGGATACCTAACATTTCCCTTCAATTAATAATGAATGTTGTTTGTGCCTTTAGGTGTGTGCCCAAAAGTAAAATATATTGAACAAATCAGACCACAACACTCTTAAAGAGCTCAAATTGCACGTCACTATTTGTCTGAGAGAGATTTGCTGATTTGCTAAGAGGGGAGATACATTAGTGACATGTTGGTGCCATATGAACCGGCTCGGACTCTGAGGAGCACAGGGACTGGACTCCTGCTGGGACTCTGAGGAGCACAGGGACTGGACTCCTGCTGGGACTCTGAGGAGCACAGGGACTGGACTCCTGCTGGGACTCTGAGGAGCACAGGGACTGGACTCCTGCTGGGACTCTGAGGAGCACAGGGACTGGACTCCTGCTGGGACTCTGAGGAGCACAGGGACTGGACTCCTGCTGGGACTCTGAGGAGCACAGGGACTGGACTCCTGCTGGGACTCTGAGGAGCACAGGGACTGGCCTCCTGCTGGGACTCTGAGGAGCACAGGGACTGGCCTCCTGCTGGGACTCTGAGGAGCACAGGGACTGGCCTCCTGCTGGTGCCCAGAGTGAGAACCAAACATGGGGAGGCTGCGTTTCAGATCCATGCAGCTAAAATCTGGAACAGTCTCCCTGAAAATGTGAGAGAGGCGTCTACTCCAGGTTAAAGACTGTTCTGTTTGCCTGTGCTACAACTGAAGGATTTTATCTCCATTTCTAATGCACTGTGGTTATTTATTTATTTATTTTTTAATTCTTTGTGTAATTTGACAGTTTTAATGGCTTTAATTTTTTGTGTGATTTGAATGTTTTCATTGTGATTCTGGTGTTTGTTTAATGTGATGATTTGTGATGTGGACTGTGAAGCGCTTTGTGTTGCCCTGTGTATGAAAGGCGCTCTACAAATAAACGTTGATTGATTGATTGATTGAGGGGCCTGGCAGAAAATAGTTGCACTAGTCTAAAGTACACAAACATTTTTTATTTACGTGTTTGCGATAAAATCAACTACTGTGTAAATATATTCTTTGTGTATTTGGAGCTTTGCAATGGACAATGCTTTGATGTTTTTGCTTACTTCTCTTCCCATAATTGTAATTTATGTGCCTGAATACATAGGAGTGTGTGTGATTGCTAAAAAAATACTTCGCTGGTTGCATTGGAACATATGTTTTATATTTGAAACACGGTCCTAGTACCCTGGTCTTATCCATCCGTACACTTCGCTCAATCATAATTTCCTGCATGTAACGTCTGGGTCTGGTCCCTGTGTTTGTGATTACAATCGGTTGAATTCTATCCGACCAATCAGAGAGTGCGGGAGGCGGGTGTTGTAGTTAGATGTGACGTCAAGAGTTTGCGTCGAGCGGGCAGGTCGTAGTTTGGCGAAGAATGCGATAGTAAAGTATTCTGGTCTGGTTCTATCAAGAAATTGAAGCCGGAGCAAGAAGAATGTTTAGCAAATGCAATTGATGGCAAGGATTGTGGCGCTACTCCCCACGGGCTCCGTTAGCGGAAAAGGAGATGGCTAAAGCTAGGCTAAATACTAATGCTAATGACTCACACGGGCTCATTACATACAGTACGTTACGGTAAACTCAGATCCAATGGTTTCAATCTGCAAAAGGAGTTAACCCCTCCCACCTGTTAACGGAGTCAATGGAGCAAATCCAGACCTTAGTACCAAATGTAATTAGTACTATGGTGTGGTACGACCTAGCTAAGGTCGTAGCCTTGATTTGTGATATTTGTGATGATATTTCCATTGGCCTTTTGCTCATTCATTATTTTCTCTTTTCCCTCCTTGATCCAATAATCACTATGGCTCATCCACACATTCCCACCTTGAGGTTATGTTTTCTTGAAGCAGAATCCACGCTCATGTCGTCATAATCAAGACAGAAGCTAAAATAAGGTCACAATATTTATATGCACACCCCACATGGAAACTCACCCATCATCTCATGCTCCACGCTTCTTCTTATCTACAGTATTCGGCACCACATCCACAAACTACACAAGCAAGTGTTGTCTTGTTGGCTGAGTTATAGGCGGAGGGCAGGTGCTCAAGTTTGAGATGGATTTTTAAACTTTATTCTGTACTCCACAGGGAGCCAGTGGAGTGATTTTAACACCGGAGTTATGTGCTCCCTCCTTTTGGTACCTGTTAAGATCCTAGCTGCTGTATTCTGAATGAGCTGGAAGCTCTTCAAAGAGGCTTTAGGGCACGCTGCCAGTAAAGCGTTACAGTAGTCGAGCCTTGAGGTGACAAACGCGTGAATGAGTTTTTCCGCGTCACTTTTAGGAAGGAAATGCCTAATTTTAGCGATGTTCCGTAAGTGGAAGTACGCCGTTTTAGTTGCTTGGCTTATATAAGCCTTGAAGGAGAGTTCTTGGTCAAAAATGACTCCAAGATTCCTCACAGTGTTACTGGGTATTATACTGACATTATCGAGAGTAACCATCTGGTTAGTGAGGGAGTCACGCAGGCGCTTCGGACCGAGTAGGATCACTTCTGTCTTCTCCGGGTTGAGAAGTAGGAAGTTAAGAGTCATCCACATTTTAAGGTCCTTTATGCAGGCACTGAGCTTTTCTAGCTGATCTGTCTGGTTAGGCTTCATCGACAGATAAAGCTGTGTGTCATCTGCATAGCAGTGGAAATTAATTCCATGCTTTTTAATAATGTTTCCCAGTGGCAGCATGTAGAGAGTGAAAAGAATCGGTCCGAGTACCGAACCCTGCGGCACACCGAATTGCACTCCAGAATGAGGCGACGAGTCCTGATTCACATTGACGAAGTGATATCGATCTGATAAATAGGATTTAAACCAGCCAAGGGCTGTTCCTCTAAGACCTATATCACATTCTAGCCTCTGCAGTAGAATGCTGTGGTCTATTGTGTCAAATGCAGCACTAAGGTCCAGTAGGACCAGCACTGACACTTGTCCATTATCGGCAGCTAGTAGTAAGTCATTTGTGACTTTGACTAGTGCCGTTTCAGTGCTATGATGAGCTCTGAATCCTGATTGAAAGACTTCAAACATATTATTTTCCTGCAGGTGGCAGCGGAGCTGCTCAGCTATAAGTTTTTCCAGGATTTTAGATATAAAAGTGAGGTTTGAGATCGGTCTGTAGTTTGTAAGTATTTCTGGGTCCAGGTTTGTTTTCTTCAGAAGGGGTTTGATTACCGCGGTTTTAAAAGCTTGTGGGACATAGCCACATTGTATGGATGCGTTTATTATATTTACGATAGGCTCAATTATCAAAGGAAGTATGTCTTTGAAGAGCCATGTCGGGACTGCGTCTAACATGCAAGTTGAGGCTTTTGAGGATGTGACCACAGAGATCACCTCTGCTTGGCTCACAGCCATGAATTTATCAAGGCCCACTGAAGAGTCTAAGTGGGAAGTCACGTATACATATAAAGCCATAAATGGCTTGGCTCCCTCTTATCTCCAAGACACGTTAGTGTCGTATCAACCAGGTCGAGCGTTGCGCTCACAAAACGCCAGACGTCTGGTGGTCCCTAAGGTCTCAAAGGTCACTGTTGGTGGCAGAGCATTTAGCTACCAAGCTCCTTTACTGTGGAATCAGCTTCCCATTTATGTTAAGGAAGCAGATACGGTCTCCACATTCAAGGCCAGGCTTAAAGCACTTTACTTTAATTTAGCATATAACTAGGTAATATATAATATGTAGTGTATATATTATATATATATGCTGTATTATGTTATATATTATGTTATATATTATTCAATAATGTATTGTGTTATGTTGTATATTATGTCATATATTATGCTGTATGTTATTCTTTATTCAAGGCTAGGTTTAAAACAGTCCTCTTTAGTTTAGCATATGGCTAGGAAGGTAAGACTCTGAGAAGGTTAAACTCCTCAGAGTGTCAGTCAAGCTGCATAGGGAGTCAGTTTGCTGGGAGAAGTATGGTAACTTGAGCACTATCCTCTCCTCCTTCCTACTTTATCTGTTTAGCATTTTTAGGATTCTGACTGTAGTTTGTTCATTGCCATTCACCCGTTGTCCCATTGTCTGTTTCATGGTACGATGACGGGATCTCTGAGCCTGGCCTCTTCCATCTACACCTGCGGACTGCCCCGCCCGACCCGCCTGGGAGTGCTTCGGTCCTGCACCGGACCTGTCCACGTTCAGCGTCCACTGGTCCACGTTCTGTAGCTAGCTTAGGTCCTAGATCATTAGCCTGTCCGTCCGGAGGAGCGGATCCCTTTCTCATATGGGTCTCCCTCCCTGTGGGTTTCCCTAGTGCTCCCCAAGGTTTCTCACTTTTTCCCACTGGGTTTTTTTAAGAGTTTTTCCTTGTCGATGCAGGAGGGTCTTGTTGGACAGTTAGTGTCCAACAGAAAGGATTGGTGATGATCAGGACACTTTAGCATTCTACAACATGTATGGACATTTTCTTCTGTGTGTGCTTTATATTCTTCATGTGTTTTAACTGTTGATTCTCTGACCTGTGTTGGTGATTTCAATGGTTTTGTTAAGTCCTCTGAGATGACTTCTGTTGTGACCTAGGGCTATACAAGAATAAATTGTATTGTATTGTGTATTGTATTTTTATTATGAAAGTAATTAAGTGTTCCCAATAAAAGGCTGCACTTAATGTAGTCTTAATTATGGAGAACAAAATGCCTGCACCTGGGCCTTGTCTGGCTCCGTGACAAGAGACATTTTTATTTTTTGGATGTGTTTGACTTTGATATACTCTCCATATTTGTTCAACAGGCTGCACTGATTATACAAAACAAATGGATGACTGGAACACTGCATAGACATAATAACTGTATGTACTTGTCTTGTTTTCTGCAATGATTACTGCCACGGTCTCTAGAAGTATGAGTGCTTTTTAACTTTTTTATCATTATAGATATTTTGTCAACATTTACTATATTTGTGCATGGACCCCAGTTATGTGCTATTTTTGTAAATGTTCAGATTTTAAAAAGATGACATACCCATATCTACTTTTTGATGTGGCAAACAAAACTAAAAAAATCAAAAATTAATCTAAAATGATTACAGAAATGTACTCACAGGTTTGACACTGGTTGTCCCTGGGGCCCCAACATCGACCATTACAGGAACGATGGCACTTCTGACCTGCAAAAACACACACAATATTACATACAATAGATTCAAAGATAACTATGGATATTTAGACATTTAGACAAAACACTTTTTACATAACACTTTGAAAGTTTCCATTTCCACTGAGATCAGATGATGAATAAAAACCATGCGTCAACAGATGTGCAATGATTATTTCAATCACGCAACTCTGCAATTCTATCAACGGGAAAATGTGATACCGTGGTGTGAATTATTTCAATAGATTGTTTGTAAAATAGTTAAAGAGGTCAGTTTAGGATATTCAAATAATTGAGAATAAAATATTACACTTTCCTTATCCTTGTCGTACAGTATACAATACAAAATCTCATCAAAGCTCCATCTGTTAGTGTATAAAGTGTAAAAGTACATTACAGCTTACAGAAAGAATGAATCTCAGTAAAAGCTAAATTACTTTTCTGTGAATCCTGGAAAATTCTTCTTTCCGTACGGGCACAGCACGGATCCAGCTCGGAGCAGGTTAGACCAAAACCATCAAAGTAGAAAATAATAGCCTCTCTGCTGTGGCCTTTGCCTTTTCTATTCAGAGGACTTAATTGACCGACTGTAATTGACCGCGAGCGACAGAAGCTGGATAAGTGCTGTGCTCCGTCCATCAGCCTCTCCACACGAGGAGATCCAAACAGACTCCAAAACAAACCACTCTTTGGCCCAATGTGCAGCACTGTTTCATTTCCAGGAATCTCAACGTAGAGAACGTTGGAGAACGAGTACTTGCAATTATTGTACAGTCAGTAGAAATGGCCGTAAAAATGAGAATGACATATATACTGTATACTGTATATATTTGACCTTTTTTATAATTTACTTAATATTGTTTTTAAAGAATCTTCTGGATTACTGATGATGTCCCTAAAGCCGCTCTAGACTTTTAAAAACCCAACAATGAAATATAACTTTAGATCAATTGTTTTAACTTTATTCTGGGGATGCACCAAATCCAGATTTTTGGGGTTCGGCTGAATACCGAATCCACTGGTTAAGATTCAGCTGAATCCGAAACTGAATACCGAATTCTACTCCATCCTCGGCATCGTAAATTGAACATGTAGCTCGACTAGAATCACCTTCTTTGGACTGAAAGTACGGCCAAACAACACTGTTTCTGCTCACGAGTTCCATTTTCACTTTCTCACTCACACAACCTGAGCTCCTGCATTCGAACAGGCCACCGACGTAAACACCTTCCTATAATCAACGGCGGCGTCATGGCGTCGACCAGCGTAGCGCCCATAGTGTAGGCGTAGGGTTTGGCTCGGTGGGGAAAATTCTAAGGTTCGTCAGAAACTGAACTCCGTCAACAAATCCAATATTCGGCCGAATCTGAAACCGTATCCTGGATTTGGTGCATTCCAACTTTATTCTAAGGATTTCGTTGCATATTTTGTGTGTGTGCTTGTATTTTCTCCCATTGTTTAACTAAAACATATTGACATAAAAAAATAAAGTCAATCAATGAGCATGGTACAAAACCACATTGAAATGATAAGTTGATAACCACCCACCTCTGCACTTGTTTGGTTTCTAAATCTAACTTTATTATGAGCTAATGTGTATTCTGGCGTCTGCTAATTTTCTTTTAGATTTTCTCCAACCCGCGTGCCAAGACCAGGGCATCTCTCCCAACGTTGGCAGCGATAGGTTATAAATCTCAAACGTGCGGTCTGAGATTTCATTCCCTTGAAAAAGTTCTTTGGATTAAGGACGAAACGTTGGGCAAACCTGCAAAAAAGTACAGATGATTGATGTGAAACCTTCCTATGCTTTCATTATGAGCTGCTGTTGGAATATCAACTCATGAAATCCATAAATACACTGAATTATAAATCCCACATTGTTAGATCATCTGTGGTCTCTGTTTACAAGTGTCCATTTGGCCTTTTCTGGCTCATTTCCTCCACGGAGTGTGTTGCATGAGCACTAAGACTTTGGTCGTGGTTGAGTGCAGGGTCAGCAACCTTGACTGGGACAAACAGGATCATAATATAAATGTCACACCGTCAAAGGAGCACAACTTACTTCTATCTCTCTGAGTGCAGCCGGTTGTGAAGAGAAGTCAGAGGTTTTTATTTAGTGGACAAGGTCTCCACATCCGCCTCCACGTATAAATTCTGACCTGAGATAAACCTGTTCCTCCTCCTCCAATTGCTCGTGTTCTTTTATGGGACACTTATCGCAGGGTAATGCAGGTGAAATGAGTAAAAAAGGGCATTTAAACTACTCTTGCTAAGGCCCAATGAGTGCAGATTAATGAATGGTAGAGATTGGTTCATGCTTAGACCTGTTAGCGTCTACAATATACATTTCAGAGTGGTTGAAATATAAAAGATATAAATATCCAGCACTTAAATGCACTGTTTTAGCTTTTTTATTTATGTTCAAATGTTGTAAAAATCATAAGTCTTTTTCTATGCTTTTTTAATAACAATATTACTGAGAAAAGGTGTCTTCCTACAAAAAACATAATCTCAATATTTAATAATAACTAAAATGGGGCAATCGCAGATTAGGTGTAAAAAAGAAAAACATGTGGTTAAATTAATCCCATGTTGGTCTCAATAGAAAAAATATGGCGTCAATCTGTCACTTATAAAGAAACAAGCAAATTCAGATTACGCTGATTATGCTGAGACGATGAGCTTCACAAAACAACAATATTTTATTTCACAGTTAAATCCCCGACTGTAGATAACACTGCTGCTGTTTGGTGAAATCACATTTTCTACCATAGAGGATTAAAACATGTTTATAACCCATAGAATTTGGAATCTTCCCAATCCTGCACATATGGTCCAGCAAAACAATGTAAACAGTTTATTATGACGCAGCAGAGGGGTAGTGCGATCGCCTGTGTGTGTCTGTGTGCGTGTGTAGGCATTATGTGACTCTCCATGTGACTTAATGGTCTATACTTTTCTCAGGTCTATACTTCTGTCAGAAACATGATTTTTGTATGTAATTTCACTCCAAAAGGACATACAATAATCACATTATTATACAAATATTTAGAGTGAACACAACTTCTATCTGTCTGTACAGCTTGACAACACAATAGGCTATCATTAAATACATTGTGTGACCTGAGCATGACAGTGTGTCTGTATGGATCATATTCATAAATGCATAATTTCTTTGCATTTGAAAACCCAATGTGCCCGAGGCTGCGAGGGGTCGAGGGGGACACAGCCAGACTGTCAGAGCTGGAGGCAGGTAATCCTTATGCTCCTGTCTGCTCATTTGGATTCTTTTTCATTCATAATGTATGGGACGTTTACAGTCAGCTTCATGCTTTGCTACATTTTAAACAAAGCTATTCATAAAATCATGAAGAAGTGAAGATTATCTGTTAATAAAACAGCATATTATATCCTGTGCTGCTTTCCAGAGTCTGAGCTGGTGTGAGCGCGACGGGAGCAGACAGCCTTGAGAAATAACAACAAATGTGGAGCTAAATGTCAAACATCTTGAGTGCTAAATTAAAACAGAACGGCAAGTGAGTGTGTTTGTGGGTTAAGACCGTCTGTGAAAGGCAGCGTGAGGGGAGGTGACAGGAATACGTTTGTTGGCCTGATGAATGTATGTCTTTATAATCTTCAAGACAATAAGACTTCACTGGTGTTGTGGCAAATGTGATGGTGACAGAACTGGGTCAGTGGGAGCTCATATTTGGCCCACAGATATTATTTGTGTAGAAAATAACAATAATCAATCAAATATGATTCTGATGAAAGCAAGTCACATTAAATTGTAAACATGTGGTTTTCTCAAATGGACTGAAATCATAAAAATCTTTCCTGATGGAGGATCCACAACATGCAGCAAACCCTCTGTGTGTTTTCATTGTTCCGAATACCACAAAACATCGACACCTCTTCACAGTTTTAAACCGTATCTCCGTCTAGAACTCAAGTCCAGTTTAATCCAGTCTCTCCTTGGAGACAACAGCGCCCAGGAAGGATAACTCTGCAACAATATTTTAGCCACATTTGGACCAGTGACTCTAAGATGTTTTATTATTGTATTTATTATGTGTTCAAACTGTTTGATTGTCTAATCTGTTGGTGAATTGACAATTTTGTGAAGCTCCTTGGGATGACAACTGTTGTGATATTGGACCCTAAAGAAATAAATTGAATAGATTTGACTTCATACTGAAAACCAGGGTCTTGACCATAGACACATAAACTTCTCCTGATCCAAAGCAGATGAGGTCTTACACGCTGCGCTGCTGTTGGTCGGCACCACCAGGTGATGGGCCCCGGGGTTCTTCACAATGTCCTGCCAGTGGATGGTGTCTGCATGGCACAGGAACTTGTTCTGGTCCACATAAACTCCACCACTCAGAATCTCTGTGGAAACACAAAACATAAAAGTGCTTATTGTTTTAAAGGTCCCAAATTATGTTTTTAGACTACTATAAGGTTTTAAACATCATTGAAGAGATATTTGGTTTTCATAACACGCCCAAAATAGTTTTTTCAATGATTCCCTCAAGCTTTTGTCCGAGTGATCTTTCTCTGTCCTTTGAGGGAGCAAAACGCCTTGGTTCAATTTGATGACACAGAAACACTTGGATGACGAGCTGGAGAAGCTTCAGGAGGTGAACGATAAAGGGAGAAACCAAAACTGTGAATCAGTGCTCACAACCTCCGTCTGAGATATCTACCACAGTCTGCATCAACCTCCAGCACAGTCTGCATCAACCTCCAGCACAGTCTGCATCAACCTCCAGCACAGTCTGCATCAACCTCCAGCACAGTCTGCATCAACCTCCAGCACAGTCTGCATCAACCTCCAGCACAGTCTGCATCAACCTCCAGCACAGTCTGCATCAACCTCCACCACAGTCTGCATCAACCTCCAGCACAGTCTGCATTAACCTCCACCACAGTCTGCATCAACCTCCAGCACAGTCTGCATCAACCTCCAGCACAGTCTGCATCAACCTCCACCACAGTCTGCATCAACCTCCAGCACAGTCTGCATCAACCTCCACCACAGTCTGCATCAACCTCCAGCACAGTCTGCATCAACCTCCACCACAGTCTGCATCAACCTCCACCACAGTCTGCATCAACCTCCACCTCCACCACAGTCTGCATCAACCTCCACCACAGTCTGCGTTCACATCCACCTCCACCACAGTCTGCGTTCACATCCACCTCCACCACAGTCTGCGTTCACATCCACCTCCACCACAGTCTGCATCAACCTCCACCACAGTCTGCATCAACCTCCACCTCCACCACAGTCTGCGTTCACATCCACCTCCACCACAGTCTGCGTTCACATCTACCTCCACCACAGTCTGCGTTCACATCCACCTCCACCACAGTCTGCATCAACCTCCAACACAGTCTGCATCAACCTCCACCACAGTCTGCATCAACCTCCACCACAGTCTGCATCAACCTCCACCACAGTCTGCATCAACCTCCACCACAGTCTGCATCAACCTCCAACACAGTCTGCATCAACCTCCACCACAGTCTGCGTTCACATCCACCTCCACCACAGTCTGCGTTCACATCCACCTCCACCACAGTCTGCGTTCACATCCACCTCCACCACAGTCTGCGTTCACATCCACCTCCACCACAGTCTGCATCAACCTCCAACACAGTCTGCATCAACCTCCACCTCCACCACAGTCTGCGTTCACATCCACCTCCACCACAGTCTGCATCAACCTCCACCACAGTCTGCGTTCACATCCACCTCCACCACAGTCTGCATCAACCTCCAACACAGTCTGCATCAACCTCCACCACAGTCTGCATCAACCTCCACCACAGTCTGCATCAACCTCCACCACAGTCTGCATCAACCTCCACCACAGTCTGCATCAACCTCCAACACAGTCTGCATCAACCTCCACCACAGTCTGCGTTCACATCCACCTCCACCACAGTCTGCGTTCACATCCACCTCCACCACAGTCTGCGTTCACATCCACCTCCACCACAGTCTGCGTTCACATCCACCTCCACCACAGTCTGCATCAACCTCCAACACAGTCTGCATCAACCTCCACCTCCACCACAGTCTGCGTTCACATCCACCTCCACCACAGTCTGCGTTCACATCTACCTCCACCACAGTCTGCATCAACCTCCACCACAGTCTGCGTTCACATCCACCTCCACCACAGTCTGCATCAACCTCCAACACAGTCTGCATCAACCTCCACCACAGTCTGCATCAACCTCCACCACAGTCTGCATCAACCTCCACCACAGTCTGCATCAACCTCCACCACAGTCTGCATCAACCTCCAACACAGTCTGCATCAACCTCCACCACAGTCTGCGTTCACATCCACCTCCACCACAGTCTGCGTTCACATCCACCTCCACCACAGTCTGCGTTCACATCCACCTCCACCACAGTCTGCGTTCACATCCACCTCCACCACAGTCTGCATCAACCTCCAACACAGTCTGCATCAACCTCCACCACAGTCTGCATCAACCTCCACCACAGTCTGCATCAACCTCCACCACAGTCTGCATCAACCTCCACCACAGTCTGCATCCACCTCCACCACATTCTGCGTTCACATCCACCTCCACCACAGTCTGCGTTCACATCCACCTCCACCACAGTCTGCGTTCACATCCACCTCCACCACAGTCTGCGTTCACATCCACCTCCACCACAGTCTGCGTTCACATCCACCTCCACCACAGTCTGCGTTCACATCCACCTCCACCACAGTCTGCATCCACCTCCACCACAGTCTGCATCCACCTCCACCACAGTCTGCGTTCACATCCACCTCTACCACAGTCTGCATCCACCTCTACCACAGTCTGCATCCACCTCTACCTCTTCCACAGTCTGCGTTTCACATCTACCACAGTCTGCGTTCACATCCACCACAGTCTGCGTCCACATCTACCTCTTCCACAGTCTGCGTTCACATCTACCACAGTCTGCGTTCACATCCACCACAGTCTGCATCAACCTCCACCACAGTCTGCGTTCACATCCACCTCCACCACAGTCTGCATCCACCTCTACCACAGTCTGCGTTCACATCCACCTCCACCACAGTCTGCGTTCACATCCACCTCCACCACAGTCTGCGTTCACATCCACCTCCACCACAGTCTGCGTTCACATCCACCTCCACCACAGTCTGCATCAACCTCCAACACAGTCTGCATCAACCTCCACCACAGTCTGCATCAACCTCCACCACAGTCTGCATCAACCTCCACCACAGTCTGCATCAACCTCCACCACAGTCTGCATCCACCTCCACCACATTCTGCGTTCACATCCACCTCCACCACAGTCTGCGTTCACATCCACCTCCACCACAGTCTGCGTTCACATCCACCTCCACCACAGTCTGCGTTCACATCCACCTCCACCACAGTCTGCGTTCACATCCACCTCCACCACAGTCTGCGTTCACATCCACCTCCACCACAGTCTGCATCCACCTCCACCACAGTCTGCATCCACCTCCACCACAGTCTGCGTTCACATCCACCTCTACCACAGTCTGCATCCACCTCTACCACAGTCTGCATCACCTCTACCTCTTCCACAGTCTGCGTTCACATCTACCACAGTCTGCGTTCACATCCACCACAGTCTGCGTCCACATCTACCTCTTCCACAGTCTGCGTTCACATCTACCACAGTCTGCGTTCACATCTACCACAGTCTGCGTTCACATCCACCACAGTCTGCATCAACCTCCACCACAGTCTGCGTTCACATCCACCTCCACCACAGTCTGCATCCACCTCTACCACAGTCTGCGTTCACATCCACCTCCACCACAGTCTGCGTTCACATCCACCTCCACCACAGTCTGCGTTCACATCTACCTCTACCACAGTCTGCGTTCACATCCACCTCCACCACAGTCTGCGTTCACATCTACCTCTACCACAGTCTGCGTTCACATCCACCACAGTCTGCGTTCACATCCACCTCTGCTGTTTTTCCTGTAACTGGTCACAGACTAAAGGTGTTAACATCAAGAAGACTTGGGATCGGAGCGACACTTCACCAAAGACTACTGAACCTGGAAACTGGACTAACACAAAAGCTGATCTTGAAACCTGGTGTTATTCTCACTGCAAAAGATTCTGAAAAGGTGCCTAGCTCTGTAAGGGAAGTGCTACGTACTCGGCGTATACTACTAATAACTAAATAAACAGAGGCCATGTCTGGGTTGAGGACAGATCACCAGTGCTGTGTGGAGGCGGCGGGCTGTGGTCTGGCCTACGTCACCGCCCGGGGGGTAATTTCACACATTTTGAGTGTTGCATGGTGTATCACCCAAATTATTTTTACACATATGATTAGGATGGACTGTTAAACATGAAGGCGAGCGAAGGATGGCACCTTTAAGTCATGTGATTAGAAACTCATTCCAATAAATCTATTATGTTGTGGCATGAAATTAAGCATAATGCAGATAGAAACACCCCAACATAAGCATTATTTTTTTTCTGAACATAGCTATCATTGTAATTTCCTGACAAGCATGACTTCCACATATTTAATCAAAGTTTTTCATTTTCACACCCCAAATAAAAGGAAAAGAAACAGGAAGAGGAAAACAGAGGCAGCAGCAGATTTGCATTATTTACAGAGCTTACACGTCCCCTATCTACCTCCAAACACATCACTGTGAACGGTTGTGATGACTCCCAACCGGTGGTGACCCCCAGCTGCCAAAACACAATATTCTACCACAAAAGCTTGATTAAATGTTATTCTGTGCATAATGGGTGAAGTTGGAAGTGTTACCTCCGGACTCTATCCCAAAACTTCTTTATCTTTCTCTGCGTGTGGCTGTGAGCGGGAAAGCAGAATTAATCCTGTGCCTCACTGTGGGAGGGATATCGCTTGGCTAGGAGGGTCTCGAATTCAAATTGTGTGCCCAATGGGAGGCTTCTGGCATCAATGGCCCAACACAACAGACAGGGAACAGTTGTATTATTTGGACATAGCACCAGCTGGACACGAGATTAGATCCATGGGCAAACAGACATGGATTCTACTTTCATTACAAACATTTGAATTAAAATCACTGATGTAAAAATCATTGAAAAACATGTCAGATTAATCGAAACTCAAGCAATTAGCAACACAGCATCATAGCAGCAGGTGATGTATTCTCCACCATTCGTTATACTGTTGCAAACGGAGCCTCCTCTCGAGCATTGCAGACTTGAGATGTGTTTTCTTTGGCTCTGCTGTGCCTTAATACCTATTGTTTACTTCTCTTAAATCAAACTGGAGCACTTGTAAGAGCACTGAAAACAAAAGAAAACACTTTCATCTTGGACCAATACAGCCTGAGAAACAGAAGGCGTAACCAGCCATTACCCCCATGTAATGACCAAAGCAAAAAGAATATCTGAGATGGAGATGGAGACTCCTCGTGTGTTTCCGGTGGTGGAGAACAATAGCATCATAGATTTACAATATTTGAATGTAAAATAGACAATAAACAGAGGACTTTCGACCTTTCAATGCAACTCCCACTGCATCAAGAGCAGCTCCACTCTTCATTCAGCACAATCTTGCTGCTTTCATTACTGCTTGCTGCGCACATTAGCTCCAGTTATCGGCCAGGGGCAAATCAATGGTTAAATCCTGTTGTTGATTGTTTCCCGGCTCGAGGAAGAACGCCTTAATTAGTTTGCGGACATGGCTATGGTTGGTGCATCCCAAAAAGTCTTCATTATTCCCTATCCCAAGAGCAACTCCGAGTGTAGCTTATCCGACACCTTGGAAAGCCAATGTAATATCCAGTGTGCGTGACCGGTAGGAAAACAATATGAAATTCGAAGAGGCAGAACAAATGTATGCAGGCAATTATTTTGATGGTGAGAGCTTGTTGTTGAGTTTCTCTCTCCTTATTGCAGTGCGGGGATGAATTTGATTAAGGGAGGGAGGCAAATAGGAAACCAATGATCAGAAAAAAAACATATTAATGAGTTTGTGAGGGTGAATTAATAAGACTAGTGCAAATTATTTAATGAAGAAAGATGCCGGACAACAGTTGCAGAGGGTGAGGTTGCACGGACAGGTGACGGAGCGGTAAGAATGTCCAAAAAACTCGCAACAACCATGGTTTTTGTTATCCAATTATAATGGCAGATCCACAGATAAGGAGTAACATATAGAGTAACTAATCACACGCTTTGGGAAAGGACCGAAAGGAGTAGATTCAATTTATTTGCCATTTGCAGTAAAACCACATTGGAATACATTAGCAAAAGTCCCCAGTGTGCATTAGACAAGTACGTACATAAAACAACATTAAAAGTACAGAAATAAAACAACTAAAACGGTAAACAATTGTCACTCTGAAACGATCGACTAAAACAGTTTCAATACAAGTGCAAGATCATTAAAGTGCTCTGCTCAAACTGATGACAGCTTGTGGGAAGAAGCTGTTAGCATATCGAGATGTCCTGCATCTCAGAGAACGATATCTTCTGCCAGAGGGAAGAAGCTGGAACAAGGCTTTTCCAGGGTGGCCAGAAGAGTCATTGATTATTTTGAGAGCTCGGTTTAAAAGTCTGGATTTATAAAGAACCTCCAGAACAGGAAGCTCACAGCTCACGGTCCTCTCTCTGGTCTCTCTCTGGCCTCTCTCTGGCCTCTCTCTGGCCTCTCTCTGGCCTCTCTCTGGCCTCTCTCTGGCCTCTCTCTGGCCTCTCTCTGGCCTCTCTCTGGCCTCTCTCTGGCCTCTCTCTGGGTCTCTCTCGGGTCTCTCTCGGGTCTCTCTCGGGTCTCTCTCGGGTCCCTCTCGGGTCCCTCTCGGGTCTCTCTCGGGTCTGTCTCTCTGGTCTCTCTCTCTGGTCTCTCTCTCTGGTCTCTCTCTCTGGTCTCTCTCTCTGGTCTCTCTCTCTGGTCTCTCTCTCTGGTCTCTCTCTCTGGTCTCTCTCTCTCTGGTCTCTCTCTCTGGTCTCTCTCTCTCTGGTCTCTCTCTCTGGTCTCTCTCTCTCTGGTCTCTCTCTCTGGTCTCTCTCTCTGGTCTCTCTCTCTGGTCTCTCTCTCTGGTCTCTCTCTCTCTGGTCTCTCTCTCTGGTCTCTCTCTCTGGTCTCTCTCTCTGGTCTCTCTCTCTCTGGTCTCTCTCTCTGGTCTCTCTCTCTGGTCTCTCTCTCTGGTCTCTCTCTCTGGTCTCTCTCTCTGGTCTCTCTCTCTCTGGTCTCTCTCTCTCTGGTCTCTCTCTCTGGTCTCTCTCTCTGGTCTCTCTCTCTGGTCTCCCTCTCTGGTCTCTCTCTCTGGTCTCTCTCTCTGGTCTCTCTCTCTGGTCTCTCTCTCTCTGGTCTCTCTCTCTGGTCTCTCTCTCTCTGGTCTCTCTCTCTGGTCTCTCTCTCTGGTCTCCCTCTCTGGTCTCTCTCTCTGGTCTCTCTCTCTGGTCTCTCTCTCTGGTCTCTCTCTCTCTGGTCTCTCTCTCTGGTCTCTCTCTCTCTGGTCTCTCCTTCTGGTCTCTCTCTCTGGTCTCTCTCTCTGGTCTCTCTCTCTGGTCTCTCTCTCTCTGGTCTCTCCTTCTGGTCTCTCTCTCTGGTCTTAGTCATCTTTGGTCATCTCCAAACAGATCACAGGAAATACACTCGATTGCGGTGAGTAATTTTAAAGGAGTAGTTTGTAAAAATGTGGCCAAAAGTGGTACTGTAGCCTCTCCAACTCTCCCTGACTCAGGTTGCCAGATATGCACATGGTACTTTACCAGTGAGATTAGCTCCCGGCCGTGTGTTCTGGCAACCCGGATCTGATTGGTGAAACGTTGGAGGGCGGGACATCGAAATGAAAACATTACAAGATTTAAGGACTGGAAAACTCACTTTGAATTTCGCATATCTCTGAACTAGTGTTATCAGTTAAAGAAGTATTCAAAAAGAGAATGGTTTATCAATGCCCTTTGACAAATTAGGGCCCTTTAAAGATGACATGACATGAAAATCTTATGTATTGCAACTTTAAATCTTTTGTTTTGATGGAAAGGTTTGGTCAAATAAATATCATTGTTGATTTCATATCAGCAATGAATTAAAATCTAGTCCCGCCACAAAGGTTTAACTTGTGGTCCCTGTCATCTCATTCACTTGCCTTTGGCTGAGAGAACAATAAAGTGTACAAAACAAAAGGAACAGGGTGCATTGTGGGTCGCAGAGGCTAAATGCTGGGCCCACACTGTCGCTAGGATACAGTAGAATTATACATGTGTGGAAATAGGACACAGAGAAGAGCAGGATGGAAAAGAAAAGGGACTGAGTTTGCAACTACCGACAAAAAAATAAATAAATGCATGTAAAGCTGGTGTACCTAACTTTTATGTAAAAACTGTAAGGCAAGGTAAGTTTTTATAGCACAATTCATACACAAGGCAACTCAAAGTGCTGAACAAAACAAGATTAAAATCATAAATATTCACAGTACATGGTCTGTGACTCACTGAACCTTTTTTTTTCACTTTTCGGTCTGAAAAATCTGATTTAAAATTATGAACGGAGCCAAATACATGCAGTTTAGATAGTGAGCAAGTTTGACAGATTTTGTTACAACCTATATTTGTGTTTTTAAATATAGAAATGTCCCATAATGTAAATATTATTTGGGGTTTGTGGTGTGATTTGTCAATATTTGTGTTGCCCTGAACCTGTGTATATGTGTGTGTTGTGCAGTAGGTGTTGATGTGAAGCAGTTTGAGGATGGGGTAAATGACAGCTTGAGTCTATCGTGGCCCCGCAGCCGCCTCCCTCACGGCAGCTGCACACACTCACCGAGAAGAGGACGTCCACGGTCAGTGATTATGTTTGATGGATGGATAAATCATTCTTACGAAGACGTCTGCTTAACGTTCACAGTAACAGGCAGTGTTCATGTGCAGATATAAATGGTTAGGCTGCGTAGTACCGTTAACCTTCGGAGTAGTGTAGTTGAAAGTGTCGTGCTGTGCCGTCGCCGGAGTCATGTCCAACAGGCTCACGCTGCTTGTTTTCTCCAGATGTGAGGATAGAGGATCAGTGGCTGCGCTTTACAACCCTGGATTCCTCCTCCATCCATCATCTGCTGTGAGGGTCCTGTCAGCCTCAGCACGGCTCCTCCCAGAGCGCCTTCACTGTCGGCAGCTTTCAAATGTTCAAAGACGACTGTTTTTGGCTTTCATCGCTTCTAAAGTTTAAGATCAAGTGTAAACATATTTTTACTGGCCTTGGTTGTTAAATTGTAAATATTGACAGACAGATAAAACTGATTTTAACTTTTTTGAAATAAGTGCACTTTTGGACGGTTACAACATTCATTCATTCATATTCACCCCTTTAGTGTCCATTTCTGGGTCAGGGGGGTGGCATTTAGAGCTGCCACCCATTTCACAAAGCACCAGTCCCTCTGATTCTCCTGCAGGGGGTGGGTCCACAGGAAGATGCTCCTTCAACACAGATACGGCCTTGATCTTTCAGCGGGGGCTTCAGGCAAAGTGGGGTTGAGTGTCTTGCCATTAGGTCCACAGACCAACGCTCTAACAATCGTCTGGATGGGTTTTTATCACTAAAAGATTAGCCTGAGGAGTGCAATTTTAAAAAAGGGCAGAGAAAGAAAAGGGCAGACCTCCGATTAGAGAATAAACAAATTCTGCATCCAGGAATGGAAATCGGTGGTTCACAGGGACGGTTTCCGGAAAATATCATCTGACCCTCTTGTTTTTAGGGCAGAGGTAAGACTTGAGTTTGTCCGAACAGAAAAAGTCTTGTTAAAGCAACAGTATGTAAATAAATAAGCCTTTATGGTAGATATTGACTTCAGGTACCTGCTGTAAGTCACTATTGGGTTAAGAAATTATTTGTTAATTAAATTTTCTGCTTGAAAAAGCTGATCAAACCTGTGACAAAGGCCAAAACAACACAGATGTGAAAACGATAGAACCAAACTGTTTTTAAAGAAGGAATTTAGTAAGATGGGTTTTATACACAGTATTTTTGTGGTTAAAATGTAGATACGCCAGCTTAATAGAAACAATCAAACCATTGGAATGACATGAGGAAATATTAAACGTTGAACATTGTTAGTTCTATAAAATATGCACATTCTAAGTGAAAATAAACCCATACATGAACAGCTTCCATTCCCCCACTGCTTTTTCCGATAGAAATGAGCTCCCTGTAATATCCTCAATCACACCATTCCACACTACACTCTGATAAATGTCTTAAAATTGTCCTATTATGGGACCTATAGAGTGCAGTGAATTATGGCCCGCTTCACAAACTTCATCAGCTTCCGCGCCTCGTCTCCATAAGGTCAACGGTTGGAGCAGCTCCCGTCGGAAGCACATGCAATTTTAAAGGCAGCTTAAACGCAGGCCGTGGCAATGCGCCGGTCCCTATTCAAACGCAATTTCATTTTTATGTGTTTAACTATTGACCTGCAAAGAACAAGTGCATTAATTCTTCTCCATGAAAGCGTCTCACAAGATGTTGGCTTGCATGAGGGGATGTGACCAAACATGTGGCGTGGGCAGAGAGAGTGTGCGCCGCGCCGCTAATGTACTTGTAAAGCAGGACAAAAAGTGGCACCAGCTTGGATGTGTAAGAGGAGAAAACACATTAAATATTTAGACTTTACAGAGCAACAAATGGAAAGTACAGTGTAGGAGAAAAAGCCTCCGACTCTTGTAAATTCCTGGGCCACCGTGCATGCATGGGGCAGCTCAGTCAAACTATGGAACTACTCAAGTCTTCAGCTCAAACACTAAACCCCTTGTGAGACTTGAGGGACTCCTATCTCTTTCATGTGGCTGTAATACAATGTAAATGTCTTTTTTTTTACTGTGCAAAAAGCCCTCCAAAGAACAGACATTTCAAATTGGCCTTGGCTCTAAAAAAAGATTAATTTGGTTATGGTAAAATCATAATCAAAATCATTTGTATTGCCATGAAAGTAGCAGGACGTCACCGACTAAAAACTGGCTTTGGCTCTCGGTGCGACAGTCAGAAAAGAGAGGGAAAGAATAAAGTAAGGCATAAAAAAAAGTAATCATCAGAATACACTTCTATATAAAAATTGAATCGATTACAATTACAATACTATACTAAAAGGCACGGTGCTGCTTTTGGTTAAAACTACCAATATCGATATTTGTCAAAGCTGCACATTTTCTGGTTGGCTTATCACCAATCATTTTTGCACACACCAGACTAAAGTAATGCGACTCCCATCACAGCACTAACCAGGCCCTGTCCTCCTAAACTTTTGTGATCTGATCCAATTAAGCTTTTACCTGTAGGTGGCGCCACAGTAGACTGCAATGTGTTGAGTTGAATAATACACATGTCCTAATTAGGCCCGAGCCCCGAACGGGGTAAGGGCCTATTGCTTTCACAATGGTGAAAACAAATGGTGGCGGTGCGTGACGGACGCGCCAGCGCCCGTCACTCACCAAAACGTGATAGTTGCGTGCGCAAACTCAAAAGCTTTAAAATGATGTATCAGGTGCCATTGAAACCTATATTGTTTTTGCTCGAGACGTCGAAAAAAAAAATTCCTTTTTTATTTATTAGGCCCGAGCCCCGAACGGGGTAAGGGCCTATTGCTTTCACAATGGTGAAAACAAATGGTGGCGGTGCGTGACGGACTCGTCAGCGCCCGTCACTCACCAAAACGTGACGGTTGCGTGCGTAAACTCAAACGCTTTAAAATGATGTATCACATGCCATTGAAACCTATATTGTTTTTGCTCGAGACGTTAAAAAAAAAATTCCTTTTTAGGCCCGAGCCCCGAACGGGGTAAGGGCCTATTGCTTTCACAATGGTGAAAACAAATGGTGGCGGTGCGTGACGGACTCGTCAGCGCCCGTCACTCACCAAAATGTGACAGTTGCGTGCGTAAACTCAAAAGCTTTAAAATGATGTATCACATGCCATTGAAACCTATATTGTTTTTGCTCGAGACGTTAAAAAAAAAATTCCTTTTTTATTAGGCCCGAGCCCCGAACGGGGTAAGGGCCTATTGCTTTCACAATGGTGAAAACAAATGGTGGCGGTGCGTGACGGATGCGTCAGCGCCCGTCACTCACCAAAATGTGACAGTTGCGTGCGTAAACTCAAAAGCTTTAAAATGATGTATCACATGCCATTGAAACCTATATTGTTTTTGCTCGAGACGTTAACAAAAAAATTCCTTTTTTATTTATTTATTTATTTCTTTCTTTTTTCTTCTGCACTTTGAGCCTTAATTTGACCCCCTGAACATGCATGAAAAGTTGTTAATTTTGGCCCAAAAATCAGACCTGGCGAAAAATTTGATATTTTGGTGTTTATTTTTATGGGACTCAAAAAATGACAGAACAGCGCCACCTACAACAGCCAAAATAATACCCCTATGGGACTTTTCGGAGGTCAAAATTGTCGTGGAAACATGAGATTTGGTACACATGTTTTTCAAGTCAAGACAAGAAAAAAATATTATTATGGCCCCGCCCTCTGACAAACAGGAAGCCCATAAATTTCACTGCAAAATGGAAAAATGAACAGCAAAAGTTTTCATACATGTCGGTTGGAAAGCGACTCCTCCTCGGCCGTTTCACCGATTCGCCTCAAAATCGCTCCACATCATCTCAACACATGTACCTTCAAAATGACCTCAGGGATTTTTGATCAGTGAAACATTGTTTGAGCAGCGGAGCGGCAAAATGTGACCTTTTTTTGGCCGTTTTTGACAACATTAAATTTGCTCCCGTTTGCACATACAAAGTCTGATTTGCACAAAACTTTAATACATTGTTCAACTCTAGGGTCTAGGTCATTTGAAAGTGAATGTATTCAAATTGACACATTAGCGCCCCCTACAGACTATTTCAAAGTTTTAGATGGGCATTTTCAAATTTAGTTTTTTCAAAATGTTTGAAATTTTGCACATACATCTGTTTTGCCCTCTTGATTCAAAAAGTCAATTGGGTCCAAGGCTTATTTTTAACCCAGTTGCCGTGGCGACGACAAACGCTCCCCATTCATTGCAAATGTACACCTCACACAAACATCAAACCAGCCTCGGCCGTTTCACCGATTCGCCTCAAAATCGCTCCACATCATCTCAACATATGTTCCATCAAAATGACTTCAGGGAATTTTGATCAGTGAAACGTTGTTTGAGCAGCAGAGCGCCAAAAAGTGGCGTATTTTTTTTTCAGTTTTTGACAATAGAATATTTTTTTCCGTTTGCACAAACAAAGTGTGATTGGCACAAAACTTGAATCCATGGTTCAACTCTTGAGTCTAGGTCAATTGAAAGTTCAAATTTTGAAATTGGCTCTATAGCGCCACCTACAACAGCCAATTTAAAAATGCCTATGGGAGGAGTTCAAGGTCAAAATTGCCGTAGAACCATGTAATTTGGTACACATGTTCCTCAAGTCAAGACATGGAAAAAATGTAATTATGGCTAAGCCCTCTGACAAACAGGAAGCTCATAAATTTCATTGCAAAATGGAAACATGAAAACCAATCATTTTCATACATGTCGCTTGGAAAGCGACTCCTCCTCGGCCGTTTCACCGATTCGCCTCAAAATCGCTCCACATCATCTCAACACATGTACCTTCAAAATGACCTCAGGGATTTTTGATCAGTGAAACATTGTTCGAGCAGTGGAGCGGAAAAATGTGACCTTATTTTGGCCGTTTTTGACAACATTAAATTTGCTCCCGTTTGCACAAACAAAGTCTGATTTGCACAAAACTTTAATACATTGTTCAACTCTACGGTCTAAGTCGTTTGAAGGTGAATTAATTCAAATTGACACATTAGCGCCCCCTACAGACTATTTCAAAGTTTTAGATGGGCATTTTCAAATTTAGTTTTTTCAAAATGTTTGAAATTTTGCACATGAATCCGTTTTTCCCTCTTGATTCAAAAAGTCAATAGGGTCCAAGGCTTATTTTTTACCCTGTTGCCGTGGCGACGAGAAACGCTCCCCATTCATTGCAAATGTACACCTCACACAAACATCAAACCAGCCTCGGCCGTTTCACTGATTGCCTCAAAATCGCTCCACATCATCTCAACACATGTACCTTCAAACTGACTTCAGGGAATTTTGATCCGTTAAACGTTGTTTGAGCAGCGGAGCGGCAAAATGTGAGGTTTTTTTTTGCTCTTTTTGACAACATTAATTTTGCTCCTGTTTGCACAAACAAAGTCTGATTTGCACAAAACTTTAATCCATTGTTCAATTCCAGGGTTTAGGTCAGGTTAAAGTGAAATATTGGAAATTGGCCCATTAGCGCCCCCTACAGACTGTGTCAAAGTTTACATGGGGAGCCAAACCAGCTCTACTTATCATATTCATTACAATTTGACTAAGTTCTTCTATGGCTACGGAAACAAATCATCACACGGCGGTGCCACCTCCTTTTAGCGGTGCTGCGTGGTACGGTGTGGAGCGGCGCATTGCGGCTTGGTGCGGGGCGGCGTGGTGCGGGACGGCATGGTGCAGGGCGGCTTGGTGCAGGGCGGCTTGGTGCGGGGCGGCTTGGTGCGGGGCGGCGTGGTGCGGGGAGTGCGCGCGGTCCAGGGAGTCGCGCGGTGCGGCGAGGGCCGTTCGACGCCGCTTGCGGCTTTAATTTATTTCTTTCTTTCTTTTTTCTTCTGCACTTTGAGCCTTAATTTGACCCCCTGAACATGCATGAAAAGTTGTTAATTTTGGCCCAAAAATCAGACCTGGCGAAAAATTTGATATTTTGGTGTTTATTTTTATGGGACTCAAAAAATGCCAGAACAGCGCCACCTACAACAGCCAAAATAATACCCCTATGGGACTTTTTGGAGGTCAAGTTTGTCGTAGAAACATGAGATTTGGTACACATGTTCCTCAAGTCAAGACATGAAAAAAATATTATTATGGCCCCGCCCTCTGACAAACAGGAAGCCCATAAATTTCACTGCAAAATGGAAAAATGAACAGCAAAAGTTTTCATACATGTCGGTTGGAAAGCGACTCCTCCTCGGCCGTTTCACCGATTCGCCTCAAAATCGCTCCACATCATCTCAACACATGTACCTTCAAAATGACCTCAGGGATTTTTGATCAGTGAAACATTGTTTGAGCAGCGGAGCGGCAAAATGTGACCTTTTTTTGGCCGTTTTTGACAACATTAAATTTGCTCCCGTTTGCACAAACAAAGTCTGATTTGCACAAAACTTTAATACATTGTTCAACTTTAGGGTCTAGGTCATTTGAAAGTTAAATGATTCACATTGACACATTAGCGCCCCCTACAGACTATTTCAAAGTTTTAGATGGGCATTTTCAAATTTAGTTTTTTCAAAATGTTTGAAATTTTGCACATAAATCTGTTTTGCACTCTTGATTCAAAAAGTCAATAGGGTCCAAGGCTTATTTTTTACCCTGTTGCCGTGGCGACGAAAACGCTCCAGATTCATTGCAAATGTACACCTCACACAAACATCAAACTAGCCTCGGCCGTTTCACCGATTCGCCTCAAAATCGCTCCACATCATCTCAACACATGTACCGTCAAAATGACCTCAGGGATTTATGATCAGTGAAACGTTGTTTGAGCAGCGGAGCGGCAAATAGTGGCGTATTTTTTTTCAGTTTTTGACAATAGAAAAATGGCTTCCGTTTGGACAAACAAAGTCTGATTTGCACAAAACTTGAATCCATGGTTCAACTCTTGGGTCTAGGTCATTTGAAAGTTAAAATTTTGAAATTGGCTCTATAGCGCCACCTACAACAGCCGATTTAAAAATGCCTATGGGAGGGGTTCGAGGTCAAAATTGTCATAGAACCATGTAATTTGGAACACATGTTCCTCAAGTCAAGACATTGAACTTGTTTTATTATGGCTAAGCCCTCTGACAAACAGAAAGCCCATAAATTTCACTGCAAAATGGAAAAATGAAAAATAATCATTTTCATACATGTCGGTTGGAAAGCGACTCCTCCTCGGCCGTTTCACCGATTGGCCTCAAAATTGTTCCCAATCATCTCAACACATTTACCTTCAAAATGACTTCAGGGAATTTTGATCAGTGAAACGTTGTTTGAGCAGCGAAGCGGCAAAATGTGAGGGTTTTTTTGGCCGTTTTTGACAACATTAATTTTTTCCCGTTTGCACAAACAAAGTCTGATTTGCATTAAACTTGAATCCATTGTTCAACTCCAGGGTTTAGGTCAGGTGAAAGTGAAATATTTGAAATTGGCCCATTAGCGCCCCCTAAAGACTGAGCCAAAGTTTACATCGGGAGCCAAACCAGCTCTACTTATCATATTCATTCAAATTTGACTAACAATCTTCTATGACTACGGGAACAAATCATCACACGGCGGCGCCACCTCCTTTGAGCGGTGCTGCGTGGTACGGTGTGGTGCGGCGTAGTGCGGGGCGTTGTGGAGCGGCGCGTTGCGGCTTGGTACGGGACGGCGTGGTGCGGGACGGCGTGGTGCGGGACGGCGTGGTGCGGGACGGCGTGGTGCGGGACGGCGTGGTGCAGGGCGGCGTGGTGCGGGGAGTGCGCGCGGTGCAGGGAGTCGCGCGGTGCGGCGAGGGCCGTTCGACGCCGCTTGCGGCTTTAATTAGGCCCGAGCCCCGAACGGGGTAAGGGCCTATTGCTTTCACAATGGTGAAAACAAATGGTGGCGGTGCGTGACGGACGCGTCAGCGCCCGTCACTCACCAAAACGTGACGGTTGCGTGTGTAAACTCAAAAGCTTTAAAATGATGTATCAGGTGCCATTGAAACCTATATTGTTTTTGCTCGAGACGTTAAAAAAAAAATTCCTTTTTTATTTATTTCTTTCTTTCTTTTTTCTTCTGCACTTTGAGCCTTAATTTGACCCCCTGAACATGCATGAAAAGTTGTTAATTTTGGCCCAAAAATCAGACCTGGCGAAAAATTTGATATTTTGGTGTTTATTTTTATGGGACTCAAAGAATGACAGAACAGCGCCACCTACAACAGCCAAAATAATACCCCTATGGGACTTTTCGGAGGTCAAGTTTGTCGTAGAAACATGAAATTTGGTACACATGTTTCTCAAGTCAAGACAAGAAAAAAATATTATTATGGCCCCGCCCCCTGACAAACAGGAAGCCCATAAATTTCACTGCAAAATGGAAAAATGAACTGCAAAAGTTTTCATACATGTCGGTTGGAAAGCGACTCCTCCTCGGCCGTTTCACCGATTCGCCTCAAAATCGCTCCACATCATCTCAACACATGTACCTTCAAAATGACCTCAGGGATTTTTGATCAGTGAAACATTGTTCGAGCAGCGGAGCGGCAAAATGTGACCTTTTTTTGGCCGTTTTTGACAACATTAAATTTGCTCCCGTTTGCACAAACAAAGTCTGATTTGCACAAAACTTTAATACATTGTTCAACTCTAGGGTCTAGGTCATTTGAAAGTGAAGTGATTCAAATTGACACATTAGCGCCCCCTACAGACTATTTCAAAATTTTAGATGGGCATTTTCAAATTTAGTTTTTTCAAAATGTTTGAAATTTTGTGCATAAATCTGTTTTGCCCTCTTGATTCAAAAAGTCAATAGGGTCCAAGGCTTATTTCTTACCCTGTTGCCGTGGCGACGACAAACGCTCCCCATTCATTGCAAATGTACACCTCACACAAACATCAAACCAGCCTTGGCCGTTTCACAGATTCGCGTCAAAATCGCTCCACATCATCTCAACACATGTACCATCAAAATGACTTCAGGGAATTTTGATCAGTGAAACGCTGTTTGAGCAGCAGAGCGCCAAAAACTGGCGTATTTTTTTTCAGTTTTTGACAATAGAAAAATTGCTTCCGTTTGCACAAACAAAGTCTGATTTGCACAAAACTTGAATCCATGGTTCAACTCTTGGGTCTAGGTCATTTGAAAGTTAGAATTTTGAAATTGGCTCTATAGTGCCACCTACAACAGCCAATTTAAAAATGCCTATGGGAGGGGTTCGAGGTCAAAATTTTCGTAGAACCATTTAATTTGGTACACATGTTCCTCAAGTCAAGACATGGAAAAAATGTAATTATGGCTAATCCCTCCGACAAACAGGAAGCCCATAAATTTCACTGCAAAATGGAAAAATGAAAACCAATCATTCTCATACACGTCGGTTGGAAAGCGACTCCTCCTCGGCCGTTTCACTGATTGGCCTCAAAATTGTTACAAATCATCTCAACACATTTACCTTCAAAATGACTTCAGGGATTTTTGATCAGTGAAACGTTGTTTGAGCAGCGGAGCGGCAAAATGTGAGGGTTTTTTTGGCCGTTTTTGACAACATACATTTTTTCCCCGTTTGCACAAACAAAGACTGATTTGCATTAAACTTGAATCCATTGTTCAACTCCAGGGTTTAGGTCAGGTGAAAGTGAAATATTTTAAATTGGCCCATTAGCGCCCCCTAAAGACTGAGTCAAAGTTTACATGGGGAGCCAAACCAGCTCTACTTATCATATTCATTACAATTTGACTAACAATCTTCTATGGCTACGGGAACAAATCATCACACACAACGGCGCCACCTCCTTTGAGCGGTGCTGCGTGGTACGGTGTGGTACGGCGTAGTGCGGGGCGTTGTGGAGCGCCGCATTGCGGCTTGGTGCGGGGCGGCGTGAGGCGGGACAGCATGGTGCAGGGCGGCGTGGTGCGGGGTGGCTTGGTGCGGGGCGGCGTGGAACGGGGTGGTGCGCGCGGTGCGGGGAGTCGCGCGGTGCGGGGAGTTGCGCGGTGCGGCGAGGGCCGTTCGACGCCGCTTGCGGCTTTAATTAGGCCCGAGCCCCGAACGGGGTAAGGGCCTATTGCTTTCACAATGGTGAAAACAAATGGTGGCGGTGCGTGACGGACGCGTCAGCGCCCGTCACTCACCAAAACGTGACGGTTGCGTGCGTAAACTCAAAAGCTTTAAAATGATGTATCAGGTGCCATTGAAACCTATATTGTTTTTGCTCGAGACGTCGAAAAAAAAAATTCCTTTTTTATTTCTTTCTTTCTTTCTTTCTTTCTTTTTTCTTCTGCACTTTGAGCCTTAATTTGACCCCCTGAACATGCATGAAAAGTTGTTAATTTTGGCCCAAAAATCAGACCTGGCGAAAAATTTGATATTTTGGTGTTTATTTTTATGGGACTCAAAAAATGACGGAACAGCGCCACCTACAACAGCCAAAATAATACCCCTATGGGAGTTTTGGAGATCAAGTTTGTCATAGAGTCATGAAATTTGGTACACATGTTCCTCAAGTCAAGACAAGAAAAAAATATAATTATGGCCCCGCCCTCTGACAAACAGGAAGCCCATAAATTTCACTGCAAAATGGAAAAATGAACAGCAAAAGTTTTCATACATGTCGGTTGGAAAGCGACTCCTCCTTGGCCGTTTCACCAATTCACCTCAAAGTCGCTCCACATCATCTCAACACATGTACCTTCAAAATGACCTCAGGGATTTTTGATCAGTGAAACATTGTTTGAGCAGCGGAGCGGCAAAATGTGACCTTTTTTTGGCCGTTTTTGACAACATTAAATTTAATCCCGTTTGCACAAACAAAGTCTGATTTGCACAAAACTTTAATACATTGTTCAACTCTAGGGTCTAGGTCATTTGAAAGTTAAATGATTCAAATTGACACATTAGCGCCCCCTACAGACTATTTCAAAGTTTTAAATGGGCATTTTCAAATTTATTTTTTTCAAAATTTTTGAAATTTTGCACATACATCTGTTTTGCCGTTTTGAATCAAAAAGTCAATTGGGTCCAAGGCTTATTTTTTACCCTGTTGCCGTGGCGACGACAAACGCTCCCCATTCATTGCAAATGTACACCTCACACAAACATCAAACCAGCCTCGGCCGTTTCACCGATTCGCCTCAAAATCGCTCCACATCATCTCAACACATGTACCTTCAAAATGACCTCAGGGATTTTTGATCAGTGAAATATTGTTTGAGCAGCGGAGCGGCAAAATGTGATCTTTTTTTGGCTGTTTTTGACAACATTAAATTTGCTCCCGTTTGCACAAACAAAGTCTGATTTGCACAAAACTTTAATACATTGTTCAACTCTAGGGTCTAGGTCATTTGATGGTGAATTAATTCAAATTGACACATTAGCGCCCCCTACAGACTATTTCAAAGTTTTAGATAGGCATTTTCAAATTTAGTTTTTTCAAAATGTTTGAAATTTTGCACATAAATCTGTTTTGCCCTCTTGATTCAAAAAGTCAATTGGGTCCAAGGCTTATTTTTTACCCTGTTGCCGTGGCGACGAGAAACGCTCCCATTCATTGCAAATGTACACCTCACACAAACATCAAACCAACCTCGGCCGTTTCACCGATTCGCCTCAAAATTGCTCCACATCATCTCAACACATGTACCATCAAAATGACTTCAGGGAATTTTGATCAGTGAAACGTTGTTCGAGCAGCAGAGCGCCAAAAAGTGGCGTTTTTTTTTTCAGTTTTTTACAATAGAAAAATTGTTTCCGTTTGCACAAACAAAGTGTGATTGGCACAAAACTTGAATCCATGGTTTAACTCTTGCGTCTAGGTCATTTGAAAGTTTAAATTTTGAAATTGGCTCTATAGCGCCACCTACAACAGCCAATTTAAAAATGCCTATGGGATGGGTTCGAGGTCAAAATTGTTGTAGAGCCATGTAATTTGGAACACATGTTCCTCAAGTCAAGACATGGATAAAATGTTATTATGGCTAAGCCCTCTGACAAACAGGAAGCCCATAAAATTCATTGCAAAATGGAAAAATGAAAACCAATCATTTTCATACACGTCGGTTGGAAAGCGACTCCTCCTCGGCCGTTTCACCGATTGGCCTCAAAATTGTTCCAAATCATCTCAACACATTTACCTTTAAAATTACTTCAGGGAATTTTAATCAGTCAAACGTTGTTTGAGAAGCGGAGCGGCAAAATGTGAGGTTTTTTTGGCCGTTTTTGACAACATAAATTTTTTTCCCGTTTGCACAAACAAAGACTGATTTGCATTAAACTTGAATCCATTGTTCAACTCCAGGGTTTAGGTCAGGTGAAAGTGAAATATTTGAAATTGGCCCATTAGCGCCCCCTACAGACTGATTCAAAGTTTACATGGGGAGCCAAGTTCTTCTATGGCTACGGGAACCAATCATCACACGGCGGCGCCACCTCCTATGCGCGGTGCTGCGTGGTACGGTGTGGTGCGGCGTAGTGCGGGGCGTTGTGGAGCGGTGCGGGGCGGCGTAGTGCGGGGCGTTGTGGAGCGGTGCGGGGCGGCGTAGTGCGGGGCGGCGTAGTGCGGGGCGTTGTGGAGCGGTGCGTTGCGGCTTGGTGCGGGGCGGCGTGGTGCGGGGTGGTGCGCGCGGTGCGGGGGGTCGCGCGGTGCGGGGGGTCGCGCGGTGCGGGGGGTCGCGCGGTCCGGCGAGGGCCGTTCGACGCCGCTTGCGGCTTTAATTATACTTGTTCTAGCCCAGGAAAACCTGGGAAAGAACAAGTTTGCTGTTGTTTGATGTCATATTTGACCCACTGAACATGCACGAAAACTTACAAAATTTTGCCACAAGTTCTGTTCTTGCAAACACTTTATTAATTTTGTGTTCCCTAGTAAGAGACTTCAAATTTGCAGTTGTAGGGGGCGCAATTGTAGTCTAATAAAGCCACCATTTGCACATACAAAGTCCGATTTGCACCAAATTTGAATTGGTTGTTCAACTTTTGGGTTTGGGTAAACTGAAAGTGTAAAACATCAAATTGAGGCATTAGCGCCCCCTACAGAATGTCATTTTCACACATGTTGGTTGGAAAGCGACTCCTCATCGGCCTTTTCACTGATTTGCCTTAAAATCGCTCCACATCGTTTAAACACATGTACCATCATTTTGATTTCAGCGATTTTTGATCAGTGAAACGTTGTTTGAGCAGCGAAGCGCCAAAAAGTGGCGTTTTTTTTTTTTAGTTTTTGACTATAGAAAAATGACTTCCGTTTACTCAAACAAAGTCCGATTTGCACAAAACTTGTTTTCATGGTTAAACTCTAGGGTGTAGGTCATTTGAAAGTGAAATAATTAAAATGCCAGAACAGCGCCCCCTACAACAGCCAATTTAATACTCCTATGAGAGTTTTGGAGTTCAAGTTTGCGGTAGAGCCATGAAATTTGGTACACATATTCCTCAAGGTAAGACATGAAAAAAATGTTATTATGGCCTCGCCCTCTGACAGACAGGGAGCCCATAAATTTCACTGTAAAATGGATAAACGAACAGCAATAATTTTCACACATGTCGTTTGGGAAGCGACTCCTCCTCGGCCGTTTCACAGATTCGCCTGAAAATTGCTCCACATCATTTCAACACATTTACCTTCAAAATGACTTCAGGGAATTTTTATCAAGGAAACGATGTTCGAGCAGTGGAGCGGCAAATAGTGACCTTTTTTGACAATAGAAAAATAGCTCTCGTTTGCACAAACAAAGTTTGATTTGTACTAAACTTGACCCGGTTGTTCTACTCCTGGGCCTGGGTCACCTGAAGGTGTAAAATATTACATTGGCTCTTTAGCGCCCCCTACATACCGAGCTAAAGCTTTACATGGGGAGCCAAACCAACGGATCAATATCACATACATTGGTCTATGGCTATGGTAGCAAATCATGGCGCGGCGCGGCAGCGCCACCTGCGGAGCGTCGAGTCACGCGGGGAGTCACGGAGAGGGGAATTGCGGGTTGCAGCGAGTTGCGGCGAGTTGCGCGGTACGGGGAATCGTAGCGGTGCGGGGAGTCGTAGCGGTGCGGAGAGTCGTAGCGGTGCGGGGAGTCGTAGCGGAACGGAGAGTCGTAGAAGCGCGCGGTGCAGGGAGTCGTAGCGGAGCGGGGAGTCGTAGCGGAGCGGGGAGTCGTAGCGGAGCGGGGAGTCGTAGCGGTGCGGGGAGTCGTAGTGCTGCGGGGAGTCGTAGTGCTGCGGGGAGTCGTAGCGCTGCGGAGAGTCGTAGCGGTGCGGGGAGTCGTAGCGGAGCGGAGAGTTGTAGAAGCGCGCGGTGCAGGGAGTCGTAGCGGAGCGGGGAGTCGTAGCGGAGCGGGGAGTCGTAGCGGAGCGGGGAGTCGTAGCGGTGCGGGGAGTCGTAGCGGTGCGGGGAGTCGTAGCTGTGCGGGGAGTCGTAGCGGTGCGGGGAGTCGTAGCGGTGCGGGGAGTCGTAGCGGTGCGGGGAGTCGTAGCGGTGCGGGGAGTCGTAGCGGTGCGGGGAGTCGTAGCGGTGCGCAGTGCGGGGAGTCGTAGCGGAGCGGGGAGTCGTAGCGGAGCGGGGAGTCGTAGCGGCGCGCGGTGCGGGGAGTCGTAGCGGTGCGCAGTGCGGGGAGTCGTAGCGAAGCGCAGTGCGGGGAGTCGTAGCGGAGCGGGGAGTCGTAGCGGTGCGGGGAGTCGTAGCGGTGCGGGGAGTCGTAGCGGTGCGGGGAGTCGTAGCGGTGCGGGGAGTCGTAGCGGTGCGGGGAGTCGTAGCGGTGCGCAGTGCGGGGAGTCGTAGCGGAGCGGGGAGTCGTAGCGGAGCGGGGAGTCGTAGCGGAGCGGGGAGTCGTAGCGGTGCGGGGAGTCGTAGCGGTGCGGGGAGTCGTAGCGGTGCGGGGAGTCGTAGCGGAGCGGGGAGTCGTAGCGGAGCGGGGAGTCGTAGCGGAGCGGCAAGGCACGTGGTGCGGAGTGTTGCGCGGTGTGGCGAGGGCCGTTCGACGCCGCTTGCGGCTTTAATTAGGCCCGAGCCCCGAACGGGGTAAGGGCCTATTGCTTTCACAATGGTGAAAACAAATGGTGGCGGTGCGTGACGGACGCGTCAGCGCCCGTCACTCACCAAAACGTGACGGTTGCGTGCGTAAACTCAAAAGCTTTAAAATGATGTATCAGGTGCCATTGAAACCTATATTGTTTTTGCTCGAGACGTTAACAAAAAAATTCCTTTTTTATTTATTAGGCCCGAGCCCCGAACGGGGTAAGGGCCTATTGCTTTCACAATGGTGAAAACAAATGGTGGCGGTGCAAAGTGACGGACGCGTCAGCGCCCGTCACTCACCAAAACGTGACAGTTGCGTGCGTAAACTCAAACGCTTTGCAAAAAATGATGACTCTTGGGTCTTAGGTCATTTGAAAGTTAAAATTCTGAAATTGGCTCTATAGCGCCACCTACAACAGCCATATTAAAAATGCCTATGGGAGGGGTTTGAGGTCAAAATTGTCGTAGAACCATGTAATTTGGAACACATGTTCCTTAAGTCAAGACATGGGAAAAATGTTATTATGGCTAAGCCCCCTGACAAACAGGAAGCCCATAAATTTCATTGCAAAATGGAAACATGAAAACCAATCATTTTCATAAACGTTGGTTGGAAAGCGACTCCTCCTCGGCCGTTTCACCGATTGGCCTCAAAATTGTTCCAAATCATCTCAACACATTTACCTTCATAATTACTTCAGGGAATTTTAATCAGTCAAACGTTGTTTGAGAAGCGGAACGGCAAAATGTGAGGGTTTTTTGGCTGTTTTTGACAACATAAATTTTTTCCCCGTTTGCACAAACAAAGACTGATTTGCATTAAACTTGAATCCATTGTTCAACTCCAGGGTTTAGGTCAGGTGAAAGTGAAATATTTGAAATTGGCCCATTAGCGCCCCCTACAGACTGATTCAAAGTTTACATGGGGAGCCAAACCAGCTCTAATAATCATATTCATTACAATTTGACTAAGTTCTTCTATGGCTACGGGAACCAATCATCACACGGCGGCGCCACATCCTATGCGCGGTGCTACGTGGTACGGTGTGGTGCGGCGTAGTGCGGGGCGTTGTGGAGCGGTGCGTTGCGGCTTGGTGCGGGGCGGCTTGGTGCGGGGCGGCTTGGTGCGGGGCGGCTTGGTGCGGGGCGGCGTGATGCGGGACGGCGTGGTGCGGGGTGGCTTGGTGCGGGGCGGCGTGGAACGGGGTGGTGCGCGCGGTGCGGGGAGTCGCGCGGTGCGGCGAGGGCCGTTTGACGCCGCTTGCGGCTTTAATTAGGCCCGAGCCCCGAACGGGGTAAGGGCCTATTGCTTTCACAATGGTGAAAACAAATGGTGGCGGTGCGTGACGGACGCGTCAGCGCCCGTCACTCACCAAAACGTGACGGTTGCGTGCGTAAACTCAAAAGCTTTAAAATGATGTATCACGTGCCATTGAAACCTATATTGTTTTTGCTCGAGACGTCGAAAAAAAAATTCCTTTTTTATTTATTTAGGCCCGAGCCCCGAACGGGGTAAGGGCCTATTGCTTTCACAATGGTGAAAACAAATGGTGGCGGTGCGTGACGGACGCGTCAGCGCCCGTCACTCACCAAAACGTGACGGTTGCGTGCGTAAACTCAAAAGCTTTAAAATGATGTATCACGTGCCATTGAAACCTATATTGTTTTTGCTCGAGACGTCGAAAAAAAAATTCCTTTTTAGGCCCGAGCCCCGAACGGGGTAAGGGCCTATTGCTTTCACAATGGTGAAAACAAATGGTGGCGGTGCGTGACGGACGCGTCAGCGCCCGTCACTCACCAAAACATGACAGTTGCGTGCGTAAACTCAAAAGCTTTAAAATGATGAATCACATGCCATTGAAACCTATATTGTTTTTGCTCGAGACAAGTCACAAAAAATTCCTTTTTTATTTATTTATTTATTAGGCCCGAGCCCCGAACGGGGTAAGGGCCTATTGCTTTCACAATGGTGAAAACAAATGGTGGCGGTGCGTGACGGACGCGCCAGCGCCCGTCACTCACCAAAACGTGACAGTTGCGTGCGTAAACTCAAAAGCTTTAAAATGATGAATCACATGCCATTGAAACCTATATTGTTTTTGCTCGAGACAAGTCACAAAAAATTCCTTTTTTATTTATTTATTTATTTATTTCTTTCTTTCTTTCTTTCTTTTTTCTTCTGCACTTTGAGCCTTAATTTGACCCCCTGAATATGCATGAAAAGTTGTTAATTTTGGCCCAAAAATCAGACCTGGCGAAAAATTTGATATTTTGGTGTTTATTTTTATGGGACTCAAAAAATGACAGAACAGCGCCACCTACAACAGCCAAAATAATACCCCTATGGGACTTTTCGGAGGTCAAGTTTGTCGTAGAGCCATGAAATTTGGTACACATGTTGCTCAAGTCAAGACAAGAAAAAAATATTATTATGGCCCCGTCCCCTGACAAACAGGAAGCCCATAAATTTCACTGCAAAATGGAAAAATGATCTGCAATCATTTTCATACATGTCGGTTGGAAAGCGACTCCTCCTCGGCCGTTTCACCGATTCGCCTCAAAATCGCTCCACATCATCTCAACACATGTACCTTCAAAATGACCTCAGGGATTTTTGATCAGTGAAACATTGTTTGAGCAGCGGAGCGGCAAAATGTGACATTTTTTCGGCCGTTTTTGACAACATTAAATTTGCTCCCGTTTGCACAAACAAAGTCTGATTTGCACAAAACTTTAATACATTGTTCAACTCTAGGGTCTAGGTCGTTTGAAGGTGAATAAATTCACATTGACACATTAGCGCCCCCTACAGACTATTTCAAAGTTTTAGATGGGCATTTTCAAATTTAGTTTTTTCAAAATGTTTGAAATTTTGCACATAAATCTGTTTTGCCCTCTTGATTCAAAAAGTCAATAGGGTCCAAGGCTTATTTTTTACCCTGTTGCCGTGGCGACGAGAAACGCTCCCCATTCATTGCAAATGTACACCTCACACAAACATCAAACCAGCCTCGGCCGTTTCACCGATTCGCCTCAAAATCGCTCCACATCATATCAATATATGTACCAACAAAATGACTTCAGGGAATTTTGATCAGTGAAACGTTGTTCGAGCAGCAGAGCGCCAAAAAGTGGCGTATTTTTTTTCAGTTTTTGACAATAGAAAAATTGTTTCTATTTGCACAAACAAAGTCTCATTTGCACAAAACTTGAATCCATGGTTCAACTCTTGGGCCTAGGTCCTTTGAAAGTTAAAATTTTGAAATTGGCTCTATAGCGCCACCTACAACAGCCAATTTAAAAATGCCTATGGGAGGGGTTCGAGGTCAAAATTGTCATAAAACCATGTAATTTGGAACACATGTTCCTCAAGTCAAAACATTGAATTTTTTTTATTATGGCTAAGCCTTCTGACAAACAGGAAGCCCATAAATTTCACTGCAAAATGGAAAAATGAAAAATAATCATTTTCATACATGTCGGTTGGAAAGCGACTCCTCCTCGGCCGTTTCACCGATTCGCCTCAAAATTGCTCCACATCATCTCAACACATGTACCTTCAAAATGACCTCAGGGATTTTTGATCAGTGAAACATTGTTTGAGCAGCGGAGTGGCAAAATGTGACCTTTTTTTGGCCGTTTTTGACAACATTAAATTTGCTCCCGTTTGCACAAACAAAGTCTGATTTGCACAAAACTTGAATACATTGTTCACCTCTAGGGTTTAGGTCATTTGAAAGTTAAATGATTCCAGTTGACTCATTAGCGCCCCCTACAGACTATTTCAAAGTTTTAGATGGGCATTTTCAAATTTAGTTTTTTCAAAATGTTTGAAATTTTGCACATACATCTGTTTTGCCCTCTTGATTCAAAAAGTCAAAAGGGTCCAAGGCTTATTTTTTACCCTATTGCCGTGGCAACGACAAACGCTCCCCATTCATTGTAAATGTACACCTCACACAAACATCAAACCAGCCTCAACCGTATCACCGATTCGCCTCAAAATCGCTCCACATTATCTCAACACATGTACCATCAAAATGACTTCAGGGAATTTTGATCAGTGAAACGTTGTTTGAGCAGCAGAGCGCCAAAAAGTGGCGTAATTTTTTTCCGTTTTTGACAATATAAAATTTGCTTCCGTTTGCACAAACAAAGTCTGATTTGCACAAAACCTGAATCCATGGTTCAACTCTTGGGTCTAGGTCATTTGAAAGTAAAAATGTTGAAATTGGCTCTATAGCGCCACCTACAACAGCCAATTTAAAAATGCCTATGGGAGGGGTTTGAGGTCAAAATTGTCGTAGAGCCATGTAATTTGGTACACATATTCCTCAAGTCAAGACATGGAAAAAATGTTATTATGGCTAAGCCCTCTGACAAACAGGAAGCCCATAAATTTCATTGCAAAATGGAAAAATTAAAACCAATCATTTTCATACATGTCGGTTGGAAAGCGACTCCTCCTCGACCGTTTCACCGATTGGCCTCAAAATTGCTCCAAATTATCTCAACACATTTATCTTCAAAATGACCTCAGGGAATTGTGATCAGTGAAACGTTGTTTGAGCAGCGGAGCGGCAAAATGGAAAGTTTTTTTCTGCCGTTTTTGACAACATTAATTTTTTTCCCGTTTGCACATACAAAGTCTGATTTGCATCAAACTTGAACCCATTGTTCAACTCCAGGGTTTAGGTCAGGTGAAAGTGAAATATTTTAAATTGGCCCATTAGCGCCCCCTAAAGACCTAGTCAAAATTTACATGGGGAGCCAAACCAGCTCTACTTATCATATTCATTACAATTTGACTAACAATCTTCTGTGGCTACGGAAACAAATCATCACACGGCGGCGCCAACTCCTTTAAGCGGTGCTGCAAGGTACGGTGTGGTGCGGCGTAGTGCGGGGCGTTGTGGAGCGGCGCGTTGTGGCTTGGTGCGGGGCGGCGTGATGGGGGACGGCGTGGTGCAGGGCG